TTTGCAGTTTGGAATGATACGATGCCATTTCAAAGCCCACTTTTCTTTCTTTCTTTTTGTCAGTCATGGGGTTTGAGAACTCTGGGCCTGGGCGCTGTCCCTCAGCTCTTCAGCTCAAGGCTAGCATTCTACCACATGAGACACAGCGCCATTTCCGGCTTTTACTGCTTATGTGGTGCTAAGGAATTGAACCCAGGGCCTCATGCATGCAAGGCAAGCGCTCTACCACTGAGCCACCTTCCCAGTCTAAGCCCATTTTTCAACACCTCACAGTGAAGGTGCATGAGCTTGTGCAGGGGAAGCTTCTCCTGTTCCAGGTCCACTCCGACCGGCAACTGATCTGAGCTGGCACAGCCCCTGCTCCTCCCAGCACCCAGAGCCTTCATCTCACTTCTCCTCCAACTCTGATGTGGTGTCTTCTCTTCCAAGGAGATGGGCTGAAGTCTTAACCCCATCTCTACCTGCCAATGCTACCTTACCTGGAAACAGTGTTTTTGCAAAAGATCATCAGTGAAGTAGACATCATTAGTTTGGGCTCTAATTCTGTAGGACTAATGTCCAGGCCTCCCAGTCCTAAGAAAAGACAGCCACTGGGCACTGGGTTCTCACACCTGTAATCCTGTCTACTCAAGAAGCTAAGATCTGAGGATCACCGTTTGAAGCCAAGCTGGGTAGAAGCCTTCCATGAGACTCTTATCTCCAACTAACCAGCAAACAGGTGGAACTGAAGCTAGGGCTCAGTTGTAGAGCACCAGCTTTGAGTGAAAAAGTTAAGGGTGAGTGCAAGGACCCTCAGTTCAGCCCCAGTACTGGTGCATAATACGCACACATGTACACACACACACACACACACACAACACCAGCCATTTACAGAATGGCAGCACCTGTAGCAGTCATGTGAGAATAGAGGCATGACTTCTATTCCAGTGAATGAACCTACAGAAAAAGGAGCTGCTAGCAGGTGTGGACCTGACCCCACTAGAGCCTTCAAGGCTAATGATTCTGAGTTCTGTCCCCAGCAGACAGGAGATTCTGTTATTTTAAGCCATCCACAGTCTGAGGTACTCTGTTAAGAAGTAATGAATAGAATTCTTGTAGTGAATGGGCCATGAGACACTGACCACCTCCCTTCTTTGGGACAGGGACAGGGAAGGGGCAAGCCAGAACATGACAGGGCAGGATGATTCCAGGCCATTCTCAGAATGCTGAGGTTTGGCCCTGGGCCTGGGCTGGATGATGCACCTGTCAGCACAGTCCCTTTGGACAGACTCTGTAGTTTACTCATGGACAGGTGGCATGTTAGAAATACCTCTGTATTATACACTGGACATACATTATACACTGGACATAAACCAGTTGTCCTATACCTGTTAACTATAGTAAGTCTTTCTTTGAAACAAGACTAGAAGAAAGTAAATACATTTTAGTTAATTACTAAAACATTTCTCTATAAAGAGCAAATTTGGACCATAGTTCTCAGAGCAGTTTTGCATAGTTATATGGCTCTGAAGTAAAAAAAAAAATAGGTTCATTTTTTAATTTTTTTTGGGGGGTCTGGTCATAGGGCCTGAACTCTGGGCCTGGGCGCTGTCCTTCAGCTCTTCAGCTCAAGGCTAGCACTCTACCACTTGAGCCACAGCGCCACTTGCGGCTTTTTTCTTTTTTCTTATGTGGTGCTGAGGAATCAAACCCAGAGCCTCAGGCATGCAAGGCAAGTGCTCTACCACTGAGCCACCTTCCCAGCCCCCCAAAATTGGTTCATAACTGGAGTGGCAGATTAATTTCAGTGAGACCATCACTGACTTCAAGTATAAAACTCCTCCTTGGAACAACAGCCTTTGAAAAGCCCAGATTTTCATTTGCATTTTTTGAGCATACATACTCTGTTTTAATTATCACCACCCTTGATACTCAATAACTTTTGGCAATTTCAAAGGACAAGATCAAAGGACAAAGATGGGTCCCCTTAAGAGAGTCTTCTTGAGAATATGAAATCCTGGAACTGGCTGGCACATGGTAGGTCTTACCAAATATGCTGCGTGATCTAAAAGCTGTTCTTTTATTTCCAGAATGTTTAAAGAAGGGAAAATATTGGTAGAACTGACATAAACATTGTCTTCATGCATCTGAGTTGAAAAATTCCGGGAAATCATTTTACAGCCAGACTTACAAGCTGAGTACCTAAGGTGAGGTAGGCAGGCAGAGAGAAGTCAAGCTGGCTCTAGCAGCATGGGAAATGGTTAAGGTCTCTGATGCCTGGGTCTGAACTGGCCAGCTTTTGCCCAGCTCTAGTTACTAGTTGCCCTATCTTGCTAGCTTTCATAAGAGGAGCTCAAGTCGAGTGGTAGGTGAAATGTCCATGTATTTGAAATATTACCAGGAGGGTTTCAGGGCACACGGGACCAGGCGTCCTCTACTTACGCTCAGCCAGTAAACATATGAAACCCACCTGCCTTCATGGGCTCCGGAGTCTCACAGTGAAAGAGGCCTCCATCCAACACTGCTCCTTACCTCAAACCAGGTCTCCTTTTCTTCTGCCGGCTTTGGACTTTGCTTTTGTGACTTATCTGTGAAGTACGAATTCACCCAACCACCACCCACTCCCAGGGCTGCTCTTCCTGACCAAGTGATTGCCTGGACGTACAAGCTACCAGATTTGACTGTCCTGGACACACGATTCCTCTATGGCCTTCAACTGCTTCTTCCATCTTGCCTCTGCTCCTCTGTTACCTTCTCCTGGGGTCTTCTTTTCCATTCTCTGGCATTCTCCCATCCCTAGCCTTCTTCACATCCCCTAATGTTGGTGCACCAAAGGGTTCTTAAGGATTCAGTCCCACCCCACAGCTTCTGAAATGCAATCAACCAGAGACCTCCATGCCTCCAGCCAACCCTCTCCCATTCTCTTCACCTATACAGTCTGCTCCTTTTGCAACATACTAGCTTAGCAGGTGCAAGATTTCTGACTTCCTCTTCCTCCTCCCCCCCTCGTTAGCCCAATGAGCGCCCTTCCCATGGCTTAGCATACTCCTTCCCCTTTCCACAGCTTAGCATGCTTCTTTATTAGGCAACACGATGCCCCATTTAGTAAAGGCAGTAAATAATCAACCTCCAACCCTTCTCTGGGGCAGCCACCACCATAGAAGGCAACAAGAACCCCTTACCTACTATTGGGCATCAGCCATAAATCCTAGTCTGCCATAATGAAGCCCCTGGCCCAAAGGTCCACACCTGGGTCTCTGCCTCCTAGCCCCCTCCAGCCCCTCCTAAACTTCCTAGGTTATATAGGTCAACCTCAGACAATAGCCATAGCTTCTTCTTACTTCTCGTGAGGAGTCTTGCCGGCCCCCTTCCCAGCAATCAACCTTTCTTTGTTCTCTGTACCTGGATGTCTGCGTGGTTTTCTGGCAGTCTTTCTCTTAACACCTCCCATGGTCATCTAGTCAGAAACCAGGCTGACGCCACTCATTCCCCCCCTGCTTCTCAAGCCTACAGCATCTACCAAGTGTCTCTTGATCCCATCACTTCCTCCTCTGATATGACCACGGCTGAAGGTCACCTTGACTTGGCACACAGATGACTTGAGGTGCTGACCATCAATCACTCTTACTCCCTGGGGCCAGATGTCCTTCTACAATGCGGCAGTGGAGAATGCTGCCATGTTCCTTACCTGCCACCACTGGATACAGTCTAAACTCTTGTGTGTGCACCAATTGTCCTTCCAGCTGTCAGGCCCCATCCCTGCTTCTCATCTGTGCACTGAGCGCTCCAGTGTGCTGGCCTTTGGGCCATGCGTGCACTCTCTTTTCGCACCCTGTCCACCTCTGGTCCACACTTGGCCGTGTCCTACACCTCATCCTTCCTTCCCGCTTCCTCCAGGCCTCAGCCTGCCAACATCCCTGGGCTGCTCCTAAATGTTTGGATGTCGGTTCTTGGCATTTCAGAAGCCCTTGCTTACGTGCTTTGTGATGGTACCACTCAGGTGGCTCTGAAGCTCTTCAAGGGAGGGGTCCTCGCTCCTCTTCCTGTTTTTTCCTATGCCTAGCACAGAGCCCAGCACACAGTAGGCAAATGACAAATGGTTGTGATTTTTGGTGCTAGTGATGTAGAATGGGAAAGCCCTTGTTAACATCAACTCTCATTTTAATGAGGAAACTGAGGTCCAGACAGACAGATGCTGGGCTCCAAGACCCAGAGGAGGCAGCAAAACCAAGACTTGCCCATCCAAGCCCGGGATGTCCCCACTACCCTGCCTCTCCCCTCACAGCCAGCTAGTCCCAGCACGCACGCCTGGCCTGCAGAGCCTCTGCATGGAGCATCCCTCATCAGAAAAGTATCTGGTAGCAAGTACGTGGAAGCAACCTTCTTCTGAAGTTAAGGTGCTACTGCTACTTCCTTCCCCACCTCCAGACAGGTAGCAGGTGAGGCTGCTGTTCCAAGCTCCCTGAGGGAGCTGTGCACAGGCAGAAGCCCGGGGCTCTGGGAGCCTCCTTACCTCATGGGGAAGACCAAAGGTGCTGGCCCAGCTCTGCCTGCCTGCCTTCCTTCCCCTCAGCCCTAGTCTTCAACACCTGGCCCAAGGGGAATGTTGACAAATGTCTCTTCCTTGTCAAACATCTGAGATGGAAGATGGAAGGATAGGGGGTTGGCAATGAAACTCGGTACATTTTGATTTGGAAGAGCCAATTATCAGCAAGTGATACTCAAAGGTCTCTTCCCAGGGCCGTTGATGGGGCAGGGGGTTGAACAGTCAGGCTTACTGGCTCTCGGCTAACATCCCTGGAACTTTGGATAGGATCTTAATGGCCCTTTAGGTACATAAGCTAGCGGCCGTTCTTTCCCTCCGTGGCCCCGCTGGACCCAGGAAATGCGTGCTTCCTGATGGATCTATGGATTCGCTCTGCGCCATCGCTGTGGGCGCATGGCTAGCACCGCCGGGCACACCTTTCCTTTCCGGACGCTGGGGGTGGGGGACACAAGTCACACCTATCCAGGTTCTTTCTTTGTACCAACAAGCCCAGGAGGCATCTGGCCGGGGTGATCCCTGGAATCTGTGACCCAAGCAAGGATCCCGGTGAGAACAAACGGATGGAGCTCAGAAGAAGAGGGGGGGCGGGGCCACCTCGGTGGGGTTGGGCCAGGCCGGGGCCGAGAGGTCGGCGGCGGCGTGGGAGGCCGCGGGAAGGGCGGCCTGGCTGTGGATGCGCTGGTGCCGCACGAGGTGGGTCTTGCGGCTGAAGCTCTTGCTGCACTGCGGGCAGGAGAAGGGGCGGGAGCCGGTGTGGATGGCCTGGTGGCGGACCAGGTTGGTCTTGGAGCTGAAGCTGCGGGCGCAGACGGCGCAGGCGTGGGGGCGGCTGCCCGTGTGCACTGCCTGGTGGCGGCCCAGGTGGGACTTGCGGCTGAAGCGGCGGCCGCACTGCGCGCAGGCGAAGGGCCGGGCCCCGCTGTGGGCCCTGGCGTGGGCGACCAGGTTGGGTCTGGAGCCGAAGCGGCGGCCGCACTGCGCGCAGGCGAAGGGCCTCTCCCCGGTGTGCACGCGCCGGTGCCGCGACAGGTGCTGGCCGTGGGCGAAGCCGCGACCGCACTCGGGGCAGAAGAAGGCTCGCTCGCCGCCGCCGGCGCCCGGGGGGTCCGGCGGGTTGGATCCGGGGCCGCAGGCCAAGGGCTCGGCGGCGGCGGCGGCGGCGACGGGGTCCACGGCGGCGGCGCACTCGTCGCATCCAAACGGAGCCCCTTCGCTGCGGTGCAGACGCTGGTGCGTGGCCAGGTTCTTCTTCCAGCCGAAGCCCAGGCCGCAGTGGGAGCAGGAGAAAGGCTTGGGGCCGGAGGGCGAGGCGGAGGCCGGCAGGGCCGGGGGCGTGGCGGGCGCCTCGGCGGGGGAGGGCAGGGCCCGGCTGGCGGCCTCGTGCACGCGCTGGTGCCGCACCAGGTGCTGCTTGTGCGTGAAGCTGCGCGCGCACTGGGCGCACTGGTAGGGCCGCTCGCCGGTGTGGATGCGCTGGTGGCGGATCAGGTGCGTCTTCTTGCGGAAGCGCTTCTCGCACTCGGCGCAGGGGAAGGGCCGCTCGCCGGTGTGCGTCTTCTGGTGCGAGCCCAGGTGGATCTTCTGGCTGAAGCGCTTGCCGCACTCGGCGCACGGGTAGGGCCGCTCGCCGGTGTGCGTGCGCAGGTGGCGGGTCAGGTGGGCCTTCTTGCTGAAGCGCTTGTCGCACTCGGAGCACGGGAAGGGCCGCTCGCCGCGGTGGCTGCGCTGGTGCAGCAGCATGTGCGCGCGCTGCGAGAAGCTGCGGCCGCAGTCCGGGCAGGCGCAGGGGCCCTCGCCGCGGTGCAGCCGCTGGTGCAGCCGCAGCGTCAGCTGGTCCCGGAAACGCCGCTCGCACTCCCCGCAGCCGTACGGCTTCTCCGGGAGGGCGATCGGGGTCCACCCGGTCAGCGCCAGCCCGGCCAGCGTCCCCGGAGCCCCCGGCTCCAGTTTATACGCGGCCGCCAGGTGCCCCAGATCAGGGGCCGCAAAGGGGCCGGGGAGTAAGGAGAGATGCTGCGGCCACTCGACCTCCGCCTCCTGATCCTCCTCCTCCACCTTCACCTTCCGAATCATCCACTCGTCCCCTGCAGCGTCAGACACAGGGATTAAGCCCAGGTGCTGCCCCTTTCCGCTGCCACCCGGAGCCCCGCGGACCCTGGCTTCCGCCCTCAGCAGAGCTCACCAAACGTTCCTGGAATGACCAACGCTGAGACTCCTTCCCACCCTCGCGCGCTCCCCGCAGCCCAGCAGCGGGAGGGCACTGCCCCGCCCACCTCTTCTCTGCACTCCCCTTCCTCCTGTTCCCCAGTATCCACCCTGGCCCTTGGGCTTCTACCCTGGACCTTGGGCTCCCCCCCTGGACCCCGTCCCCTCCCTCTCTCGCCCCTCCCCCCGTGTTCTTTTCCCTGCCTATTTTCCGAACCAGTTTCTTATATCCAGTTGAAGAGCAGGGAACCCCAATTCCCAGTGTCTGTAAATTGGCAGCAGGTCAGCAAGTCTAACACCTGACCTCCCTGCCGTGTACAAGGGGAGGCCATTAGCCTCGGGGCTGGAGCCCTCTCTGGCTGGATAGGACCAGCCTTAGCACCTTTGCTACTTTGGCTCTCTACTTCCGCTGTGGCCCCAGGACACCTTGTACTCCAGTGGTTTCAAATGCAGATACTAACCCTACCCTGTCCCACAGGCTCACAGGTAAACCAGAAGATAGAGAAGAGGCAGGAGTTTACAGAATGTGGGAAACTACTTTAGCCTCTGGAAAGCCTCAGCCAAGGGCAGGTTCCAATTCCTAGGAACCTGTCCTAAGAGGTATCTGTAGGGCAGGACCTATGAATCTTTACTTATTTATTTTTGTGCTTGATGCTAGGGCTTGAATTCAGGGCCTGGGTACTGTCCTTTAATCTTTTCGCTTGAGGCTGACACTCTACCACTTGACCCACAGCCGCTCTTCTGGATTTTTGCTGGTTAATTGGAGATAAAAGTCTCAAAAACTTTCCTACCCAGGCTGGCTTTGAACTGCGATCCACAGATCTTAGGCTCCTGAGTAGCTAGGATTATAGGTGTGAGCCACAGCACCTGGCTATCTATTTAAAGCTCCCAAATGGAATCTTGTTTGGGAACCCTCCAACCAGATACCTGAGCTCCTGTCAGACCTGGAAAGTCTGTCACAGTCTGGAGTCTTGATTTTAGTACACATAAATGGCTGAGATTACATCTACTCCCCGTTTCTTCTAAGTTCACTGGCTCCAAACCACTATTAGTTTATCCTAATCTGCTATTGCCTCTATTTTCACTGTCCCATTCTTCTTACTCCAGAACTGCCAATGGCTTCTAGCTGCACCTGCAGCTCATCCAAACCTTCCAACCCTTTTTCCAGAGGTGAGACAGTCACTTCTGTAACACTCTCCCTCAGTCTCCTCACGTGACCCATCATGTTTCCTGCCTCCAAGTCCATCCTCACCCGCACCCGTCCACTACAGAGCTAAAGTCTACACCTGTCCCAGAATGCAGTAGCTAGCAAGTTTTGACAAATCCAGCTAATAAGGCTCTCTTGTCATTAACTCCTGTAACACTCACTACGAATCCGAATCCTTCTATACTGATATGTGACTTTTATCTTGTCCTTTCAGTTATCTGTCTTGGTTCCCATTCGTATCATCCTCTTGATTTTAGCTTCTGGGAGACAGATATGTTCTGACTTTGTGTCTAAGAACAAAATGTCTTTAAATAAAAATGAGCACCACCACCATTTACGGAGGGCCAACTATAGATGAAGCACTGTGCACACACTGTCGTAACACTTCACAAGAATTATGAAGGCAAAACCAAAGCTCCTGGACAGAAGGCAGTCACTCAGCTGGTAAATACGGAGCAAAGACATAACCTGGGCCTGTGCCCATCTCTTCACCACACTCAACACAGCCTATGCATAGTAGGCACTAAATAAATCCTGTTAGGTAAGTGATCCCAGCCAGGTGAGAGGTGGCAGTGGAAGGAAAGGATGGCTAGGAGTATATAGTGACGGAGAGATGCACTGACTGAAACAGACTGGGGGCACTGGTGTCCCCGGGGTCAGCGGAAGTTTAGGAGAGGAAGCATGCGGAAAAGGCTGAGCAGCACATTTCATCTTGGTGGTCATTATAATTTGGGTGATTGACAGCATGTATGTGACCTGGGGTGGGGGGGGAATGAAAAGGCGAAGTTTCGAACTTCTGGGGCAGGGGGAGTTTGAGGTGAGCATGCTTCTCTTTGGTGACCAACCTCTCCTCTCCCACCATCCACATACACGTAATTGCTGCCGGATGCGGATGAGAGATTGCAGAATTGCAATTGGATGCGGATGCGAGATTGGGCCTGGACTCATCCTGACTGGAAGGGCCTGCATCGTTGTTTCCAGATCTGCTGCATCAGATAGCAGCGCTGGAGCAACAGGAAGACTCACCAGAGCAGGAGCCTACGGGCTCGGTCTTCTGTGGGACGCAGGCCTGGCCACCTCTGCAGGGGGCTTCAGCTTGTTCCATCTGAGCCTCTTCCTCCCGGCCAGCAGCCTTGGGCCCTGGTAGAGAAGAGATACCTCAAGTGTCCAGGAGGCGTCGCAGATGGAAGACAGTCACCACTAGTGCCAGAACGCAGGGGCAACTGAAGCCCCGATTCCAGCCCTGCCCACCAGACTCTTTGCCACCTCACACCTGCAGGAGCTGAATAAGAGCTGCCAGGAACAGCCTCAGACTCCTTCAGGAAGGGCAGCCGCTAAAGGTGCACAGGTTTCAGGAGTCACAACTCTAAGGAGTTTCTGGAACGTGTGTGTGAGGTGGTAGAGCAAGGAAGGGCCTCTGACCAGAGGCTCTTAGGAACTCAGGAACTGGGAGCCTTCCCAGTTCCAAGGCAAATCATGGCTGAGGATTAGGATGGCAAAAGCCTAGGCTGGCTGTCTTGACTGCCCTGCCTGAAGAGCCAGTTTCCCTCAGGCTCTGAGCTGCCTCCCCATTTCTTCCAATCTAGCTCCTATTCTCACCACCCAACTGCATGGTAAAACGTGTGTGTGTGTGTGTGTGTGTGTGTGTGTGTCCGTCCCTGGCCTTCAGCCATCCAGGTCCCTCTCCATGTGCTTTATCACCTCCTTCATAATTTATAAAATTTATTTATTTATTTTTTTTGTCAGTTGTGGGGCTTGAACTCTGGGCCTGGGCACTGTCCCTCAGCTCTTCAGCTCAAGGCGAGCGCTCTACCACTTGAGCTACAGCGCCACTTCCGGTTTTCTGGTGGTTTATTGGAGATAGGAGTCTCACGGTCTTTCCTGCCCGGGCTGGCTTTGAACCGCGATCCTCAGATCTCAGCCTCCTGAGTAGCTAGGATTACAGGCGTGAGCCACCAGCGCCCGGCAATTTATAAAATTTATTATGTTTTCATTTATGGTTGACTCACTAAGCTCTTCCAAATAGCTAGAAGGGCAGACAGCACACAGTAGGTGGTCAATAAATACTTGATGGAAGAAGGAAGACTGGCCCTTGAGTCACCCTCCACAGTGAGTCAATGACTTACCTGAGCACGTGCCCAGTACACTGTCTTCCCGAGAGGACACTTTCCCCTGGGCATTGTGGGACCCGTCCCTGGGCTCACTTTGTGGGGCCATCTCAGACTGTCCCACGGAGAATCCTGTTATGGGCAGAAGGATGGGTCTAAAGCATCCAGGACAGAACTGGTGACCACAGTAGGTGTGTGGTGGTGGTGGGGGGGGGGGGGGCCCTCTCCTGCTAGCACTGACAAGGAACAAAGAAACAGCCCAGGCTCTCCAGCAACCTGAACAGATGTCAATCTCAGCCTCTCTGTTAAGTCCAGAAGGACCAGGGACCAAAGAAGAGATTCGATCAATTTAAACCCCAGTGTCCTGTGAGTCCCCCTGCATTCACAGCTTGGCACAACCTCTGTGACAAGCATTCAAAGAGCCCAGGGCCCTCCACAGCCCCAGCACCTCTGGGCTGCAGCTTCTGGGGATGGTACTATTGTCTAAGTTGTAGATGCCCTCAGAGCCCACCTACCCCCAAATTCCTTCTGTTCTCCCACTTACCCAGGGAGCTCAGAGCCTCCAAAGTCTCTCTCATGACAGCCAGGTATAGCTCCCCTTGGGGAATGAGGCCACAGACCCTAAGAAGAAAAAACAGTCTTGTTCAGATTCTTCTGACGCTTTCCGCAGGCCTCCTCCGCTCCGCCCCTCAGCTCCATCTCCATCAGCTCTCCTCCCCAGTTCCACAGGTGACACTATGGGGGATGGATAAGGAACCCCTCTCCAAGGGGTCCAAGGAGGTCTGGAAACCATTTCTGCTAGCTCTAGAAATCTGCCTGCCCTGCCCAGCTGGGAGGTCTCAGAGCCAGCCCTGGCCTGCCAGTTAGCAGTCCCGCCCCTCAGGCCCTGGGGGGGGGGGGGGGAAGGTGCATCCCAGAGAGGGTGGGAGACCAGGGTGGGCAGCGGGGAACTTCATGTCCTGGGTGCTCCAGCTGTCACTGTAGGAGCTGGTAAGCCAGTCCCCACGCAGAGCTGTCACTTTAGGTCCTGGGAAGAAGGCCCTCTGAGAAGGGTCTGCACTCAAGGTAGTAAATGGCTCCCGACTTCCCTTCCCTAAACCTAGGGCAAAATCACCCCCCTCCTCGTGTTGCTTCCCAAGGCTGGTACACACACACACACACACACACACTCCCTGCTATGCCCCCTTTCCCGCTCCATTCCTCCTCCTGTGAGCTCCCTGCCCCTCCCCAGCAGCCTCCCCTCCCCCTCCCAAGCAGCCTTTCCCTCGGCCTCCCCTCTCCCCGCTCCCTCCCCTCTCGGCTCCCTCTGGTTTCCGCCCTCTCTCCCCACCAACTCCGGCTGCCTACTGGGACTCCTCCCCCTGCCCCGCCCCTCCGGCTCCTTCCCTACCCCCAAGGGCAAGACCAACCCCTCTCCTCCCCCCCCCTCCACTGACCCTCAGCTCGCGGCAGCTCTCCCCCTCCCCTCCCGCTTCCCCTCCCCTCCCCTCCCCCTCCCAGCCCTTCCCCCCCAGCCTGCTCCACTCACCCCGAGCAGCGCCGTCCACTGGCCCCGCCGCACACTCCCCTGCTTCCTTTCCCCTCCTCTTTTCCTTCCTCTCCCCTCCGCCGCCCTCCCTCCCCCTCTCGCTCGGTCTCGCTCACCCTGCTCGCTCGCCCCTCCCCTCCCGCTCTCCTCCCCCACTCCGGTTTCTCTTCCTTCTCCTTTCCTCCCAGCACCTCGGTTCCCTCCCTCCCCCTCCTCCCAGCTCCCCTCCCCCTCCTCCCTCCCGCAGCCGCTCTCCTTCCCCTCCGCGGCCCCCGCCTCCCCTCCCCCGCCGCCTCCCCGGCGGGCTCCCGCTCCGCCCCCCTCCGCGCCTCCCCTCCCCCCTCCCTCCCCACCCGGTCCTCCCGGGTCTCTCCACACCCCGGGCCGGGCCCTCGAGGCTGACCCCGCTCCTCGCCCCCCCCCCCCGCTCGGCCCCTCCACCGCCGCGGCTCAGACCCCCTTTTCTTCCAACGCGCCCCCTCTCGGCGCCCCCCCCCCGGTCCCCACGTACGGCCCCCCACAGACCCGCCATCCCCCCGAGTTCTCCTGCGGGCCGGGCCCCTCCCTCCCGTCCCCGTCGGCTCCCGGTCCGCCCGGCCGCCCCTCGGAGCTCACCTGTCCGCGCCCTCCCCGCCGCTCCCAGCGCCCCGCTCCCCTCCCCGACGGCCCCTCCTCCCGACTCCCCCCCCCGCGGGTCCCGGGCTCCCGCGGCGCCCCCGACCTCCCCCGCGCGCGCCCCGCCCCGGGCCCTCCCTCCGCTGCCCTCCCCGCCCCGCGCCGCCCCTTCCCCGGGGCTGTCACCTGCACCGCGGGGAGCGCGCGGGGCGCGGGCGGCGGGCGGGGCGCGGCGCTCGGCCTCCCGCCCCTACCTGGCCGCCCGCCGCCCGCGGCGGGGACCCCGGCGCCCCGGCCTCCGGCCCCGGCTAGGTCCGCGCACAATGGCGCCCGCAGCCTGCAGCTCGGGTGCGGGCTGCCCGAGAGACTGACAGACTGACAGCTCCCAAACTTCGCGGGGAGGGGCGGGCAGGGGAGGGGGAGGGGGAGGGCGCCGCGCGGGGGGCGGGGCCGAGCCGGGGGAGCCGGGCTCGCGGGCACCGGGCTGGGGAGGGCGGGGAGGGAGCGGGGGAGAGGGCTGGGGAGGGAGGGCAGGGAGGGCGCGCCGCGGGGCCGGGCGCGCAGGTGGCGGCCGGCGGCCGGACGCCCGGAGGAGGAGGAGGAGGAGGAGGTGGAGGAGGAGGAGGAGGAGGAGGAGGGAAGTGGGAGCTCGGAACGCGGGAAGGGGAGAGGAGGGAGGGCTGGGAGGAGGGAGAGGAGGCTGGGGAGGGAGGGCTGGGGGGAGGTGCTGGGAAAAGGTGGAGGCGCGGGAGGGAGGGGAGCCGGGCGGGGAGGGAGGGGAGCCGGGCGGGGAGGGAGGGGAGCCGGGCGGGGAGGGAGGGGAGCCGGGCGGGGAGGGGGCGTGTTCGGGGCGGGCGGCGGGGCCGTGCGCGCCCGGCCGTCTCGGAGGCGCGGGTGCAGCGCCGAGGTCCGGCGGCGGCCGCTCGCTCGGGAGCAGGGGTGGGGTGGGGTGGGACGGGGTGGAGATCAGGAAACTCGGCCGGGCTCCACCGCTCTCCACCCGGATCCCATCCGGGTCCACCCAGCGTCACCCCCTCCGGCTCGGGGCCGCGGAGCACTCCGTCGGAGGCTCGGGCCCGGACGGAAGGGCGCTGGGCCCCTCCGAGTAGAAAGTAGGAGGAGACTTTGGGAGCCTGGGCCCCGGGAGTCGGGGCTCGGCTGCGAAGGGTGAGGCGGGCCGGGCTGGGCTGGGCTGGGGAGGCCAGGGGCCGGGAGAGGGGCGGCTCCTGGCACGGCGGGGAGGGGGGGCCTGCAGGCCCGGGGACCTCTCCCCCAGGTGGGGAGCTGCGCCTCAGCCTTGGGACCCAGATTCCCCCCAGGCCTGCCCCCTGCAGCCTCTCCTCGGCCTGGCCCCGCCACCGCCCCCCGCGAAGCCCCCCTTTCCTGTCTTCCCCGAGCTGCGTCTGGGCTTGTGATGCGGGGTCATCTCCGCGAACTCCCCTGGGTTCTGGCCCCCCGTAGTGTGTGCTTCCTCTCAGCCGCATTGGAACTCAGAGCTGGGAGTGAGTCTCCACAGAGCTGGGGAATGGTGCTGTGAATGGGCATTGCTGGCCAGGACCGAACCCCGTCACCAGATGGTGACTGCCTGTGGAATTAGCACGGGGTGACCCAAGGCTGGCCTTGGAGAGGGTCAGTTCCCTGTACACATTGCCCTCCACATTCGTGGATAGTTAGAACGAGGGCCTCGGCAGGATGAGGGAGAGCCCTGGGGCTGAGCAAGCTGGGCTGCATCGCAGGTGATCCTAGGACTTGGCATGGGGGGGGGGGGGGGCTAGCCTAGGACCTGAAGGGACATGTACATGTGTGGGTTTGAGAGAGACACTGGAAAGGCCGTGTATCCACTCCAGATGCAGGTTCTTTGCCAGAATTCTTAGTCTGGGGGCTAGCTCCAGCCGTCAGGACTCACGCTGGGTTCTCTTAGTCCATGCCCATCAGTAGGCTCAGGAGACGGAATGCCTGGTTGGGCTCTGGCTTGACCCAGGTGGATGCCCACGCAGGATGCCCAGTGGGACACCGCGCTTAGGGGTTGAGCAGTGCTACATTTCACTCATGGTGTCCTTGGAGCTCTGCTGGTAACCAGGATGTCACCAGGATCCCTGGTGGAGCATGGAGCCTGTAGCTGCCCCCTCTCAACCGGACACTGGGATTATTGCATCCGGCTCAGCTCTGCCCTGGAGCTGGGGGCAGTGGGCTCCCAGCCCTTCCCCCACTCCCCACCCAGCCACGCCTTCCTGGTTCCTCTCAGTCCTCAAGCACCTTGGGAGCCCAAGAGAACTTTGCAGGACACCATGTGACCCCATCTAGATACACACAATCACCATCAGAAGTCAGATGCCCAAAAGAAAATGGAACACGCCCGCTTGTCTACCCACTCAGAAGCACTCCAGTGACCTCGCGGGGCCTCGCGGGACCTCACTGCCGGGGTGCCTGGCCTGAAAGGGAACAGGAGAAGGCAGGAAAAGGATGTTCTCCCTAGAACATCCTTGTAAGCTTTTTAGGGGCTGCAAGACCCCGACAGTCTCAGGGGACCATGACCCCCTCGGAACTGAAGTAACAAAACCGTGTACACATGCCATGCCGAAGAACTCACTGAGTCCTCAAGTCCCAACAGCACATTCGGCGGGAAGTCCCTGAAGTTTTCACTGGTAAAGAAACAGAAGCTCAGAAAGGGAGAGTGGCTTGCCCCAAGATTCCTGTTAATTTGTGGTTGTGTGTGAGAGCATGGAGTAGCCCAGGCCCTGCGCGTCTGCTGTGTGGTCCCGGTTGACACGCACCAGGAGGGGCAGGAAGGAGCCTGTTTCCAGGGAGAATGGACCGCAGAGGGGAAAGTGCAGTCTGGTCCAATCCAGTTATACGCAGCTGGTACCCGGGGGCAGACGACTGGAATAAAGCCTCTCCAGTGGAAGGCCATAGTAGGCAGCAGTGTGGGTGGGTGGGTGAAGGTGTCCAGAACACTGCCCAAGCCCAAGGTGACTCGGGCGTGGGCACCATGCTGCTCGCTGCCCTTTTTGGGATGCTATGGGCACTGGCTGATGGGTGAGCAACCCAAGACCTCTTGGCTACGGCCCTCCATTGAAACCCATGTCCAGGGACCCTCTGGGGTATCAGACTCCCCTCCCCTCAGTTTCTCTCCTGTTCTCCTTGCTTGAGGGATCTCCTCTGGGAGTTAGCTTTTAAGGGCCTAGCATCATAGGACAGGGCTTCCTGGTGACCGAGGGGACAGGGGCAGCAGCTGTGGTTTCCTATCGATGGACAGGCGGTGGTGTGAACGGACAGAGACCATCCACGTGGAAGAAGAAGTAGCCCCTCGTCAGGAGGATGTGGTGCCCTGTACCAGCCTCTACTATTACAGCCGCCTCGGCTGGAGGCTGGACCTGCCTTGGAGTAGCGGATCGGGGCTCACCAGGCCCCCGGCGGCTGGGCTCTGTACCATCTACAAGTGAGTGAGGCTCAGTCTGCTGAGCAGGAAAGGAAAGGAGTGATGGCCGGACATCCTGAGTCAGGGAGGGCCTGGCATGAGCAGGCACTAGGGAAGTAGGTCTTGGGTGGTTTGGGGAAGGGTGGAGACTGAGGGATGGGGTGGGAGGCGGAAAGGGCATCATGGTGGGCAGAGCAAGCAGAGGTACAACGTTTGCGGCCTTCAGCAGCATTCTGATCGTGCAGGTGGAGAGATGAGGGTCAGGAGGGGGCGTGATGTGGTAGATGGTCAGAAACAGGCAGAAAGTCCCAGACCTTTCCTCGTGATGGGACGGGGCTGGAACTTTATGTCTTCTTGCTTTGCTCCTTGCTTGGGGGATGCAGGCCCCCCGAAACCCGGCCTGTCACACGGAACCGTACAGTGAGGGTTTGCTGCCCAGGCTGGGGAGGCACCCACTGCACTGAGGGTAGGCACCCCGTCTAGGGGAGCCCACGTGGGGTGGAGGGGAGGTGGCTGTCCTCTCTGCTCACCGTCTGGGCGTGCCCCATTCTCTCCTCCACCCACCACAGCCGTTGCTGAAGCCAGGAATGACAGCCACTGCTTTGCCACACGGCAGTGCCAGCCTCTGGCAGACTCCACGAACGCTTCGGCGGGAAGCCTGGGGGAGTGCTGTGCCCATTCCTGGGGTCGCAGCTGGTGGGACGGGGGTTCCCAGGCCTGCCTCCGCTGTTCCAGCCCGCGCCTTCCAGGTGGGTCTGCGGATCTCAGCCACAAGACAGGCCTGTGTTGACCCTCCCAACTCTGACTTTTCTGCAGGGCCCTGCCTGTGCCACACCGGCTGTCAGGGGCCTGCGATCTTTCCTCCTCCTCTCCCCTAGCCCTCTGTCCCTGCGCTCGGAGGCTCACGCGTGGTCTCCCTCCCAGGCAACAGCTCCTCCGCAGCCCTCCTGCAGCCCCTTGCCGGGGCTGTGGGCCAGCTCCGGAGCCAGCACCAGCATCCCTTGGCCACCTGTGCCACCTGGTCCGGTTTCCACTATCGCACTTTTGATGGGCGTCATTACCACTTCCTGGGCCGCTGCACCTACCTGCTGGCGGGCGCTGTGGATTCCTCCTGGATGGTGCACCTCAGGCCTGGGAGCCACTGCCCCCAGCCTGAGTCCTGTCAGCTGGTGAGGGAGGGCGATGAGATCCTCGGAGGGCTGGACACACAGACAGTAGCGTCTCACCTCATCCTTGGCTCACCTCTCCAGGTCCAGGTGACGATGGGTTCAGATGAGGTGCTGGTCCAGGCTGGAAACGTCTCTGTGAACGGGCAGCTCGTACCCAGTGGGGAACCACGGCTGCTCCACGGTGAGGGCTAGTCCCTCCTCTGGGACAACCTACTCTCCCCCTTGGGTCTGAAGGGTAGCTGCTGCCCCCTCTTGCTGTCAGGAGGGCTTTGGAACCAAGGATCCAGGAGGATGTGGACCTGGTCTTCCGATCCCCGCCCCTCCAAGGGTGACTCAGAAAAGTTCCTCTGCCTAACCTCCTCAGTTTCCCTTCCTGCCCCAGGGCAGTGTTACTGTAGTTGGGACAGAATGAGTGTATGCGTTTGCATACACATATTGGGTGTGTATATGGAGCATGTGTATGGTGTGTGTGTGTGGTGAGTGTGGTGTATGGGGCTGTGTGGTGTGTATAGACATTGGGTATGTATATGGAATGTATATATGCTTTGTGTGGCACATATGTGATACGTGTATATGGTGTGGCATGTGTTCATGTATGATATGTGTATTATGTGTATATGGACTGGGTATGTGTGTATCCTTGTGGTGGTATGTGTTTATGTATGTGTGGTGTGTATGGGTGTATATAGTGCACATTTGATGCATATATATGACAGCTATGGTAGGTTTATGTTGTATATGTGGGGTGCGTATGGGGGTGTATATGTGTGTGTGGGTGCTGTGTGTTTTGTAGTTTGTCCTCACCGGAGTGTCCACATGAGAACACAGAGCTGTGAGGATTCCCTCCCTCCCCTCCCCTCCCCTGGACAGTGGGGACCCCCGCAGTGGGGGGTGGGAATGTGGCTATGGGAGGCTGGGGGTGACTTCTTCTTCCCAGGGCTCAGCCTGCAGTGGCAGGGAGACTGGCTGGTGCTGTCCGGAGGCCTAGGGGTTGTTGTGCGGCTGGACAGGTCCAGTTCCATCTCCATCTCTGTGGACTCTGAACTCTGGGGACAAACGCAGGGCCTCTGTGGGCTCTACAATGGCCGGCCTGAGGGTAGGTGGCATGCAGCCTGGTGACGTGTTGGGAGGAAGGGGAGACAGGACTCCAGGTCCAGCACCTGCCTCGTCCTTCCTCAGATGACTTTTGGGAGCCTAGTGGGGGCCTGGCCATGCTAGCTGCCACCTTTGGGAATTCCTGGAGGGTTCCTGGCTCTGAGGTAAGACCCCTGTCCTGGGCCCCCCACCCCAGGGGAGGTCCCCAAGGGTAGAGGGGGCAGGCCCCAGGTCCCTTAGGAAACTTGGTGTCAGATGCCACCCACATCCCAGCTACTTGCTGTAAATAATCTCACACACACACACACACACACACACACACACACACACAGGTCACTGACCAGCTTTGGCCCTTTAGCCAGTTGTCTAGCTCCTGCCTGTGACTCTGACTCCTCTGTCCACCCTGTCCCCCGAAGCTGGCCGATTGCTTGCCTTAGTGACTCGGGAGGATGTCAGCTAGTGGACATGATGGTGGGGCCTTGAAGCAACTAGGGTCGCCATCACCTTCCTGATGTCCCTTATCACTGCCTCCTGCTCTGGCTCCATGGGTCCCCAGCCTGAGTGTCCGGACGCAGTGGAGGTGGCCCAGGGATGTGCGGGCCCTCTGGGGGGCACAGAGGCAGGCATGGAAGTTGGCCGGCTGCAGGCCGAAGCCCAGGATGTATGCCACCAGCTGCTGGAGGCTCCATTCCAGCAATGCCATGCACAGGTAGGGGGGGAGGGGCGGGTAGTGACGCGCCCCAGAGAGAGAGGGGCCCATGGGTGACCTGGGCAGAATCAGCCAAGCCATCGCCTCCCTGTCCTGGGTGTTGTCTTTGGACACCAAGTGGGAACAGAGTGGCATCTCTGTGTATTCTAAGCATTCTCTGGCTCGTTCTGTTTGATTCTAAGTCAGGGTGTGAAGGAAGTTAGGGGTGGGAGGTGCTGCTGGTGACAAAGGCGTTTGCTGGCTGAGGGCTTCCTTCTTGGCAGGTTTCCCCGGATGAGTACCACGAGGCCTGCCTCTTCTCCTACTGTGCCGGAGCCACAGCGGGCGGTGACCGAGAGAGCCGGCGCTCGGCTGTGTGCGACACCTTTGCCAACTATGCCCAGGCCTGTGCCAGACAGCGTATCTACCTGCACTGGAGGACGCCTGGCTTCTGCGGTACAGCACAGCCCGCCCTGCCCTGCCCAAGGCTCTGACCCAGGGACCTGGCAGGTCCTCGTTTCCCCAGGGCACTGCCACCCGAGTGCTCGCCCAGCTGCTTCCCACAGCCTCTGCTCCTCAAGAGTCTCACCGGCCCTTCCTGTACCCACAGAACGCCTGTGCCCAGGAGGCCAGCTCTACTCGGACTGCGTCTCACCCTGCCCACCCAGCTGCTCCGCCGTGGGCCCGGGCGAGGAGGAGTCCTGCGGGGAAGAATGTGTGAGTGGCTGTGTGTGCCCTCCTGGCCTCTTCTGGGACGGTGCCCTCTGCGTGCCCGCTGCCCGCTGCCCTTGCTACCACCGGCGCCAGCGCTACGCCCCCGGGGACGTCGTACACCAGCTCTGCAACCCATGGTGGGTCCTCTGGCTTGCTGGGGTCAAAGCCAACCGGCTTCCCCTGACCCCGACCCTATGCTGTCTCCAAACCTGCATCCCCCAAATTGGCATCTTACTCCAAGGCCTCCTTCACACTGACCTGTGTGTGGCGTATGACCTCTCTTGGTATGATTAATAGCCCCGTTTAAATACCTGGCCAGCTGCCCTCTCACCCCTTCAGGGAAGGGAGGGGTGTGGGGGAGGAGAACCAGGGTGTGCAGGATCATTCTCCCCCTCTCACCCCACTCAACCTTTGGCTCCAGTTAAGGGCAGATGTCACAACACACTGTCCCTTCCCATGTGTCCACAGTGTCTGCCAGGAGGGCCGCTGGCACTGTACCCAGGCTCTGTGCCTTGCCGAGTGTGCCGTAGGTGGTGATGGACATTACTTCACCTTCGATGGGCGGAGCTTCTCCTTCCGCAGCGGCCCAGGCTGCCGCTACAGCCTAGTGCAGGTGGGCAGAGGGTAAACTCTGAGAAGGGGGTGTGGCCTCACCAGGATCCCGGGATAACTGAGGACACAGGGTCCTGCAGGGAAGCCCAGCGAGAGCATGCCACATATGTGGCATCTCTGCCGGCTCCACCCCTGCAGAGGTGGCAGCCTAGAACTAAACCCACCTCACAGTCTCAGGCCACGTCCACAACACAGCCCCGGGGAGAGAAGCCCCCCTCCCCACTGCCACATCAGCCCTCCCCCACAAAGTCGGAGCACTGCCCAAATTCTACAGCCCCTGCCCACATGCACACTCAGGCTTACGTACACAGACACATGTGTGCACACACCTGCATGCACACACCTCCACACACAAACTTGCCTGCACACATACACACACATCATCATATACACCAACTCTTACTTCGCAGTCTGGCTGGCTGGAAGGTGCTGGGTGGGCGCTGCCTTCCGGTGAGGCTGAAGGGGCTTGTGGGGCCCCGAGGGTCTGCCCCATCCCTGCTTCCTCTGTGTCCCCCAGGACTCTGTGCAAGGCCAGCTGCGGATCGTGCTGGAGCACGGGGCCTGTGACTCTGGGAGCTGCCTCCACGCCCTCTCTGTCTCCCTGGGTGACACTCACATCCAGCTCAGGGACTCAGGTAGCCTCAGCCCCTCCTCCTTGGGGTGCTGACCAGGCCTAGTGTCCCCCTTTCTTTGCCCTATAGACTCTACGCCTCCCCTCATGCTCCTTCACGCGTTGGGGCCCAACAACACTTCCTCCCCCCCCCCCCCCCCGACTCCAGCAGCTCAAGTCACTCACTGCCAGCACCCTGGCCCTCCCCTCTCTGGGGACAGATACACCATCCCGAGGTCATTCTCCAAGCCATCTTCTGCTCCCATACGGGGGGGGAAACACCCATCCTACACTCATGAGGGTCTGAAAGCAGGAGCAGCCAGGCCAGCTCCTCCCGGCCACTGTCCCTTCAACGCGCCCATGTCTGACACAGCTGCTGGGGCTCTGCCCCGTTCCAGCCATGGAGGCCATGCAAAGGATATGCAAAATTGGGCGATGATAAGCGGGCAGGATGTTTTTGGAATGGGCAGGTCTCAAGTGGTATAGGTGCCCACTTGGGGGGACACTCCAGCGGTCCCCACAGCCAACCCTAAAACAAGCTCCCTTCCAAGTCCTTGCTCCTGGTAGCCTCATCACTGCCACCCCCCCATAATTCCCTCTGTTCCATCTAGGTGCCGTGCTGGTGGATGGGCAAGATGTCCACTTGCCCTGGTCTGGTGCTGGGGGTGTCCGGGCCTCCCACGCCTCCTCCGCCTTCCTGCAGCTACGCTGGCCTGGAGCTCGGGTCCTCTGGGGAGTAGCCAGCCCTGCTGTCTACATCACCCTCCATCCCCGCCACGCCCACCGGGTGTGCTAGGCGGCAGGTCAGGGGCGGGGTGTGCCTGTGGGGGGCCATGGATTTAACCTCCCTCATGTCCTCCTTGGCCTAGGTGCTGGGGCTGTGTGGCACCTTCACCTGGAACCAGCAAGATGACTTCCTGACGCCCGCTGGGGACATGGAGACCAGCATCCCCGCCTTTGCTAGCAAGTTCCAAGTGTCCGGTGATGGAAGCTGCCCCTCCACGGACAGTACCCTGCTTGCTCCTTACAACACCCACCCGCAGCACCTCCCACAAGCGGAGGCGGCCTGTGCCATCCTACACGGCCCAGCCTTCCAGGTAGCCAGCTCGTCCCGTCCCGCACCTGTTGAGAACAAGGGACCAGATCCAGGGCCAAGCTGCCAGCCACAGGAAGGCAGCCACAGGGAACCCAAGAGGAAGGGCTGACCCTTTTCCTCTCTGCCCAGGAGTGCCATGGGCTGGTAGACAGGGAGCCGTTCCGGCTGCGCTGCCTGGTGGCTGTGTGGGGCTGCGCCCCTGGCCGGGAATGCCTGTGCACCGTGCTGTCCGCCTACGCGCACCGCTGTGCCCAAGAGGGGGCCCGGCTGCGTTGGAGGAACCAGACTCTGTGCCGTGAGTCCCTTCCCCTTCCCCTCCCCCAGCCTCCTTCTAGAAGGAGTGGGAGTAGGCGGGCCCTCTGATCTTGGGGAACTGGATGGCTGCTTCTCCTAGAAGACACGCGCGCTTGTGTGTCTCTTGTGTCCAGCTGTCGTGTGTCCCGGTGGCCAGGAGTACCGGGAGTGTGGCCCCACGTGCGGTAACCACTGCGGGGAGCCAGAGGATTGTGAGGAGCTGGGTGGCTGTGTGGCAGGCTGTAACTGCCCCCCGGGGCTTCTGTGGGACCCTGAGGGCCAGTGTGTGCCTCCCAACTTATGCTCCTGCCAGCTTGGAGCACGCCGCTATGCCTCTGGCAGTGTCACCGTGAGGGACTGCAACCACTGGTGAGGGCGGCAGGGGGGGGAGGGGAGGGAGGGTGGTGAGGGAGTGGGTGGGCTGTGCTTGCCACACTGACAGGCCCTCTCCAAGATGGAGCCCGGCCGGGTCCCGGAGCTTGGTCGAGTTCTGTCTCTATTGAGTTTTACCCTCTTGACGATAAAGCAGTGAAGTGAGAAATGGAAGAATTGTTCCCACTTGGCAGATGAGGAAACTGAGGCTCAGGTAACCTCAACGGCTTGTGGCTGAGAAGCAGAGGCAGGTTTAGGCCTGAGGAGGCAGGGCCAGATCTCTGAGAAGGAGCACTTGGGAGCTGGGCAGGAAAAGTTGATCTGGTTTCTATTCCATACGAGCAGATCGGCCTACCTGGGGGTTCATGGAATATGGATTCCTAGGATGGCTGCTTCCGGGGTGAGCCAGAGGCCTGGAGTTTGTGTCCCTGCTGGGCCTTCCTCTCACTCCCTGTCTCCCACCCCCTGGCAGCATCTGTCAGGAAAGAGGCCTCTGGAATTGCACAGCTCACCACTGCCCCCCACTGCAGACAGTCTTCTGTCCCCAGGAGCTCATCTATGCTCCCGGTGCCTGCCTCCTTACCTGCGACAGCCCCAGTGCCAACCAGAGCTGCCCAGCTGGCAGCACGGACGGCTGTGTCTGCCCCCCGGGCACTGTGCTACTGGTAAGTCCAGGAAGAGGCAACGAGGAGGCCTTTCCTGTATCAGTGCGCTTCCCGTCCCCATAGCGGCTCTCAAACCATGTCCCGATCCTCTGCCCAGGCTGAGCGCTGTGTGCCTCCGGAGCTCTGTCCCTGCCGGCACAGTGGGCAGTGGTACCCGCCTAATGCCACCATCCAGGAGGACTGCAACACTTGGTATGCCCCATCCCTGTGACCTGTTACCTTCTGACCTTGGGACCCTTGATTCCCCAGATATCATGCCTGCCCACCCGCCACTAGGTACCCAGGTGCTAGAAGAGGTTGAGATGGGGGTCTCCAGACTGGCTTGGATCCTAGGGACCCTCGAGGATCCCCCCGTGCCAGAGTTAGCTCTGTTCTCAATAACTGTCCCCGTCCCTTGCCCACAGCGGGTGCCAGGGTCGGCAGTGGCATTGCACAGGCCATCGGTGCAGCGGACGGTGCCAGGCCTCGGGTGCCCCCCACTATGTGACGTTTGATGGGTTGGCCTTCACCTTCCCGGGGGCCTGTGAGTACCTGCTGCTGCGAGAGGTCAGCGGCCATTTCAGCGTCTCCGCCCAGAACCTGCCCTGCGGGACCAGTGGCCTCACCTGTACCAAGTCCCTGGTTGTCCGTGTGGAGAACACTGCCGTGCACCTGCTCAGAGGTGGCTGTGGCAATGCCGGGGCGGGGGGCATTGCCAGTGGGCAAGGGGCACCGCTGTGTGGCTGGAGCCCGGATTCTCCGAGCTGGCTCCCCATTAGCCCAGTTGTCCTCAGTGTGGTGGGCTTGGCAGGAATCATCATTCTGGAAGCCTCCAAGCAATCAAAGCTTAGAGAAGCCTCATGACTTGCCCAAAGTCACGGAGGTAGAGAAGTTGGGAGGGAAGGCTGACTGTGCCCCCACAAGAACCTAGAAGAGTCGTGGCTGCGGGCAGGGGCTGACTTCCTCTCCTCTTCCACAGGCAGGGCAGTGATGGTGAATGGGGTGAGCGTCAGACTCCCCAAGGTCTACACAGGCCCAGGGCTGAGCTTGCGCCACGCCGGCCTCTTCCTGCTGCTGACCACGCGCCTGGGCCTCACCCTGCTCTGGGATGGAGGTCAGAGCTGCCCTCATGCACTGCACCAGCAAGGCAGGGCCTCTTCCCAACCCCGGCCAATGCCTGCTCCAGCCCAGAGGTCAGGCCCGCCTCCTGACTTCCCCCACAGGGCAGATTTCCAGTGTGGCAGCCAGACCGCTAGTGCCCTCCCCAGTGCTCCTCACACCCAGTACCTTCCCCGGGTCTCAGCCAGGACAAATGACCCAGAGTTTCCAAATTGTGTTTTTATGGTTCTGTTTTCCTTCATTATGAAAGCAATACCAGCTCACCCAAGAAACACAGAGAAAACACCAAGTTTTAGGAAGAAGAAATGAAAATAGATCTCCTAACATCCTACCACCCAAACACAAGCAGTTGGCATCTTGGAAGTGTAACTGTTAGTGAGAATTTGAGAGAAACCAAAATAACTGTATGGACTTGGTACTGTGCAGCTGGGCTGCCCGGGGCTTCTGGCTAGCTCTGTGTGTGTGTGTGGCATGAGTGTGTGTGTGGTATGTATCTGTATGTGTGTGTGGTGTGTGGGTATGTGTGCGATATGTGAGTGTATGAGGTATGTGTGTGGTATGTGTATGAGGTATGAGTGTGTGTGGTATGTGAGTGTGTGAGGTATGTGTGGTTTGTGTGTGTGTGGTGTATGAGTATGTGTGTGGTATGTGAGTGTGTGAGGTATGTGTGTGAATGAGTGTGTGTGGTATGTGTGTGGTTTGTGTGTGTGTGGTGTATGAGTATGTGTGTGGTATATGAGTGTGTGAGGTATGTGTGTGCATGAGTGTGGAGTGTGTGTGGTTTGTGTGTATGGGTATATGTGTGGTGAATGTACCAATGTGAATGGTATGTGTGTGAATGAGTGTGTATGGTATGTGTGTAGTATATGTGGGTGTGGTATGAGTGTGATGTGTGTGAGCGTGTGGTATATGTGTGTGTTGTATGTGAGTGTGTGTGTGTGTGTGTGTGTGTGAGAGAGAGAGAGAGAGAGAGAGAGAGAGAGGTATTCTCATATTTGTTTCCCAGCCAGAATCTGGCCTGACAGAAGATTCCTGGCTCCCCAAAAGCAGTTTATTTGTTTAGTACCAGTCCTGGGACTTGAACTTGGGATCTGGGTGATGTCACTTAGCTTTTTTCCTCAAACCTGATGCTCTGCTACTTGCACCACACCTCCACTTCCAGCTTTTTGCTGGTTAATTGGAGATAAGAGTCTCATGGACTTCCCTGTCTGGGCTGGCTTTGAACCCTGATCCTGAGATTTCAGACTCCTGAGTAGTTAGGATTGCAAGCGTGAGCCACTGGGATTCCGCTCCCAAAGAAGTTTCCTTAGGGAAGCAGGCTTCTAGTTTATCCCCCCAAATATTGGTCTCTTCATTTGATACCGAAAGTTACCCCTCTCCCCAAAGGAGCCAATACCCCCTGTTGGGTGGGGGTGTCTGCAAAGGATGGTGTTATGCCCCTGGACTTTCCCTCAACCCCCACTCTGGCTGAGGGCCAGTGGAATATTTTTATTGTTGTTGGTCGTGGAGCTTGAACTCTGGGCCTGGGCGCTGTCCCTCAGCTCTTCAGCTCAAGGCGAGTACTCTACCACATGAGCCACAGCACCACTTCTGGTTTTCTGGTGGTTTATTGGAGATAAGAGTCTCCTGGTCTTTCCTGCCTGGCTGGTTTTGAACTGTGATCCTCAGATCTCAGCCTCCTGAGTAGCTAGGATGACAGGTGTGAGCCACCGCACCCTGCTAGCGGAGTAACTTTTCTAATGATGTCACTAGGCACCCGAGTACTGATACAGCTGAGCCCCCGCTTCCGTGGCCGCGTGGCCGGGCTGTGTGGAGACTTCGACGGCGATGCCAGTAACGACCTGCGGAGCCGCCAGGGAGCCCTGGAGCCCGTGGCGGAGCTGGCTGCCCATTCCTGGCGCCTCAACCCCCTCTGCCCAGAGCCAGGAGACCTACCGCACCCCTGCACCGTGAGCACGGGTGGGAGGAAGGGAGGTGGGAGCCCTCCCCAGAGCAGAGGGCTGGGGTGGTGTCCAGGACACACCTCCCGCCTCCCGCCGCAGGTGAACGGCCAGCGAGCGCCCTGGGCCCGGGCCCGCTGTGGAGCGATGCTGCACCCACTCTTTGCCCCTTGTCACGCCGAGGTGTCCCCGCAGCAGTACTACGAGTGGTGTGTGTACGATGCCTGCAGGTGAGGAGGACCCGCCAAGGGCGTGGACGGGGGCGCACCGAGGGCAGAGAGGGCCCCTGGGCTCACTGCTCCCCCTCGCAGCTGTGACTCTGGCGGTGACTGTGAGTGCCTGTGCTCGGCCATCGCCACCTATGCTGACGAGTGTGCCCGGCATGGATGCCATGTGCGCTGGCGCAGCCAGGAGCTCTGCCGTGAGTGTGCCTCCTGGGATTTTTGTCAGTCGTGGGGCTTGAACTCTGGGCCTGGGCGCTGTCCCTCAGCTCTTCAGCTCAAGGCGAGCGCTCTACCACGTGAGCCACAGTGCCACTTCCAGTTTTCTGGTGGTTCATTGGAGATCAGAGTCTTACGGACTTTCCTGCCTGGGCTGGCTTTGAACCGTGATCCTCAGATCTCAGCCTCCTGAGTAGCTAGGATGGCAGGCGTGAGCCACCAGTGCCCAGCTGTGAGTGCACCTCTTGAAAGGTGCCTGTCCTGTCCCGCCAGCCATTTAGTTACTCAGCTCCCGGGGCTGTGGCCCTGCAGTCTGGTGTCCTCAGGCCTCAGTGAGCCATGGTTCTCTCTCTCCTGTCCGTTTAGCCCTGCAGTGTGAAGGGGGACAGGTGTACGAAGCCTGTGGTCCCACGTGTCCCCCCACCTGCCACAACCTCCGTCCAGAGCCTGGATGGCACTGCCAAGCTGTGGCCTGTGTGGAGGGCTGCTTCTGTCCCGAGGGGACGCTGCTGCACGGTAGGTAGTCAGGTGGGCAGAGGGTCAAGGACACAGGCTGGGGAGAGGCCGCGGGGCCGGGGCGGTGGGCCGGGGCGGCGCAGGTGCACATTCCTCTCTGTGCTGTGCCTTCAGGAGGCGCCTGCGTGGAGCCGGCCGCCTGTCCCTGCGCGTGGGGGGACAGCTTCTTCCCGCCGGGCGCTGTGCTACACAAGGACTGCGGGAACTGGTAAGTGGGGGTGCCTGGGGGCAGCTTAGGCCCCCCCCCCCGGACTGGCCTAGCCCAGCTTGTGGCTGACTCCCGGCCCCTGTGCTCAGCACGTGTCGGGAGAGTCAGTGGCACTGTGAGGAAGACAGTGCCACCTGTGAAGAGCCGGTGCCCAGCTGCGCCGAGGGAGAGGTGCCGTGCCAGGAGAGTGGCCACTGTGTGCCCCTCGAGTGGCTTTGTGACAACCAGGACGACTGTGGCGATGGGTCGGATGAGGAGGGTGCGTGCCTTCGCCCCGGGGGTGGCTTCCCGGGCAGCTGCTTCCATTGCCAGGAGCTATGGGAGGATGCGCTGATTCTTCTGAGCCCGGGGGATTCTCTGCAACCCTCTGACACTGGAGCACCCGGCCTCTGCCCTCCTGTCTTGTGCCAGGCTGCGCCACACCAGGCTGTGGGGAGGGACAAATGTCCTGCCACTCCGGCCACTGCCTGCCCCTGGCCCTGCTCTGCGATGGACAGGATGACTGTGGAGATGGCACCGATGAGCAAGGCTGCCCGTGCCCCTCCGGCTCCCCGGCCTGTGCTGACGGGCGCTGCCTGCCCCTGGCCCTGCTGTGTGACGGTCATGCGGATTGTCCAGACGCCGCGGATGAGGAGTCCTGTCTGGGTGAGCTGTCTCGACCCTACACTAGTCCCCAGGGCGCCTTTCCCACAAGGCCCAGCTCCTGGTGGAGCCTGCCCTCCCCCCCCCCCCCCCCCCCGCTCCTCTTTGGCAAGTTGGCACCTGCACCCTAAACTGAAAGCAGGGGCAGTATCCGGGGACTACCTCCTCTCTCCGACCGCAGGCCGGGTAAACTGTGCCCCGGGGCAGGTGTCCTGCATTGATGGAGGTTGCATAGACGCCCTCCGGTTGTGTGATGGCGTCTGGGACTGCCCGGATGGAGCGGATGAGGGGCCTGGGCACTGCCTCCTGCCCTCTCTGCCCACGCCTCCTGCAGATACCGTGCCCAGCCCCTCCACTTCAAGTCCCTGGGGCAGTGCCAGTCCTGGTGAGTCTCCTCGAGGAGATGGGGGTGCGGAAGCTGAAGGGCTGAGGGTCTGCCAGGAGGGACAGGAGGGAACGTCTCAGAGGGAACGGCCACACTCTGGGGCTGCAGATGCTACAATCGGGAGTTGAAGGTATTTGAGAGGGATTCAGGGACCAGACTTAATTTCTTGGCATTCAAGGCCTCCTTCTGAGAGGGAATCTAACGGAAATTTTTGGACAAGAAGGCTTTCAGAAAACCAACAGTCCAAGCCTGGCACTGGTGGCTCAGGCCTGTAATCCTAGCTACCCTGGAGGCTGAGATCTGAGGATTGTGGTTCAAAGCCAGCCCAGGCAGAAAACTTCATGAGACTCTAATCTCCAATCAACTACCTAAAACCCAAAAGTGGTGCTGTGGTTCAAAGTGGTAGAGTGCTAGCCTTGAGCAAAAAAGCTCAGGGATAGTGCCCAGGCCCTGAGTTTGAGCTCCATGTCTGACAAAACAAAGCAAAACAAAACCCCAACAGCCCACTTCAAGAGGGCTCGGACTCCAGGAGCATGGGCTTCTGGGGCGGAAGAGGGTCTCCTGAGATGTAGGGATGAGCCAGGCCGGCGGGACCTGTCTGCTCCCGCCAAGAGCCAGCACAGGTGCCCGTTGCAGCGCCCCCCTGCGGCCCCTTGGAGTTCCGGTGCGGCAGCGGCGAATGTGCCCCACGGGGCTGGCAGTGTGACCAGGAGGAGGACTGCGAAGATGGCAGCGATGAGCTGGGCTGCCGGGAGCCCTGTGCTCCGCCCCACGTGCCCTGTGCCCACGGCCCCCACTGCGTGTCCCCGGAGCAGCTGTGCGACGGCCTGGCACAGTGCCCCAACGGCTGGGACGAGCACCCAGACACCTGTGGTGAGTGCGGCAGCCCCCGCCCTGGGCGGCTCCGCGTGCCGGGCACGTCGCTCCCCGAGCACCACCGCCTTGGCCCCTGGGCCGCTCGGACAGGGACCCAGGGCTGAGGACCTCAGAGACCAAGTGACCCTTGAGCTCCTTTGATCTTCTCTCATGAAGCTTTAAAATAACATTTTTCTTTTGCGCTTCCCTGCAGGCCCAGGAGAGAGGGGGAAGGGGCAAAATGTAGTCTCTGCTCACGGGTGGAGGGCGATTCCGAGGGCATGGAGAGGGGTCTGTGTGCAGAGCCTTCTCACCTACCCCCCCCCATCAGAGCAGAACCCTGCAAGTCAGTCCTTCAGGCCCTGGCCGCCTCTCTGGAGAGGAGGCCCACAGGCCCCAAACTCAGGGCCTTCCCCTCCAGAACCCCTAGAAAAGGGGCGGATCCCGTGCCTCATGCCTGCCTTCCTCCTCCAGTGCCTGCCTTCCTCTCCTGGCCGGCAAGGTGTGAGCACTGCAGACATTTCTCAACCTATCCACAGGCTCTACCCAGCTGCCCCCATGCCAAGGGCTCCTCCCCTGTCGTTCGGCTCCCTGGCTGTGCCTGAGTCCCGAGCAACACTGTGATGGGACCGCTGAGTGTCCCCAGGGCGAAGATGAGCTGGGCTGTGGTATGAACACTTTGCAGGGGGAAGAGGAGGGCGGAGGGGAGCAGTTGCTGGCCTGGGCTAGGAGCTGGCTCTCATTCCTCACTCGCTGTATTCTCCTTTCTTTCCCAGACAAGCTGTCAGCCCCACAAGGCCCCAACGAGACCGGGACACCGTGCCCAGAATACGCATGCCCGAATGGCACCTGCGTTGGTTTCCAGCTGGTGAGGGTGGGGACCCGGGGTGGGGATGGCAGGGGCGTTGTGCACCCGTGGGGCAGGAGCCGAGCTGTCCTCTCTGCAGGTGTGTGACGGGCGTGCGGACTGTGAGTTGGCGGGTGAAGCAGAGCTCTCCCCAGAAGAGCAGGGCTGTGGGGCCTGGGGTTCCTGGAGCCCGTGGGAACCGTGCAGCCACACCTGTGGGCCTGGAGTGCAGAGCCGGAGCCGCCAGTGCTCCCCAGTCCACCTCCCAGCCCTGCAGCTCTGCCAGGGGCCCAGGCAGGAGTCTCAGGCCTGCTTCACCGAGGCCTGCCCAGGTGAGGGGCTGTGGCACACGCAGGGTGGGGGAGAGGAGGGGAGGGGAAGGCCCCAGGCCTCCCGCTCTGCTCACGGCCCCTGTGCTGGCAGTGGACGGCCGATGGAGCTCCTGGTCTCCCTGGTCCCTGTGCTCTGAGCCGTGTGGGGGCACCATGCTGCGGCACCGCCAGTGCCACCCGCCCCAGAACGGGGGCCGGGCCTGCGGCCTGCTGCCTGGCGACCCCCACAGCGCCCACCAGACCCGTGAGTGGAAGGGAGCCGGTCGGGGTGGTGGAGGGATTGCCACCAGACCCTGGGGGCGCGGGGAAGAAATGGCCGATCTGCCAGTGGGACACTGACCTCTGACCTTGGGTCCGGCCTGTTCTCAGAGCCCTGCCCCCTGGAGGGCTGTCCCAATGCCACCTGCTCTGGGGGGCTGGTGTTCTGGCGCTGTGCCCCTTGCCCTTTGACCTGCGAGGACATCTCTGGCCAGGCCACGTGCTCGCCTGACAGGCCGTGTAGCAGCCCAGGTAAAGGGGGCTCTGGGCACAGGGGCTGTGGAGCCACCTTGTCTGCATGGAAGACTCACCTTGGGCCTTTCTTAGGCTGCTGGTGCCCAGAAGGCCAGGTGAGGGGCAGTGAGGGGCGCTGCGTGCGGCCCCAGGACTGCCCCTGCCTGGTGGAGGGCGCCCGCTACTGGTCTGGGCAGCGGATCAAGTGGGACTGCCAGCTGTGCATCTGCCAGCACGGGCAGCCGAGACGCTGCAGGCCCAACCCTGACTGTGCAGGTGAGCCCCCTCTTCCCTGGCCCCTCCCTCAGGAGTCCCGCCCTTCCCCCACCCAGCTGGGTACTCTACCCTGACTCCTGCTCTCTCTTCCTCCCCCTCTCTCTCTCTGTCTCAGTGGACTGTGGCTGGTCCTCCTGGTCCCCCTGGGCAGAGTGCCTGGGTCCCTGCGGCAGCCAGAGTGTCCAGTGGTCCTTCCGGAGCCCCACAAACCCACGCCTCTCCGGTCGAGGCCAGCAGTGCCGTGGCATCCACCGCAAGGCCCGCAGGTAGCTGCCGGGATCCTGCCCTCAGCTCTGCCTCCCGCTTAGGTGGCTTCTTGGGTGACTCCTTCTCCTGTAGGTACTTCATATACACTCAGACCCAAAATTAAGACCTTCCTTTGTGCCAGGCACCAGTGGCACACACACACCTGGAATCCTAGCCACTCGGGAGGCTGAGATCTGAAGATCAAGACTTAAAGCCAGCCTAGGCAGGAAAGTCCATGAGACTCATGTCTTCAGTTGACTCCCAAAAATCTTACTCTGCTCCTTCTCTGGCTACATCCCCAGACTCCCTGGGGACCCCAACCTTCTATTTCTAGGGGGGGCAGAAAGAGCTCACAAGCACAGCCTGACAATTCCAGGGGCTGGAATTGTGTGGAGGCTCTGGGGGTGGGGTGTGGGGGACACAGCCTCCTGTGCCTGTCCAGTTGCTTTGGGACGGGCTGCGGTGTTGCACACACTGCTACCTCACCCCTCTTTGGGCCACTTCCGATGTCCCAGATGTAGGACTGGGCGAGGTGATAAGGTGACAATTCAGTCCGGACCCCCCCACCCCCTTTCTCCTCCCCCCCATCTTCTCGCTGAAAGTCCTGAGCCCCAGGCCCTCCCTCCTGAGCCCCAGGCCCATCCCCCTGGGCCCCAGGCCCGCCCTCCTGAGCCCCAGGCCCTCCCTCCTGAGCCCCAGGCCCTCACTCCTGAGCCCCAGGCCTGCCCTCCTGAGCTCCAGGCCTGCCCCCCTGAGCCCCAGGCCCACCTTCCTGAGCCCCAGGCCCATCCCCCCTGAGCCCCAGGCCCTCCCTCCTGAGCCCCAGGCCCTCCCTCCTGAGCCCCAGGCCTGCCCTCCATCCAGCACAAGGGTGTTGCTCATCCCTTCCAGGTGCCAGACAGAGCCATGCGTGGGCTGTGCGCAGCAGGGCCTTGAGCATCGCGTGGGGGAGCGCTGGCGTGAGGGCCCGTGCCGCGTGTGCCAGTGCATGCACAATGGCACCACAAGCTGCTCCCCCTACTGCCCCCTAGGCAGCTGCCCTCAGGTGAGGGCCCGGGAGTGGGCGTGGCAGTCTGGAGGGTGATGTGGACGCCTCAAGCTTGGGAGACACGTGGGTGGGTCAGAAGCGGCCAAGCGACCTGACTTCTGTGCCCCACAGGGATGGGGCCTGGTGGAGGGAGCAGGAGAATCATGCTGCTACTGTGCCCCGCCCGGTGAGTGAGGCTGGGGGTGGCAGCAGAGGGATCCCAAGGAGAGGAGAATCCCCTGGGCCTTGAGAGCGAGCTGGGGTGGTCTGGCTTCCTTGTCCTGAAAGGTGTTCATGGGTGATGAGGCCAGGACTGAATACAACACCTATTCACAGCTGTACACACAGCTATATACACACATGCAGCCGTACACATGCACACAGCTGTACACACACATGCAGCTGGACATAACCCACGCAGCTGGACACATGCACACAGCTATATACATACATGCAACTGTATACATACATGCGGCTGTGCACGTGCAAGCAGCTGCACACGTGCATGCAGCTGTACATATGTGGCTGCACACACGCATGCAGTTTATACATGCATGCAGCTGTGTTCATCCATGTAGCTGTGTACACATATGCAGCTGTACACATGTGGCTGTACACACATGCAGCTTATACATGCATGCAGCTTATGTATACATGCAGCTGAATACATGCATGCAGCTGTGTTCACGCATGCAGCAGTATCCATGCATGCAGCTGGACTCCAGCTAACAAGGCTGCTTCCATGTGAATGACAGCAGGCCTGGCTTGAGACCTGCACCTGCTCCATCCAGTTCTGATAGTTGCTTTGGAATGACAGACTATTCCCCTAAATACACAGTGGAAGCAAAACAAACCCAATTCACACAGAGGGAAGGAGGAGTCCTCCCCAATGCCAGGGTTTTCCTGGGAAGTCATGAGAGGGGGGATCCAAGCAGTGAGCGTGGCTGGGAGGACTGGTGTGAGTGACCCTTGGTCGCTTCCTCCTGAGCCTCGGGTCTTCCCCCACAGAAGAGAACCAGGCTGAGCCCCTGGTGGCCCCTCCTGCGCCTGCTCCAGCCCCCAGCTCGCAGATTGGAGCTCCTCTGGTTACCTATGTCCTGCCTCCACGGGGAGGTAAGGCACATACCGTTGAGATGGACGCTAAGAAGGGGCTCAGTGTCCCGGGCAGGGCTGGCTGGCGTGGAGGGCACGAGACTGCTGGGCTGGTCCTGTGCCCCATGCACTGGAGCTTGTCCATGCCCTGCCATGCCCTGCCATGCCCTGCCCTTCTGTCTTGTGCTAAGGTCACTCTGGGGGACCCCAGCACTCCTGTCGTGCCCTGCTCTGTCTCTTCTCTATCCAGATCCCTGCTATTCTCCCCTGGGCCTGGCCCAGCTGCCCAAGGGGAGCCCAGCGCAGGAGCCCCTCACCTCGACTGCGCCCCCAGGAGCTCCCACTGAGGGGCCTGGCCTCGGAGACCATGCCGAGTGGCACACCCGGCCGCCCTACCTGCAGCTGCACCTTCTGAGGCCCCGGAACCTGACTGGTGAGTGGGGAAGAGGGGCCGGCCATGGCAGGAGTGGCCATGGCAGGAGTGGCTCCCGTGGGGCTGACCCTCTCTTTGTCCCGCACCCCTCCCCCCAGGCATCATCGTGCAGGGGGCTCGTTCCTCCCCCACGAACGCCGCCAGCTTCTCGCTCCAGTTCAGCAGTGATGGTCGACACTGGCACAACTACCATGACATCCTGCCCGGCACCTTGCCCTCAGCCCAGGTACCAAATGCCCAAGGCCTCACCGCACCCCTGTGTGGAGCCCACAGGGGTTTGGTTTTGTTTTTGTTTTAGTGTTTTGTTTTTTTGGTCATGGGGTTTGAACTCTGGGCTTGGGCACTCAGCTCTTACAGCTCAAGGTGAGCGCTCTACCACTTGAGCCACAGCACCATTTCCGGTTTTCTGAGTGGTTTGTTGGAGATAAGAGTCTCCCAGACTTTCCTGCCCCGGCTGGCTTTGAACCGTGATCCTCAGATCTCAGCCTCCTGAGTAGCTAGGATGACAGGCATGAGCCACCAGCACCCAGTGAGTCCACACCATTTTTGTCCCCAAGGGGCTTTGTCTCTCCAAGGGCTAGCCCTGCCTTCGATGCTTATGGAACGCAAGTGGACACTGGAAAACCTCCATCTGGCTCTGGTCTTTGGAGCACTATGGCAACCTGGGAAGGAGAAGGGGTGGGAGACCCTAAGTTCATGGAGGGCTTTAGGGAACTAGGCCCCACAGAGGCCTCCCAGGGAGACAGGGCCCAGTCTACACAGGTGTTTGCTCTTAGCTATCTCAGGAACCTCTGCTCTGGGCCAAAGCTAGGATGGTCCTGAGGAGCCCGCTGTGGGCACAGCTTCACCCCTGCCCTCAGGCACTGCCAGACCAGGGGGCGGGGCTTAGACCAGAAGCCAGGCCTTTCTCTGGCCTTGAGGATGCCTTGTCTACTGCTGGGTGGGCATGGGCTCCAGCAAGGTACCTGGACAGGCAGAAACGGGGGGGGGGGGGGGCTCCAGGAAGGACCCACAGAGGCAGCCTGAGCACCAGGCAGGTCTGAGTAAGCAGGCATCCTCTTCTGCAGGCTCTCCCTGAGAACTGGGCCAATGTGGACCTGGAGGCATGGATGTTTGGCCAGGTAGTGCAGGCGAGGTACGTCAGGATGTGGCCACACCATGCCCTGCACGGTGCTGTCCAGCCCCGCCCCTTCCTGTGGGCGGAGCTACTGGGCTGTGAGCCAGGTACAGGCTGGTGTGGGAGTGGGAGCAGCGGGAGTGGGCGGAGCATGGCAGAGGCTCTTAGCAATAGCCTCTCCCCAGCGCCTCTGTGCCCAGAAGCTGGGCACCTCTGCGCCAGTGGTGAGTGCGTCCTGACGGGCAGCCGGTGTGACGGGGTTGTGGACTGCGAGGACGGCTCTGATGAGCAGGGCTGCGGGCCCTGGCCTGCCCACACTGGCAGGTAGGGCCTGGTCTCAGCCTGGACTGGGAGGGGACAGCGTGGGGAGGAGCAGCCGGGGCCCTGCAGCCGGGGCCCTCCGTGTGTGCCTGCCATCATGGCGGGCTGAGAACCCCTGTCCAGCCTGAGCAGGCGTCGCTCCGCTTGAATGCCCCACCTCAGCCCACCACTCCCATCCATCCTAGATGAGGGGCTCCGGGGCTAGGGAAACCCCTAACTCCCCCTTGGTGTTTTTTTCTTCCCAGTGTCCCTTCCACAGCCGTGACTCCAGCTTCCCCCTCCTCCCCTCCGGAACAGCTTTCCCCTCAACCCAGGGAGGTGAGTGGGAAGCTCCAAGTCCCCCAGAAGGTGTACAAAGGACAGGGCCCTGGGCCTCACTGTCTCACTGGTGCTGCTCCTGCACCTGCACCTGTGTCTTCCTCCCTCTCACACGTTCATTTCCTCCTCTGTCAAGCCTTCAACCTGGAGCCTTCTGGAGGCCAGCTCGGTGTGAGGGGGAGGGATGGGGGCTGAGGGGATGGACCGAGGTGCAGAAAAGCACAGGGCTGGAGAGTCCTGAGTCCCTGGTGGAGACCTCTCCCCACAGGGGAGGGGCAGCCCATTGGCTCTGGGGGAGGAGACAGCTCCATCCTTGGCCCAAGCTTTGGGAGGCAGAGGAGGTGGGGAGATGGTGGATGTATCTGCATCCTGTGTGGGAACAAGAGGCTGGAAGCTGGGGGACCATGTGGAGCCTTCCCCAGGGCCGGGGCTGCACGTGGAGGCTGAGCCCTCTCTCCTTGCAGGGTCTAGCAGAAACGGAGCCCAGTCATTCAAAGTGGGGGTCATCCATGCCTCTCACAGGTATGTGCACACCCTGTGCCCCTCCCCTGTGAAAAAAGTCCCAACAGGCCTGTTCTCTCCAATTAACGGCTCAAAAACCAGCAGTGGCGCTGTGGCTCAAAGTGGTAGAGCACTCACCTTGAGCAAAAGAGCTCAGGGACAATGCCCAGGCTCTGAGTTCAAGCCCCACAACTAACAACAACAACAAAACATCTCTCGGGCTTTTCTGCTGGCGCTGGCTTTGAACCTCAACCCTCAGACCTCAGTCTCCTGAGTAGCTAGCATTACAGGCATGAGCCAGCAGCTAATTGAGAGTTTTCATGAAATGAATCGCTGGTCAGAACTTTTCTTTACTTTCCCTTAACACTGCTCTTGTGCTTCTTCGCCTACCAATGTCAACTGACTTTTCGACCTGAAGGTCCTCTGGGGTGGGTGGAGTCTAGGGCACCTATGATCAAGCCTAAGATTCACTCTCCACCTCACTTGCTCTGGGGGTTAGAGCAGCGGGCAGTCATCCCCTCCCTTCCCCCTCCCCCCCAGGGAAGAGTCCGATGAGCCCTGCCTCAATTTCTCCAGCTCCTCATCCCATGCAGCCAACAGCCATCACCCCCACCTACCCTCCTGGGACCGAGAATCTGCAACCAGGAGCGGCGGCCTTGCTGTCCCCACACCCTGTAGGAACCACTGCTGGTAAGACTCAGCTCTCTGTCTGGATGCAAAACCTGGCAGGCCAATTCTCTCTGAAGGGCCGGAAGCCAGAGGGGACAGAGATCCCTTTGCTCAAAGTCTCATAGCTCATTTTCTCGTAGAACCAGATCTAAGCCCTGTTTCCTGACCCAGTCCATCCTTTCCCATTCTCCCAAGAGAGGCAGGCAGTCAGGTCCCCCTACTGTGCTATGATCAAGGAAGAAAAGTAGGACGACTGGGTTCCTGGTCAGCTGACTGCGGTGGTACCCACAGGTCACAGCATCCCCCCGAGGCCCTTCCCGCCCATGCGTTGCGGCCCCGGCCAGACGCCGTGTGAGGAGCTGGGCTGTGTGCGGCAGGACCAGCTGTGTGATGGGAAGGAGGACTGTCTCGATGGCTCTGATGAGGGGCACTGTGGTGAGCGGGCAGGCCAGCGTCACACACTGCGCATGGCGGGAGGGTGGTGGGATTCCTTGCTCCCGTTTCTAACCCATATGGAAAAGGCTTGGGAGAGAATGGTGCAGTAAGGAGCATAGAGGAGCTGAATGTGCCAAAACAACCAGGAGTGCCTTTCGAGAAGATGAAGAGGGAGAAGGGAGAGGCCTGTCAGATGGCCTTTGAGAAGGTCCATCCATCCACCCACCTATCCATCCATCCAGGCTCTCATACACTTGTCCATCCATCCATCCATCCAACCATCCATTCATCCACCTATCATCTACTCATCCATCACCCATCTATTCATCCCACCCATCAATCTACCAATCTAGTTATTCATTTACCTATTCTGTCCATCTGTCTGCCTATCTATCTATCTACCTAATCTATCCACCCATTTACTCACCACACTAATCTATCCATCCATTTATCCATCTACTTACCTCATCCATCTATCCCTCTACCTATCCATCCATCGATCTGTCCATCCATCTGTCCATCCATCCATCCATCCATCCAAAGTTGATCAAAGAGTGATCTTCCAATCCGAAGAGGAATAGTGTTCCCCAGTTGCAAGAAGGGTCACCCCAGGGAGTAGGAGTACCCATTCAGGAAAAAGGTAACCAAAGGGGATTAACTGTTCTTCTTCATGCTTTGGCTTCTTGGCACTCCAAGAATCTTTGTTTTTGATGCTAGTACTGGGACTTGAACACAGGGTCTCAGACTCTCGCTTGGCTGTATCACTCAAGGCTGGCACTCTACCACTTGAGCCACACCTCCACTCCCGGAATCTTTGACAAGCACAGAGATTGTGTGAGATCTGGGTGGCTCAAAGACCCTGGGTGGACCTCATCCACATGCAGAGGAAGCAAGCGTGCTCCGGACGCAGGCTGTGGGAAGTTTTGGGAGGAAGGCGAGGTCAGGGACTCTAGCTAGCAAGCTCTATCCCAGATTGAAAGGGTTCCGTTGATCATCCAGCCACAAATCACTTCCGTGATTTCTCCTTTCTCCTCTTCCTGCACTGGTGGGCAGCGAGTGCTGTGCCCTTCACCGTGCCTGCCACAGCCGTGCCTGGGCTGCCCTCCTCGAGAAACCTCTGCTCGTCCAGCCAGCTGAGCTGTGCCAGTGGGGAATGCCTGCCCGCTGAGCGGCGCTGTGACCTGCACCGAGACTGCCAGGACGGCTCCGATGAGGAAGACTGTGGTATGCACCTGCTGGGTGAGGGGCGGCCCTGAGGGACGTGGTCCCGCCCCAGCCGCCTCTGAGCCCCGCCCACCCATCCCGGCAGCGGACTGCGTGCTCACACCCTGGTCTGGCTGGAGCGGCTGCAGCCGCAGCTGTGGCCTGGGACTCACTGTCCGGCGCCGGGAGCTGCTGCGGCCTCCGCTGCCCGGGGGCGGCTGCTCGGCAGAGCAGCTCCACAGCAAGCCCTGCTTCCTGCAGGCCTGCCCAGGTACCCGGGCCCCAGACGGACGTGGGGTTGATTGCAGACCCCTTTATGTGGGAGATCTGGGTTGGCTCATATCCAAGACCCTCACTAAGGAGGCGGCCTCTGCACTCCACGGGGAACCCCAATGCCCAGCCTTCTTCTCTGGGACTCTAGGAAGAGGCCGCTCCTCTGATGTCACAGCCTTGTCAGGAAACCTGCTCCCCTGGTCCCGTCCCACCCCAGACGTCCATCCTGGCTCTGGATGGGACCCACGCCAGGCTCTGCTGTCACAGCCCTTCCCAAGGTCCAAGAGACCCCTCGAGGTGTCTTCCCCTTATGGTCCCCCAACCTGTGGATGACAGGTGGAGGAAGCAGCAGAACGCCAGTATTTTCCGGGGCCCTCCCTCATTCTGCCCCTCCCTCTCTAACACTGTCTCTCGGGGATCTTCCTTAGATGCTATTTCTCCCTACAGTGGCTGGGGCCTGGGCAGACTGGGGCCCCTGGGGCCCCTGCAGTGTCTCCTGTGGGGGTGGCCACCAGAGTCGTCAGAGAAGCTGCGTGGACCCCCCTCCCAAGAATGGCGGTGACCCCTGCCCTGGGGCGTCCGGAGAGAGGGTACCCTGTGGGTTACAGCCCTGCCCTGGCGACAGAGGTAAGGGGGAGCTGTCATAGCACCCCATGAGCAGGTCTCTGGGCCTTCCTCTGCCCAGTGCCCACTCCACCCATGTCCGCCTCCCTCCCTCAGACTGCGGGCTGGGCCGTGTGCTTGTGACAGCTGAGCTGTGCCGGAAGGGGCTAGTGCCCCCGTGCCCGCCCTCCTGCCCGGACTCCCAGGCCAACAGAAGCTGTGGTGGACAGTGTGTGGAAGGTGGGGTACCCCTTAGCCTCCCCAGGCCCCGCCCTCAGTTCCCACCCTGCTGTCCCGGGACTGAGTGCTCTCCTCCATCACACGCCCAGGATGCCGCTGTCCCCCGGGGCTCCTCCTGCAGGACTCACACTGCCTTCCCCTCTCCGACTGTCCCTGCCTGGTGGATGTAGAGCTCCGCCCACCAGGACCCGCCTTCCTCCTGGACAACTGCAGCCAGTGGTGAGGCGCTGGGCCGAGGGCGGGCGCTGGGCGGGGCCTCCACCCCCGCCGCCGCTCAGCTTCTCCCTCCTCCCCTGCAGCACTTGCGAGAAGGGTGCGCTGCTGTGCCAAGCAGCGGGCTGCCCCCAGGCCTGCGGCTGGTCAGCCTGGTCGCCCTGGACTCCCTGCGACCGCTCCTGCGGCTCCGGAGTGAGGACCAGGTTCAGGTGAGGAGTTAAGTAGGGGAGGAAATGGGGTGGAGGAGGAATGGGGCGCAGGAGGGGTCTGCCCTGAATGGGAAGGCAGGAAAGAGGACAGAGCAGCAGGAGGGCTGGGAAGGAGGGAGGGGAACAGGTGCCTAGGGCTGTCTCTCTCCCCAGGTCTCCTTCCAACCCTCCCGCGGCTTTTGGGGGTGCCTCATGTGAGGGTGACAGGCAGGAACTACAGGCCTGCCACACAGAGTGTGAGACAGGTACTGTAATAGGGGTCCGCCCTCTTCCAATTGCACGTGCCCAGAGCACTTGGGGGTGGGACCCCTGGTACCCTGGGTGGGCGGCCGGTGACGCCTTCCCAGCAGAAACGGCACTATTTACCTTGTTTTATTTCAAGTATTTGCTTTTGCTGGTACTAGGGCTTGAACTCAGAGTCTGAGCCCTTAGCTTTTTCCACTTGAGCCACAGCTCCACTTCTGGTCTTTTGGTAGTTAATTGGAGATTAAGAGTCTCGTGGACTTTTCTGACCTGGCTGGCTTTGAATTGTGATCTTCAGATCTCAGCCTCCTGAATAGCTAAGATTACAGGCGTGAGACACGTATCCAGAGAGGCAGTCTTTGTTGTTTGTTGGTGGTGGTAGTGGTGGGGCTTGAAGTTGGAGCCTGGGCACTTTCCCTAAACTTTTTTGCTCAAGGCTAGTGCTCTCCCACTTTGAGCCACAGCGCCACTTCCAGTTTTCTGGTGGTTAATAGACTTTCCTGCCCAGGCTGGCTTTGAACTGTGGTCCGCAGATCTCAGCATCCTGAGTAGCTAGGATTACAGGAGTGAGCACCAGTGCTTGGCTGCAAGATAGTCTTCATTGGCCTGAGTGGGTGGGCTTTGGTGGGGAGGAGGATAAACTCCCACATGGATGGGTCAGATGCTGACCAGAGACATGTCTGCGCAAGTGTGTACAGAACACGAGCAGATAAGGCCGCCTGGCTGGCTGTGGGTGTCAGACGGGGGTCTCAGACACAGAGCACTTAGAAACCAGACGAAGTGCCAAAGCGTTTCCATTCTCGTGGACTGGGAATCCCCCAGGCTGGGCCTGTCCCTGTGGAGGTTCACCGAGCAGGCTTTGCCCGATAAGAGTCAAGACCAATAGGACTGAATATAGAGGAGATGGAGCAGGCAGCTGTGGTGTGGGGACCAGGGATGCTGGATCAAGATCTTCCTATAGCGGGCTGGTGATATACTAGCTGTAGTGCACTGGGACACGGACGTTTCCCACATAGAACATTCTAGAAGAGTTGACGGGGGGCGGGGGGGGGGGAGTGTGAGGGTGTGTCGGGCTAGCTGGTTTGTGTGATGTGGTAGGGAGCTGGGCAGGTTCTGTGGGATGCTCTCCTCTTGGCCACCCATTGGGGAGGGCTGGAGAGTGGGGGACCCCCATACTTCGGGGGGACGTAGGCTGTGCCCACAGAGCAATCAGTGTGCTGTGCTTGTGGCCTTGCCTCTTGGCTTCTCAGTCCTGCCCAGGCTCTGCAGCCTTCCCGGGCCCCTGGCGAGGGTCCTGTCTTGTGTCCCCTGCAGAGGTGCTGGGCTGGACACCCTGGATGCCGTGGTCTTCCTGCTCCCAGAGCTGCCTCCTCCCCGGCGGGAGCCCAGGCCGGCGGCAGCGTTTCCGGCTCTGCCCTGGCCCCGCAGACACGGCCTGCCCCGGGGAGGCCGCCCAGGAGGAGCCGTGCAGCCCCGCTCTGTGCGCAGGTGCCACCCCACCATTCCTGGAGTGTCAGGGACCAGGGGAGGGTCAGAGGCCCTGGAGCAGCTTCCTGCCGTCCAGGGTAGGGAAGGAGGGGGGGGAGCAAGGCTGGCTCCTGTCCTTAAGCCGAGATGGCCTCAGCCCTCCCTCCAGGAAGCCAGCCATGATGAACAATGTTCAAGGAGTGGATGGGGATGCCCACGGGCCCCACAACGCTGACACCTCCCTCCTCCTGCCTGCCCGTGCCTTTACCTCTGGTCCCCACAGCGCCCAGCGGCTGGGGCCTGTGGGCTTCCTGGTCCCCCTGCTCAGCTCCCTGTAATGGCGGCATCCAGACGCGAGGGCGGCACTGCTCTGCTTTCGTGCCTGGGAATTCCACCTGTCCAGGACCCCACAGCCAGACACGGGACTGCAATCCACAGCCCTGCGCAGGTACCGCAGCCCCTCTGCACCCTGCTCTGCAGCCATCCCGCCCAGCCTGGCCCCGGGAGCCACTCCCGACCCTTAGGCTTCTAATCCCAGCTACTCTGCAGATGGAGGTTGGGAGGATCGCGGTTCAAGGCCAACCCTAGGTAAAAGAGTTGTAAGACTTCCAACTCAGCAAAGAAAAACTGGTGCTAACCAGCAGGGGGATTGTGGAATGTGAGAGCCAACCTCAAAAACAGCTCCAGGTTTAGAAGAAAAAAAAAAAAAAAGACTAGGGATGTGTCTCAAGAAAGCATGCCTAGAAAGCCTAGAAAGCATGAGGCCCTGAATTCAAATCCCAGTCTCTCTCTCTCTCTCTCTCTCTCTCTCTCACACACACACACACACACACACACACACACACACACACACACACACACACACAGAGTGTATCAAGCCATGCTTCTATCAAAGCTGTGGCCCTTTGCAGGGACATCCCAGGCACTAGAACCAGTGGGCAAGGAGAAAGGAGGGAGGGGCTTCCCCAGCTCGGTCCTGCCCACAGGCTGCCACCTGCACTCTGTGCAGATTCCCTTCAGATCTGCCCCCTTCCCTTCCCTTCCCTTCCCTTCCCTTCCCTTCCCTTCCCTTCCCTCCCCTCCCCTCCCCTCTCCTCTCCTCTCCTCCCTCGGCCCCTGCCAGACCTGCTGTGCCTTCCTTTCTAGCCCAGTGCCCAGGGGACATGGTGTTCCGTTCAGCGGAGCAGTGCCACCAGGAGGGGGGTCCGTGTCCTCGGCTGTGCCTGGCCCAGGACCCTGGGGTGGAGTGCACAGGCTCCTGCACCCCCGGCTGCAGCTGCCCTCCTGGCCTCTTCCTGCACAATGCTAGCTGCCTGCCCCGCAGCCAGTGCCCCTGTCAGCTGCATGGGCGTCTCTATGCACCAGGAGCGGTGGCCCACCTGGACTCCTGCAACAACTGGTAGGCCAAGGGCAGGGGGAGCAAGCAGAAGTTGGGAGGGGGTACTAGAGGAAGGGTTCCAGAGGAGGGCAGCCATAGGGACACACACACACACACACACACACACACACACACACACACACACACACACACACACACACACACACACACACACCAGAGGTTCAGCATGCCTCCATTCTGCAAGCATGGCCACAGCGGTAAGTGCCAGGCGTGGGTCCTGGAAAGACTACAGTGGATGAGATGTTCCCTGATCATTCCCGGGTGTCTGCAAGGACTGATCACTCCATTTACTTAATGAGAAAACTGAATGTCGGATGGGTGGGGTGATGTAGGATGCAACAGAAGAACTGCAGAGGAGATTTTACCCTCTCCCCCCTCCCCTGCTCCCCCAGCTTCCTGTTTCCTGAATAAATTCCCTACCTGGGACCGTTGAATTTCTGCTCAGACCCTTCCTCGTGCCCAGTACTCAAAGCTGACACCAGGCTGTGCCAGCAGAGGGCGCTCTCATCCACATCACCATCCCTACCCACCTCCTTTCATCTCCATCTCTGCCTCATTCTTACTTTTACCTTTTAGTTCCCAGTTCCTCCTTTAAATATCTCCTTTATTGTTCTTCCACCCAACTGTGTTTTCTCTCTTAGATTATTTTGCTAGAACCTCCAATATTTGACAATTAGGCTTTAAAAATATATTGAAGGAAGCCAGGCGCTGGTGGCTCACGCCTGTAATCCTAGCTACTCAGGAGGCTGAGATCTGAGGGTCGAGGTTCAAAGCCAGCCCGGGCAGGAAAGTTCGAGAGACTCTTATCTCCAATAAACCGCTAGAAAACCAGAAGTGGTGCTGTGGCTCAAGCAGTAGAGCGCTGGCCTTGAGCTGAACAGCACAAGGACAGCACTGAAGCTCAGAGTTCAAGTCCCACGACCAACCAAAAAAAAATTTTTTTTTTAAGGAAACAAAGGGTGAGGAAAATTACCCAGCTCTTCCTCCTAGAACTCTAGCTCTTTCTGGATTGCTCCCGCCTATGCCTGTCACTCAGGATATCTCCAAGTGGTGCTTAGTAAAAACAAACGGAATGAAAGTGTAAAAGGTCACGCCTGACATCCTAGCTACTCGGGAGGCTGAGATCCGAGGTTCAGAGCCAGCCCAAGCAGGAAAATCCGTGAGACTCATATCTCCAAAGTGTGTCTCAAGTGGTAGAGCATCATGTGAGAATATGAAGGTCTGAGTTCAAGTCCTACTTCAGGCACACACACAAAGTGTCTCCTGATTTTTTTTTAATGTGACACGGGCAGCATGATGTCTGGGGTGCTGTGGAACTTACCCAGGGTGGATTTGGGGGGACGCCCTCAGAGGGAGAATTTCATGAATTTGATGGAACAGTGTCCTGCATGCTGCCCCTTGGGGCAGTAGGTGGTGCTGGAAGGGCAGGTGTCCATGGCCCTATGGCCCCTCTCTCTGCAGCACCTGTGTCTCTGGTGAGATGGTGTGCACCTTGGAGCTCTGTCCAGGTACCCCTGTGCCCCTCGCCCTGCGTCCTGGCCCCGCGCTCACCCTGTGCCCCTCGCCCTCACCCTGCACCACTCGCCCCGCACCCCGCGCACTCACTTTACACCCCGCGCCCTCACCCTGCGCCCCGCGCCCTCGCCCTGCGCCCCGCGCCCTCGCCCTGCGCCCCGCGCCCTCGCCCTGCACCACTCGCCCTCGCCCTGCGCCCCGCGCCCTCGCCCTGCGCCCCGCGCCCTCACCCTGCACCACTCGCCCCACGCCCTCGCCCTGCGCCCTCACTCTACACCCTGCGCCCTCGCCCTGAGCCCTGCACCCCGCGCCCTCACCCTGCACCACTCGCCCCGCGCCCTCGCCCTGCGCCCCGCGCCCTCGCCCTGCGCCCCGCGCCCTCGCCCTGCACCACTCGCCCCGCGCCCCGCGCACTCTACACCCCGCGCCCTCGCCCTGCACCACTCGCCCTGCGCCCTGCGCCCCGCGCCCTCGCCCTGCACCACTCGCCCTGCGCCCTGCGCCCCGCGCCCTCGCCCCGCGCCCTCGCCCTGCACCACTCGCCCTGCGCCCTGCGCCCCGCGCCCTCGCCCTGCACCACTCGCCCCGCGCCCCGCGCACTCACTCTACACCCCGCGCCCTCGCCCTGCACCACTCGCCCTGCGCCCTGCGCCCTGCGCCCTGCGCCCTCACTCTACACCCCACGCCCTCGCCCTGAGCCCTGCACCCCGCGCCCTCACCCTGCACCACTCGCCCCGCGCCCTCGCCCTGCTCCCCGCGCCCTCACTCTACACCCCGCGCCCTCGCCCTGAGCCCTGCACCCCGCGCCCTCACTCTACACCCCGCGCCCTCGCCCTGAGCCCTGCACCCCGCGCCCTGCATCCTTGTCCCTCGCCCTCACCCTGTGCCCTTGCTCTGCGCCCTCGCCCTGCGCCCCGCGCCCCGCGCCCTGTGCCCTCACCCTATGTTCCTTGCCCTGCGCCCTACGCCCCACGCTCCTCGCCGGGCACCCTCTCCTCTTGCCCTTGCCCTGTGCCCTTGCCCTATGTTCCTTGCCATGCGCCCTCACCCTGTGCCCTCACCCTGGCAGTGGCCTGTGGCTGGAGCCCCTGGACCCCATGGAGCCCCTGCAGCCGCAGTTGCAATGTGGGCATCCGGCGGCGTTTCCGAGCAGGCACCGCACCTCCCGCGGCCTTTGGGGGGGATGAGTGCCAGGGTTCTAACATGGAGGCTGAATTCTGCAGCCTGCAGCCATGTCGAGGTAAGAGCAGGTCCTGAGACCTCCTTAAAGAACCTTCTCGAAAACAGCCAAAAATCCTTTCTCCCTCCCCCACGCCGCGCATCCCCTGAGATGGGCAAGGGACTTCCCTAAGAGGTGCTGCTAAGAGATGGTCCCAAGGGACCCTATGCGTCCAATTCCGAAGAGAGCCCCTCCCTAGGGGCCACCCACTTCCAGGACCTCCTCCCCAGGAGGCAAGAGGAGGGGCCAGAGGGTTTGAGAAGGGAGGGGGGCACTAGGGTGTGTGGGGGACAGTGTACTGGATGTGGGGGGCAGGGCCTGCAGTGACCCAGGTCCCACCCCCAGGGGAGTGGGGTCCCTGGGCCCCCTGCTCCGTGCCTTGTGGAGGAGGCTACAGGAACCGCACCCGAGGCTGGAGCCCACACAGCCCGGTGGAGTTCTCCACCTGCAGCCCGCAGCCCTGTGCAGGTGAGGGCCGCCCCGGACCTGCCCTGCCCTCCCTCTGTCCTCCCCCTCCCCGCAGCCTCTCCCCTATGACAACCCCATCCGGCTCAGAGCTGCTGCCTCTCCCAGGCTGGGAGCACTGGGGAGAGAGCCCAGTGCTGGGCTCAGCCGACACTGTCCCCAGGGCCAGTGGCTGGTGTGTGTCCCAGAGGACAGCAGTGGCTGGACTGCGCCCAGGGCCCCGCCTCCTGTGCAGAGCTCAGCTCCCTGAGAGAGGATAACCAGACCTGCCACCCCGGCTGCTACTGCCCTCCGGGGGCGCTTCTGCTGGTGCGTAGCCCGCGGGACCTCAGCGGGGCCTCCTCACCCAGCAGGGAAGGGACACGCAGGACCTCAGCAGAGGCTGAGCCAAAGGTTTGGGGCTGGAGAGTTGAGGAAAGGACACTGGACTGCAGCTCAGCTGGGGCGGGAACAGCAGTGATCCTGGGCGACCCTGGGTGAGCCTTGCTGTCCCTCCCAGGACCTCTGCTCTGTCTGCAAAACGGTGATTGGGTCTAGAAAGGCTTTATCAATCACCTGTCACCAAGAACTCTGCCCTTTTATCTACCACCAGTTATATATTTATTTACATTTTTTTGTTGTTGTTTTGGTCAGTCTTGGGGCTTGAACTCAGGGCCTGGGCTCTTTCTCTGAGCTGTTTTGCTCAGGGTTCGTGCTCTACCACTTTGAGCCACAGCACCACTTCTGGTTTTTGAGTGGTTAATTGGAGATAAGAGCCTCATGGGGACTTTTCTGCCCAGGCTGGCTTTGAACTGTGAGCCTCAGATTCTCAGCCTCCTGAATAATCAAGATTACAGATATGATCCATTGGCACCCTGGCTCATCGATTATTTATTAAGTGCTAAGTGTATGCTCAGCCTTGGGCTGGAGATTTATCCAAGGTCACTTGCTGGTTCCAGCTGGAGCTAAGCATGGCCCCTGATGAAAATTTGTTTCCTTTTTACACTATTGCTGTACAAATTACATATTTCACAGGAAATACATATAATATGTACGATGATACAAATATGTGTGCAATGGAAGATGATCTTTTTCACCAGTGGCATGGAATCCGTGCCCCGCTGTGCCCCGCAGCTGAGGGGCTGCATTTACAACGGAAGTGAGCTGCGAAGAGGGAGCTGCGTTTGCAAAGATCAGGATTAGCAGTTGAGGACAGCTGAGGAATTGCTGCTGGCTTTGACTGGAACTGGAGATGATTGGGGACGTTTTAATTCCAGAACAATGTGTGTGTGCCAGCCCAGGACTGCCCCTGTGCCCACGGAGGGCACCTCCACCCCCCTGGCAGTGCTGTGCATCGTCCCTGTGAGACCTGGTGAGTCCCTCCACCTCCTCCTGCATTGATCCCGGGACCCGGGAGCACACAGCATGCAGCTGTCCCCAGCAGCAGACGACACACAGATGCATGCCCCTCCTCAGGCATGACCCCCCAGCCCTCCCAGGCCAAACCTGCCAGCAGCACCCCTCCTTCTGCCATCCCCATCTGTACTTCAGGGCCAGGGGCATAGCTAGGTAGAGCACTTTCCAGCGTGTTCAAGGCCCTGGGTTCTGTCGCCAGCACTGTCTTCTCTCCTCCGACCTGTGTTACTTTCCATGGCTTCTGTAGCAAAGTCTCACATACAGACAGACAGATACACACACACACACACACACACACACACACACACACACACACACACTCTAGAGGGCTTAACAACAACACTGATGTTTGTGCTAGACGCTAGAAGCTGGGTATCAAGGTATGGCTGGAATTGGTCCCTTGTGCGGCCCAAGGGGGACTGTTCCCTTGCCTCTCCTCTCCGGTGCCTTGCCAGCCATCTGGCATTTCTGCCGTCTTCTCAGGTCTCTTCCCATCATGGCTCGGTGAGCGTCTGTGTTCTTCCCAGAAGAACAGCATTCAGGGCCAACCCTAATTGCCTGGCTTTAGCTTGGCTGCTACTAGAAAGACCCACTGTCCAAATAAGGTGACAGGTGTAGGTGTGGGGCGAGAGCGTGAAGACAAGGAGACAGGGCTCTCTGTCCGGTCCTAAGGCAACCCAGCCCTCCGCTCTTTCCTTGAAGCTCCTGCAGCTCTGGGCTCATTGTCAACTGCAGCTCCCGGCCTTGTGAGGAGGGTGAGAGACTCTGCCTGCCTCCTGCCCCTGGGCTGGGCCTGGGCTGGGCCTGGGCTGGGCCTGGGGTGCCCCGGGGTGGGCCTGGGGTGCCCCTGGGCTGAGATGGCAGTGGGAGAGGAGCACCTCAAGATGAGCCTCCTGCTCTGCCCAACCTGTGCTTCCCACCCCTCTGTGCCAACATGCCCCCCCCCCCAGGCCAGCCTGCGTGGTCACCCTGGACCCCTTGGAGTGAGTGCTCGGCTTCCTGTGGCCCCGCCCTACGCCACCGGCACCGATTTTGTGCCAAGACCATTGGCATGGCACCCTCTCGTCTGACTCTGCTGCCCCCATCGGCCATGCCCACAGCCTTCTGCCCTGGCCCGGAGGCTGAGGAGGAGCCGTGCCTCCTACCAGGGTGTGACCGTGAGTGACCTGCAGTGCCCTTGGCTGACCTGGGGGTGGGGCTGGCCCCCTGAGTCCCAGCTACCCTTGGGCCCTCACCAGCCTTCCTGCGCTGTTTGTGCAGGAGCAGGGGGCTGGGGTGTCTGGGGACCCTGGTCCAGCTGTAGTCGGAGCTGTGGGGGTGGCCTGCGGAGCCGGAGCCGAGCCTGCCATCAGCCACCACCCCAGGGCCTAGGGGCTTTCTGCGAGGGGCCCCAGGCCCAGGGGGAGGCCTGCCAGACCCGGCCGTGCCCAGGTACCTGTGGGGTGGGGCGGGGCGGGGAGCACACCGGGAGCAGCTGGGGGAGGCAGCGCAGGAATGCCACCCCGCCCTCAGCCCACCCGTCCTCCCAGGGACCAACTGCACAGCCATGGAAGGAGCGGAGTACAGCCCCTGTGGGCCTCCTTGCCCTCGCTCCTGTGAGGACCTCGCGGTGAGTCTGCACCCTGGGCTGACCCCTGCTGTGACCCCGTAGTGGGGTCGGCAGACTGCGGGCTCATCGCTTGTTCTTGCCTGGTGCTGGCAGCCAGCCCCATGCGAATGGGATGGGAGGGGGCAGTGGGGGGGGGGGTCCTAGGCTTTGGTTTATAACCAAGCGGGGAGCTGGCATCCAGTGCAGCCTTTGGTGTCCATACAGCAAATGTCCTCAAAACAGTTTACAACATCCTGGGCGCCAGTGGCTGGTGCTTGCAATCCTAGCTACACAGGGGGCTGAGATCTGGGGATCACAGTTCTAAGCCAGCCTGGGCAGGAAAGTCCGTGAGACTCTCATCTCCAATAAACCACCAGAAAACTGGAAGTGGCGCTGTGGCTCAAGTGGTAGAGCACTGGCCTTGAGCTGAAGAGCTGAGGGACAGCGCCCAGGCCCGAGTTCAAGCCCCACGACTGAAAAGAGAGAGCGAGAGAGAGAGAGAGAGAGAGAGAGAGAGAGAGAGAGAGAAAGGGAAACCTGAGCTGAAGGTCAGGCTCTCCTCTCCCTCCCCCCCTCCTCCTCCCTGCCAGGCAGCCTGCACAGACTCCCTCGCCCCTCAGGCCCTGTGTCCTGCTGACCAGAGCCCTCCCTTGCTGTCCCCAGCACTGCGAGTGGCACTGCCAGCCAGGGTGCTACTGTCCCCCGGGCCAGGTGCTGAGTGCCGACGGGGCGGTCTGTGTGCCGCCGGGTCACTGTGACTGCCTGGACCTGCTCACGGGGCAGCGGCACCCTCCAGGCGCTCAGTTGGCAAAGCAAGATGGCTGCAACCACTGGTGAGTAGCTCCAGCACCGAGGCAGGAGGCAGGGCAGCCGCCAGGGTCACCCCAATCTCGTGTCTGAGCCCTAAGTCTTGGCCAATGCACACATTGGCCCCCTCCATTTCCAGAAAGATGTAGGGCAGGCCCTGTCATCCCTATGTGATAGGTGGGGAAACTGAGGCAGTCATCTCTGTCTGGGGAGGAGCAGGGCGGGGGGGTGGGGTAGACAAACAACAGAGAAGCCATCTGCTCTCCCTGCCCAGCCTCACCCTGGGCACTCCCACGTGGAACACACCAGCTGTGACATCTCCAGAGGCCAAGCATGGGGCACTGGAGAGGAGGTGGGGGTAGGGGTGAAGGGGGTGGGCGGGAGTCGCTGAGATGCTGACTTTTCCACCTGGGCCTGCACCCTGGCCCCAGCACCTGCTCGGAGGGGAAGCTGAACTGCACAGACCTGCCCTGCCCAGGTACACGCCATGGGTGGTCAGGGGAGGGGAGGCAAAGCAGGACTTGGACCGGGGAGGGGCAGGGGGAGGGGATCCGGAACACCCAGTGCCCACCATTCTTGCGCAGTACCCGGAGGCTGGTGCCCGTGGTCAGAGTGGACGGCATGCTCCCAGCCCTGTGTGGGCCAGACAAGGTCCCGCTCCAGGGCCTGTGTGTGCCCAGCCCCCCAGCATGGGGGCGCCCCGTGCCCTGGAGAGGCAGGAGCCCAGCTTCAGAAGGAGGCCTGCTCCAGCCCTGAAGAATGCCCAGGTGTGATGTTCCCACTGGGCCCGCAGCACCCCGCCCAGTCCCAATAACCAGAGGTCCCTGGGGCCTCCTGACAAGAGTGATTCTGTCTTCCTGGTGCAGTGGAAGGAGCCTGGAGCCCCTGGGGACCTTGGTCTCCCTGCGATGTGTGCTTGGGCCAGTCCCAGAGGAGCCGGACATGCAGCCAGCCCCCTACTTCTGACGGGGGCAGGCCCTGCCCTGGGGGTCACGAACAGAGTCGCCCTTGTCAGGAGAATACCACACAATGTGCAGGTGAGAACTTGGCTGGGCCTGGGAGTGGGGGCGGGGTCCAGAGAACCCTTGGCTCTGACCTGTGACCCCTCACGCACTGGTCGATACCATTTCCTGAAGGGGGACAGCCCTCAACTCGGCTGCCCACGTTCCTGGCCAGGTGGCAGGTGGCGGGCATGGCAGGTGGCGGGCACGGCAGGAGGGCTCTTGTCTCTCAGCACCTGTTCTTGTGCTTCCTTTCTGCCCTAGACTGTGGGGGTGGTCAGGTTCTGCTGCCCTGTGGATGGCCCTGCCCTCGCTCCTGCCAGGACCTGTCCCCTGGCAGTGTGTGCCAGCCAGGCTTTGGAAGCTGCCAGCCCAGCTGTGGGTGCCCTACGGGTCAACTCTCCCAGGATGGGCTCTGTGTGCCCCCAGCTCGGTGCCGCTGCCAGTACCAGCCTGGAGCCATGGGTCAGTGCCTTCCTCTCCCTCACCCAGCAACCTGCTGACCCCTGCGCTGCCCCCTGCTGGCTCCCAGCTCCCTCTGCAAACTGTGCACCACCTGCACCCTGGGCTGTCTGGGCTCCATCTCCTTCCTCCAGGACATAGGATGTAGGATGAAGTGTTTATGGAGGACATGGAACTGTGTGAGTCTCTACCATCACTTTTGCACCCTCCAGGGATGGCTCAGAACCAGAGCCGGTCTGCAGGATCCAGGTTCAGCTCCTGGGAGAGCCTGGAACCTGGAGAGATGGTGCTTGGGCCCTGTGACAACTGGTAAGGGGGAGGGGCCATTGAGGAGCAGGTAGAAGCCCCCTGTGGGAAGAGGCCAGGCCCTGGGGTCTGAAGCACGCTCCCTTGTCCCCAGTACCTGTGTGGCAGGCATCCTCCAGTGCCACAAGGTGCCTGGCTGCCCAGGGGCTGGTGTGTGGAGCTCCTGGGGTCCCTGGGAAGTCTGCAGCGTTTCCTGTGGGGGAGGGGAGCAGCCCCGTTCCCGGCGCTGTGCCCGACCTCCCTGTTCTGGGCTGGCCCGCCAGAGCCGCCCCTGCCACACGCAGGTCTGCAAAGGTGAGCTCAGAGAGACTCTGTCCATCATCCCCTTTACCTCTGAATCCCTTCACCTGAACCCTGAATGCCTTCAGACCTTTCCCACTCCCCTCTCCCCCCTGTGATGTGTAAATAAAAGAGGAAGCAGCCAGGTTGTGGGGAGGGGTATTGCCCGGGGATGGGGCACGGTGATTTCCAGATTGCAGGACAGGTGGACACGGAGGCAGGCACTGATTTGGGTATTGCTTCAGAGACCGGCTGTCCTGCCGACCGCCTGTATCGTGAATGCCAGCCTGGCAGAGGATGCCCCTTCTCCTGCACCCACATCACAGGGCAGCGGGCCTGCCTCTCTGATGCCTGTGAGGAGGGCTGCCACTGTCCCGAAGGAACCTTCCAGCATCACTTGGCCTGTGTTCAGGTCAGAACTCAGCCACCCAGGAGCCCAGGGCCGGTCCTCCCTACCCCTCACCCAACGGCGCACTTCCTGGGCGGGGCGGGGCTCTCTGACAGGCTGTCCCTGGCTCTGATGGTGTCCTACTGCATATTGTCTATGTACCTCCATGCTCAACTCCCGTCCTCCTGACAGCCAAGGATGGTTCCTCCAGACCCTGGGCTCTCCCATGCTGCCCCGCCCCCCGCCTCTCACCCTGTCCTCCACCACTAGGGGTCTTCTCCGTGCCCCCTTTTCCTGTCCATCCTTTGTAGGGAAGATCACTGCTTCGCCTTCCCTCTACCTGAGCCCAGTCTCTCATCTTGGGTGTGGGGCTGATTGGCAGGCAGGTGCCAGCTCTGCTCTCCTGGGCCCAACAGATTCCTTTTCTAAACCCGGTGGCTTCTTGCGGTCAGTTCTAGAGAATGCATGATCCGAGGGGAGCTGCGCACCTGCTGACCCCAGGCCCAGAGAGGGGAACGGACACAGAAAGTTAGTGGTGGCAGAGTTGGATGGAACCCAGGCAGCCCGATTCCTTCTGTTGCTGGCAGAGACTCCTGTTGCCTCCTCCAGTCCTGTCTTCTTGGGGCTTCTGTTGACACTGCTAAGTGCTCCATGCAGGAAGTGCGCTGGCCCCTCAGGCCACACCCACAGCCCATCTGCCTCTCATAGGGTGTTCATGCCCCTGGTCCCGCCTGCAGGAAATGCCCTCCACAGGCCCAGAACCCTCCTCCAGGCCCTCATCCTCCCATTCCTTCTCTCCTGTACTGGTGCCCAGTGTGTGGCTGGCTTGTGACATCACTGTCTCCTCTGCCCACCCACCCAGGAGTGCCCCTGTGTACTGACAGCGGTGCTGCTTCACCAGCTGGGGGCTGCCAGCCCTGTCCTGGGGACGCACCCGCCCTTCCTAGGAGAAGGGGAGCAGCCTCTGGTGCCTGGAGATGAGCTGGGCTCAGGCCAGATGCTCCGCATAGGCTGCAGGAACTGGTGAGGGGATCACCAAGGGTGGGAACAGGTCCAAACCACATGGGGGGGTGGGGAGGGGAGGACGGAGGCCTGGGGCGCAGGAAGGGAGGGATGACAGGACAGGACCCTGGGCTGCCCTCTGCTTCTGCCCACCCATGTGTCCCTGCCCTTGGAGGCCTGTGGCCTTTTCTCCGTCTGCCCATGCTGCCCCTTTCACTGTCCCCTCCCCAGCTCCTGTGTGCACGGACAGCTCTCCTGTTCCAGGGACGACTGCTCCACCGCTGGGAGTGGCTTCAGCCCGTGGGGTCCGTGGGGCCCGTGCTCTCAGTCCTGTGGGGCGCTGGGTACGCGCAGCCGCGGCCGCCTCTGTCTGCACCCCATGCCCACTCCTGGTGGCCTGGCCTGCCGCGGGCCCCTCCAGGACTGGGAATTCTGCCCCAGCCCAGACTGCCCTGGTAAGGGAAGCGGGAAAGGTGGAGGGCAGGGCTGGGGCTGGGAAGGCTCTGGGCAGATGATCGGCAGGCTGGGGCTGGCTCGTCACTCTTGGTCCCCTCCTGTATCTGTCCGGTCCTATGTCTGTCTTAGAATCTTCCTTCCAGCTCTCTGCACTTCACTTTGGGTATGTTTGCCCAGGGCTTCTGGAGATTTGGGGAGATTCAACACACTTGGGGGTGGGGGAGACCCTGGTCTCAGAATCTAGGAACTCAGATAGCTCACGTGCTATATATAGCAAATTGGGGGTGGAGGGACTTCTCCTAGAGGATTAATCCAGGAGAGCTTCCTGGACAAGGGAGGATAGGGTGTCTGTGGATGAATGAAGAGAGCTCTAATGAGCACTGGAAGAGAAAGAATGCCAGGGTGCGGGGACAACTTGAGCAGAGGCCTTGAGCTCCTGGCCTAGCATGCCCGTGTGAGATAATCAAGGTGAAGGAAGGCTGGGCCAGATAGCGCCGACGAGCAGCACGGACTGCCTGGTCCTGGCGCATCGCAGACTTGGAAACCTGTCTGATCGGAGTCTTCTTCGGCACAGGGGCCGAAACATCCACCGTGGAGCCAGCGAGCGACCTTCCAGGTAGCCCTAGACCCTTTGGGAAGCACCACCCAGGGCCCCCTCCCTCCCCTGCCCTGGCACAGGCCGACTCATCAGGAGACCCCCTCCCTCACCCCTTCCTCTCCCCTCTCCCCCCCGCCCCACAGGTGCCTGGGGCCCATGGTCGCTGTGGTCCCCCTGCTCTCACAGCTGCACCGACCCTGCCCGCCCTGCCTGGCGCAGCCGCGCACGCCTCTGCCTGGCGAACTGCACCTCGGGGGACCCCTCGCAGGCGCGCCCCTGCAACCTGCCCTCGTGCACAGGTCCACGTGAGCTCCTGACTCCACCCTCAGCATTGCACTCACACGATGCGTTCTGGCCACGGTCAGCGCCTGCCCCCAGACCGCCAGTCTTCATTTCTCACCCCAGCATCTGGTCTGGAGTAGAGGTCTGGCTGGTTCTCTCGGCCAACCCCAGCAGCTGCTAGCACTCCCCGCCAACCGCTAACAGATTCCCTGTGCTTTACACAGAGATGTGCCAAGCACTCCCCACAAGCCACACCCCAGTCCCTCCGCAGCCTGTGAGTTGATGAGGGGACATGAGGCTTGGCTGCCAAAGCCACTGTCAGGACCTGATCCAGGAGGAGGGCCCGGAGGGGGGACGGGAGGGGGGTCACAGCCCGCCTCGGTGGAGGAAGTCCACCGGCTCCAGCTTGGCTTTGTCCCGGCAGAGCTGCCTGGCTGTCCTGGCCCTGGCTGTGTGCCAGGGAACTGTTCCTGGACCTCGTGGGCCCCGTGGGAGGCATGCTCGCGCAGCTGCGGAGTGGGCCAGCAGCGCCGCCTGCGAGCGTACCATCCTCCTGGGCCCGGTGGCCACTGGTGCCCGGACATCCTCACCGCCTACCGGGAGCACCGGTTCTGCAACCTGCGTGCTTGCCCGGGTACGAAGGCCTTCGCCACGCTCCTCCCCAGTGGTGCTCCCAAGGAGGCCCTGGCATGTTTGCTCCTCACCAGACACCTGTTCCGCCGACACACCACACCCCTCCGTCACACCGGACTTGGGCCAAGCCTCGGGGGACCTGGAGGGCTCCTGTGTCGGAGCTGACCCAGCTGGTGGGGCTGTCCTCTTCCTGACAGTGCCTGGAGGCTGGTCACGCTGGAGTCCCTGGTCCTCGTGCGACCGCAGCTGTGGAGGAGGCCAGTCTTTGAGGAGTCGAAGCTGTTCCAGTCCTCCGCCCAAGAATGGGGGTGCTCCCTGTGTTGGGCGGAGACACCAGGTCCGGCTCTGTAACCCTATGGCCTGTGGTACGTACATAGCCATGGCAGCCCCTTCCGTCTCTCTACGAGGCTCCTTTCTGCAGAGCTCTCTCCATTTCCACCTCTAACTTTATCCTCACAAGGTGGGACAGGCTGCCACCTCATTGGTCAGTTAAGGAAACAGACCCGCCCTGGGAAGTGGGAGGGACATGGCTTGATTGGCAGCTGAGTGGGGACTTCCTGTGTGTCTAGGACCTAAAAGCCCAGGGCTCACTGTCTGCCCTCCCCACTCTGGGGTAGAACTCGTTCTAAGCTTTCTCTGCCCTCTAACTACTGGAGAACTACTCAGACCAGTCAAGGGGTTCAGAGAATTTGGAGGTGACCCTGTCAGAAGCCTGCCTGGTCTTTGCAGATGTCAACCGAACCTCACGCTCCACCCTACTCTAGCTCTCCCTTTCATTGCTCCTTGGGTAGCCCCCACCCCCAGGGGCCTTGACCCAGTCTATTAGGAAATCCTCGCCATACGACCACTTCTGGCTCCTTGGCACAGTGTTGGAGAGCTAGGTGAGAGCGTTGCCTTCTGATACTTCATCAATGCAGTCCAGCTCAGCTAACATTTTCCTGCGTACCAACTAGGTGCTGAGAACTCTCTAGTGGGTCAGAGGAGCTTGCTGTACACTTGGACTATCCCATTCCCAAGCTGAGTGCCGGTGGCTCACACCTGTAATCCTAGCTACTCAGGAGGCTGAGATCTGAGGATCACGGTTTGAAGCCATCCTGGGCAGCAAAGTCCATGAGACCTGTCTCTCCAATTAACCCCCTAAAAACCAGAAATGGAGCTCAAAGTGGTAGAGCACTCGTCTTGAGAAAATAAGCTCAGGGACAGCTCGCAGGCCCTGATTTCAAGCCCCAGGACAGACAAAAAAAAAGTTCCATTTCCAAGGTCTCCCAAAATTCAGTGTTTCTGTGGGCACACAAAGGGAAAGATGAGTCTTGGAGCCCAAAAGAGGGGGGGGAAGGTCAAGAGAGTCGACACCCTCTTGACCCTAGGCCTCCTCCTCCTCTCCTCCCAGAGGAGGGCTGCCCAGCAGGTATGGAGCTGGTCACCTGTGCCAACCGCTGCCCGCGCCGCTGCTCAGACCTGCAGGATGGAGTTGTGTGTCATGACGGCCAGCCCTGCCAGCCAGGATGCCGCTGCTCTGAAGGTTCTTGTCACACACACAGATACACACACACACACACACACACACACACACACATTTTTTGAGTTTTTGGTTATGGGTCTTAAACTCAGGGCCTAGGCACTGTCAGTCAGCTTTTTTGCTCTCGTGTGCTCCCACTTTGAGTCACAGTGCCACTTCTGGGGTGTTTGGTGGCTCATTGGAGATAAGAGTCTCATGGACGGGGCTGGGAAGGTGGCTCAGTGGTAGAGCGCTTGCCTTGCATGCATGAGGCCCTGGGTTCGATTCTTCAGCACCACATAAGCAAAAAGAAAAAAGCCGGAAGTGGCGCTGTGGCTCAAGTGGTAGAGCGCTAGCCTCGAGCTGAAGAGCTGACATGCCCAGGCCCAGAGTTCAGGCCCCACAACCGGACCCAAAAATAAAAGAGTCTCATGGACTTTGCTGCCTGGGCTGGCTTTGAACTGCGATCCTCACATCTCAGCCTCCTAAGTAGCTAGGGTTACAGGCGTGAGCCACCGGTGACGGGCTGTTACAGGCCCTTTATACATATCAGGGTAGCTCAGGGGCCAGCGCTAGCCTCTGAGGAGCACCTCTCCACAGGGTTCCTGGAACAGGATGGGGGCTGTGTGCCTATTAGGCACTGTGAGTGCACAGATGCCCAGGGGCACAGCTGGGCCCCAGGGAGCCAGCACCAGGATGGCTGCAACAACTGCTCCTGCCGGGCCGGACAGCTCTCCTGCACCACTCAGCTCTGCCCACCGCCCGCCCACTGCGCCTGGAGTCGCTGGTCCACCTGGAGTCCTTGTAGCCACTCATGCGGACCTGCAGGGCGGCAGAGCCGATTCAGGTACGGGCTGCCAGGCTAGGTGCCTCCTCTCTGCTCCTCTCTTCCTCTGCCAGGTGTGGTTCCCTCCCTGAGAGCATCCCTGGGCCTCACTCTCACCAGTGAATGACTTCACTCCACTCCATCCCCTAACCCCCATTTCCAGCCTCCCCCATCCAAGGCTCACCCTGAGTGCATGCGTGGGGGGGGGGAGGGGTCACCCAGGAGCCAGAGGCTGATGAAGGGCCTAAGCTGTTTCTCTCCTCCCATGCCCATGGCCCTGCCCAGGTCCTCCACGTCAGGATCATGGGCCCTGGAGTGTCAGGACGAACAGTCACAGAGCCAGCCCTGTCCCCAGCCCCCGTGCCCACCCCTGTGTCTGCATGATGCCCAACCCCGCGTCCTGGGAGACAGCTGGCTGCAAGGAGAGTGTCAGCGGTGGTGAGTGCAGGGGAGGAGAGGGGAGGGGAGGGGAGGGGAAGGGAGGGGAGTGTGACTTGCTGGAGAACAGTTCTTGAGTCTGTATTCCTCCCCAGCTCCTGCACCCCTGAGGGCGTGATCTGTGAAGACACCCAGTGTGCAGGTCTGTGGTTCATCCCCACCCTTAGCCCTGTCCATCCCGCTGGCCTCAGGCCTGGCAGGCCATCCTCTGTGTGTCCTGTTACCCCCCCCCCCAACCTGCTACCCCAAACCCAACCCTCTGATTTTGGCGTTTCTCCGCTGACTTTACTTTGCCCTCCCACAGTGCCTGGGGGCTGGACACTGTGGTCCCCTTGGTCTGACTGTCCTGTCTCCTGCGGAGGTGGAAACCAAGTCCGCACCCGCGCCTGCGTGGTAACAGCCCCTCACCACAGGGACTCTCCGTGCCAGGGTCCGGACACCCAGACCCAGCGCTGTGGGCAGCAGCCGTGTCTGCGGCTGCTGGAGGCCTGCTCCTGGGGCCCATGGGGACCCTGTTCCCGCACCTGTGGCCCAGGCCTGGCCTCCCGCTCTGGGTCCTGCCCTTGCCTGCTGACAGAGTCTGACCCTGGGTGCAACGGCACCTTCCTGCACCTGGACACCCAGGCCTGCTACCCAGGGCCCTGCCGGGGTGAGCGTGACCCAGAAATGGGGCCCCTCCCGCAGTTTCCTATGTTGGCAATTCAGGGAATCGTATGTTGCCTGGCCCCACCCTATCCCTAGTCCCCCAACATCTTGCCTGATTCCTTTCCTCTCTCTGCCATCTCTTCCCTTCAAAAGCCTTTAGCACGTGGCCTCCTTGCCAGATGAGAGGAGTTCAGCCAAAACAGGCCTTTCTGAAGCCTTAGTCCCAGCTTGGGTAGTAGGAAGGGAGGTCCTGGGGGAGCCCAGAGGGCCCCGGCCCAACTGACATCCCACCCTGCCCCAGAGGACTGTGTGTGGAGCAGCTGGAGCAGCTGGACCCGCTGCTCATGCCAGGTGTTGGTGCAGCAGCGCTACCGGCACCAGAGACCGGTGCCCAGCCTGGCTGGCGAGGGCGCCCCTTGCACACGTCTCGATGGCCATTTCCGGCCCTGCCCCATCAGCAACTGCTCAGGTGAGGCCCAGTAGCAGAAGCCAGGGAGCTGAACAGGGCCAGTAGCAGTTCCCTTACACAGATCCAGTACCCCAGGCCTCACTGAGCCTGGCCCTCCGCATCCAGTGGCCCCCTGGGCTCCCTAATTCTCATAGCTGTTCAGCACCATCTTCTTGCTTTGCAGTTGCTGGTCCCCACTGTGTGTCCTGTGTGCTCACAGGACAGCATGAGTTGGCTAGCTTCTATTGAAACTGGCCACTGTCTTGCCCTTAAACACACACAGACCATCTGCCAATTCTAGGAGCACCCACCAATCCCCTAACTCTTGAAGTTCCCTCCCTCCATGCTGCCCTTCCCCCCTCCTCCCCCCTTCCCCCCCCCCTCCCACCACACACACACACACACACACACACACACACAGAAGTTGAACAGGTGCCACATGGGGAGGGGCAGGGACATGTCTGTCCTGTGGCAGCCAGCAGGGGGCAGTAGTGTTCTCTCCCCAGGGGAGGCCCAGGAAGCATTTGCTGAAGTACAGGAAGGTGTCCCTCCCTGGCTGTCCCCTTACCAGCCAGCTTCTCCTCCCCTTCCCAGAAGATGGCTGCACCCCTCCTTTTGAGTTCCAGGCCTGCGGCTCCCCCTGTGCCGGGCTCTGTACCACACACCTGCGTGGCCAACTCTGCCAGGACCTGCCACCCTGCCAGCCTGGTTGCTACTGCCCCAAGGTGAGGGCTAGGACAAGGGCGCTCTCTGTCCACCCATACTGTCCCTTGCCATGGTGACCCCATCTTCACTGCCCTGTCTATCCATTCAGCAACATGTGCAGTCCGGCTTACCTCATATCCCCCACGCTGTCCTGATGTGTCTGTCCTTCTGCGCAGGGGCTGCTGGAGCAGGCTGGGGGCTGTATTCTCCCAGAACAGTGTAACTGTTGGCACACCTCAGAAGAGGGGACCGCAGTGACTCTGGCCCCCGGAGAACGACTCCAGCTGGGCTGTAAGGAATGGTGAGTGATGGGAGAAAAGGGAGACAAAGGGTAAGGCCACGGGAAGAGGCCGGGGACCTGAGGACCAGCCTGACCGCAGAGCCCAGCTAAATCCCTTGGGCCCAGCCCAGCCTAGGAGCAAATGGCCCAAGATGCCGGATGTTGGTCTTCCCTCATCCTGCTTCAATATACCTTGAGCTCAGGCTCCCCTAAATACACCCCTACCCTCCAGCTTTGGGCTGGGTCCTGCCTCCCAGCGCCAACCCTGCTGTCCCCTCCCACAGCGAATGCCGGCGTGGCGAGCTGCAGTGTATCAGCCGGGGCTGTGAAGGTAACTGGTCTCTGGACACCACAGTCCATATTCATTCAGGGCTCAGGGCTTCAGGACATGGAACTTTCCAGGCTAAAACCAGGACCATCATACAAACAGGGACCCTACCCAGCCCCTCTCAGACCCCCTCCCTTCCTATTTCCTATTCTGTTTTTATTTATTTATTTATTGGTCAGTTCTGAGGCTTAAACTCAGGGTCCAGGCACTGTCCCTGAGTTCTTTTTGCTCAAGGCTAGCACTCTACCACTACACTCTACAGCTCCACTTCTGGTATTCAGCTGGCTTTGAACCGTGATCCTCAGAACTCAGCCATCTGAGTCGCTAGGATTACAAGTGTAAGCCATTGGTGCCCAGCCATATTTCTGATTCATCTTGGTCATAGCCCTGAGCCCTCTTGACTACCTGCCTTCTGGGGTTTCCGGGTTGAGGGAACTGACGCCCTGCCCTTCTAGGTCTTCTGCCTCTGAGTGGCTGGTCCGAGTGGTCGCCCTGTGGGCCTTGCCTACCCCGAAGTGCCCTGGCCTCAGTCTCCAGGATCACTCTGGGGGCTCACTGGCCTCCGAACACAACAGACGCCTCTCCAGCCTCCACCCCTCTGCTGGCTTCGGAGCAGCACCGACACCGCCTCTGCCTGGACCCTGAAACAGGGTTGCCCTGGACCGGGGACCCGCACCTATGCACGGCACCCCTCAGCCAGCACCGTGTCTGCTCTGACCCGGATGCCTGCCACGGTAACGAGGAGGGGTGAAGCCAACCAGCAAGAGGGGACCTGGAACTCCTGGGGGTCAGGAGGGCTGACAGCCTCACCCATGGGCAGCAGTCGGCCAACCTGAAAAACCCTTCTGCGAGGCTGAGGTAGAGGCCAAGCAGCAGCGGAAAAGAAGGGGAGCTGGGGGCGGGGGCATCCGTGCAGGCGTGGGGTGGACACAGGATGCCAGAGGGTCGGTGGGGCCTTGGCCCTGACTTCCATTTTGTTTTCCTCAGACTTATGCCAGTGGAATCCCTGGGGGCCCTGGAGCTCCTGCCAGGTGCCCTGCAATGGAGGGTTCCGGCTGCGCTGGAGAGAGGCAGGGGCGCCCCCTGGGGGAGGCTGCCGAGGGCCATGGGGTCAGACCGAGAGCTGCAATATGGGGTCCTGCCCAGGTAACCACCGTCCCGTCATCCAGGGGGCACCAGGACTGGAACACTGGAAATGCATCTGAAGGAGTTGGTGCCACTGCCCTGGAGATGTGTGTTGGAAGGGGCGGGTACTTCCTGGGGACCAGGAGTGTCCCACACACAGATTTCTGAACCCCAGGGGAGACCTGTGAGACTCGGGGTTCGGTGTCCACCCTTGACTGTGCCAACAAGTGCCCTCGCAGCTGCATCGACCTCTGGGACCGGGTGCAGTGTCTGCAAGGACCGTGCAGCCCAGGTAGCTGGCCAGAAAGTGTGTGGGCAGTGGGGGTGGGCAGAGGCAGAGCCGGGGAAGGCTCAGAACCCCAGATCATTATAAAAGCAGGAAAATGAGGCCTTGGGTCACTTTCAGCGACTGGCTCTGAGTGGTACACAGAGTGAAATGTAGTGTCCATGCAGTGTGCAGAGGGTACACAGGGCTGGCTAGAGAGGCCCCTCCCACATGGGGGCGGGGTAGAGAGGCCCCTCCCACATGGGGAGTAGAGAGGCCCCTCCCACATGGGGGGGTAGAGAGGCCCCTCCCACATGGGGGCAGGGTAGAGAGGCCCCTCCCACATGGGGGCGGGGTAGAGAGGCCCCTCCCACATGGGGGGTAGAGAGGCCCCTCCCACATGGGGAGTAGAGAGGCTACTCTCACACAGGGCCACCAAGGGAGACCAGGTATTGGACCCAGTCCAGAGGGACCCCACAATAAGCCTTGCCCAGCACTGAATCCTTTTTATTGGTGTATAAATCCTTTAATGGGTGTATAAATAATGGCTTTGTGTGATATTTTCATGCATATGTATATTATGTAATGAACTTTGATCATACCCACCTTCCCTTTTGCCTTCTCTCACCACCCCCATGTTCTTTCTCTTCCCTAATGTCCTTTCTCTTCACTTCTACTTTCATGTTCTTTACAAGCACTGGCTCTTTTCCCTTCTTCTTTTTCTTTGCGTGTGTATGCTAGTACTGGGGCTTGAATTCAGGGCCTGGGCATTGTCTCTTTAGCTTTATCAACCATAGCTGGCACTCTACCACTTGAACCACAGCTCCACTTCTGGCTTTTTGGTGGCTCATTGGAGATAAGAGTCTTACAGACTTTCCTGTTCATAAGATGTGGTGTCAAACCACGATCCTCAGATCTCAGCCTCCGGAGATTAGGAGTACAGGTGTGAGCCACCAGCACCTGGCTCAAACTCTGCATCCTGCTTCTCCTTCCCTCTCCTGCCCCCAGGCTGCCGATGTCCCCCTGGGCAGCTGGTGCAGGATGGACATTGTGTGCCCATCTCCTCTTGCCGCTGTGGTCTCCCCAGCACCAATGCATCATCGGAGCTGGCTCCTGCCCAGGTGGTCCAGCTAGACTGCCGGAACTGGTATGCTGCTGTGATGGCCAGCGGGGCTGGGGACTTCTGGGGTGGGAGGCCCGGGGCAGGGTGGGGCCGCGGGCACCCCTGTGAGCTGCAGCTCTGTCCTCCAATGCGGAGCCTGAGCCCTTGCTGCACTGTGCACAGCACCTGCGTCAATGGGTCCTTGCTGTGCACACACCAAGAATGTCCAGACCTAGGCCCTTGGTCAGCCTGGAGCCCGTGCTCGGCCTCCTGTGGTGGGGGCACCATGGAACGCCACCGGAGCTGTGAGGAACATCCTTCGGGGGCACCATGCCAAGCCCAGGTCACAGAACAGCAGCAGGAGTGTAACCTGCAGCCCTGTCCTGGTGAGCTCCCGGGCCTGCATTGTGCCCGTCCCCCATTGCTCCTGGGTCCAGGCTCTGAGGTTGGGAGGCGGGAGAAGAGGTTCAGCGGCAGACTTTTCCCGTGTGCTCCCACAGAGTGTCCCCCTGGCCAGGTGCTCAGTGCCTGTGCCACCGTGTGCCCGAGCCTCTGCTCACACCTGCAGCCGGGCACTGCCTGTGAGCGGGGACCCTGCCAGCTTGGCTGTGGCTGCCCCAGGGGACAGGTGAGAGCTGGGGTTGGGTCCTGGTTCCTTGCGGGGGAGGCGGGGAGGAAGCAGGGGACGGTGATCTGAGTCTAACAGCCTCCCAAACTCAGCTGCTGCTCAATGGCACCTGTGTGCCCCCCGAAGCCTGCCCCTGCACCCAGCTTTCTCTGCCCTGGGGCCTCACTGTCCCTCCCCAAGAGCAAGCCCAGGAGCTGCCCGCAGGGACTGTGCTCACCCGGGACTGCACGCGCTGGTGAGGCCCAGGGCTAGAGCGGGGGAGGGGGGCAGGCCGCGGACAGAGGCATGGGGAAGAGGGCCAGGGGTTCACTGAGCTGTGCTTTCTGTCTTCTCAGCATCTGCCAAGCTGGAGCCTTCAGCTGCTCCCCCACTGACTGTCAGGGTAAGGCTGTGCACATCAAGGTCAAAGTCAAGGTCAGGCCTGGAGCAGGGGAGTGGGGTCTCGTCTGTGACCCACACTAAGCTACCTCCATTTGGAAACTTTTCTCCCTCCCTGACTGCTGAGGCCCAGTGCTGCCTGGACAGTCAGTGTGTCCACCTGCTCATGGGGGCATTCACCAACTAGGGTTTTGCTCACGAAGCCAGGGCTGCGGAGGGCCAACAAGTGGAAGGTTCTTTCCCGCAGAGCAGTAAGCAGAAACAAGGAGCTGAGCCTGCCAGACCCCAGGCCTGGTGTATTCACCCAATGTGGTGTTGCCACACTGTGTGCCCACCACTGCCATGCTGGGTCCTGTGAGTTCAGGCATGCCCTGGCTAGCCCCTGGCTGAGGATGGGTGACTCAGAGTGTCTGCCAAGCAGGAGGTGCTCATAGGCCCCAGGAATCCACGTGGGCCCCGGGAATTCAGAGGTCAGGGTTGGTGGGTTGATCAGGCGGTGACACCTTGACTGGATCCTAGTATTTGGGGGTGGATCAGAGTAAGAGGTATGGCTGAGGGCTGCCAGAGCCCAGAAGGCAGGGGGAGGAGGAGAGGAGGGAGGGATCTAGGCTGGCTCTCAGGCTGATCGGAGAGCAGAGCGGGTGGATGGTCTTCTCTGCAGAGTGCCCCCCTGGGGAAATGTGGCAGCAGGTGGCCCCCGGCGGTCTGGGGCCCTGTGAGCGGACTTGCGCCGAGATAAACGCCACCGAGGCGCAGAGCAACTGCAGTGGCTTACTGGTCTCGGCCTGTGTGTGTCGGAAAGGGTACTTCCGCAGCCGGGCAGGCCCCTGCGTCCCTGCAGACCACTGCGAGTGCTGGCACCACGGGCACGCCCATCTGGTGAGACACTCCACCCCTGTTGCCAGCCTCCCCTTCCAGACCTCAGGCCTCCCATCTTGACGTCCCTTATTCCACTCCACAGCAGTTGGGGCAGGGGGCGGGTTGGCATTCTCTCTCGTGGGACAGTGTTTGGATCTTGCTCTAGCCCATTGCATTGCTTCCTGAGATTCTCACTGCCACACTCCAGTCCTAGTTCATTTTCCTGGTGGGACTCGCCCCCCCCTCCCCCCCCCAAGCATCAGGGCATTATGGGAAATTGGGAGAGACCAAGAGGAAGCTCCCCCCTCCCCCTTCTCCCCAGCCTGGATCTGAATGGGAGGAAGCCTGTGAGCGCTGCCGTTGCCTTGGTGGGAAGAGTATCTGCAGCCAGCACTGTCCCCGCCTGGCCTGTGCTCAGGTACCATGGTAGCCTTGTGGCCTCCTGGCTGGTCCCGGGCTCCTCCCTGAGGTCCTCCTCCAGAGCTGGTCCTAGAGTGAGAAAAGTCAGTGCGGGGATGCCGGCACACCCTCATGGAGGGCTTCCTCTGTAGGAGGAAGCGCTGGTCCAGGAGCCTGGGCGCTGTTGTCCCGCCTGTCACCGGAAGACCCTGGGTATGGAGGGCATTGGCTGCTCCTACTTTGTCTCTCCCTGGTTCTGGATCCTTCCAACTGTCCTTACACCCAGCCTTTCTAGACGGGCCTGGGCCTGCCTTCCTCCAGGGCTTGGCAGGGGAACGTCTCAGGGCTATCCTGTCGTGGCTGGCCTCCCGTCCTCCATGGACTCCAGCAGCCCCAGCCGCTGCTGCCACCCAGGACCCCCTCAGTCACAGCCCCCCCCCCCTCGGCCTTGCCCCTTCCTCCTGCCCATGTGGCTCTCCTTACTCGCAGAGGAGCAGCTGGCCTCTTGCCGGCACCTCACAGAGCTTCGCAACCTCACCAAGGGACCCTGCCACCTGGACCAGGTAGAAGTGAGCTACTGCAGTGGGCACTGCCCATCCAGCACCAACGTCATGCCTGAGGTGAGCGGGGGCTGCTACAGGGGCCTGGGAGGGGTCACCCCGAGCGCCGAGGACATACTGCCAGCTTCAGACCTGGGAAAGCCCAGAGAACACGAGAGATAGGGCCCACTCTCACAGAGCTTACAGTCGCGAGGGGCTACAGAGGGCCAGAGCCTTCCACCAAGGTGTGTGGGGGGGAGGGGTTTGATACCTACAGTGACCTCACACAATCCCCTCCGCCCACTGTGCCTCTGAAGACAAGCTAGGCTGAGCAATGGTGGCTCACGCCTGTCATCCTAGCTACTCAGGAGGCTGAGATCTGAGGATCATGGTTCAAAGCCAGCCCAGGCAGGAAAGTCTGTGAGGCCTATCTCCAGTTAACCACCAAAAAGTCCAAAAATGGAGTTGTAGCTCAAATGGTAAGTGCCAGCCTTAAGTGGAAAGGCTAAGGGACAGAGCCCAGTCTGTGAGTTCAAGCCCCAGTACTGGCACCAGAAGGAAGGGAGGGAGGGAGGGAAGAAGGGAGGGAGGGAGGGAGGGAGGGAAGGAGGGAGGGAGGGAGGGAAAGAAAGAAAGAAAGAAAGAAAGAAAGAAAGAAAGAAAGAAAGAAAGAAAGAAAGAAAGAAAGAAAGAAAGAAAGAAAGAAAGGAAGAAGACAACTCAGGACACCCTAAAGAAAAACCTGGAGGTTGGAGACAAACTCTGGAGTCAGAGTCCCTCACACTGAGAGCCAAAGGTTCAGAAGCTGACACTCTGCGCAAGCTCTCTTAAGACCCAGAAGCAAGCCCACCCACGGTTAGAATCTGCTTAGGGGCCTCTGGCCCTGACCCCTCTATCCCTGAGCCCGAAGAGCTGTGACATATATTACCAGTGTTCTCTCTGGATGGAGACCCAGCCCACCCTCTGGAAGCTCCCGGAGCTCCGCCTCTCCTCACCTTTACTCAGAGGCAATTCTCCTGCCTCTGCCCACCTGGAGACCCTGCCCCTGACTCCTCGGTCCCACTGCTGCTCTTCTGGGTGCCTGCACTCCCTTGTGGATGCTTTCTTAAGCCCCTTAGTGAGGAAAAGCAAGCGGCTTGGAGATAGAATCGTTTTGTGCCTGGTGTTGTGTGAGTTGATACCTGTCCCAAAGCAGAGCTGTAAATACAGTTGCAGGTAAAATTATCTCGAGCTCCTGGGATTCACAAAAGGGGCTCTGTAGCTTCAGGGCAGGAGCGTCTGCTCAGGAGAGCTCTCTTGGTACTTAGGATGGCAACTTGCTGCCTGTGATTATTTGCTCATTTGTTTCTTTTGTGCCAATGCTGGGGCTTGAACTCAAGGCACCGTCCCTGTAGCTTTTTGCTCAAGGCTAGCACTCTACGATTGAGGTACAGCTCCACTTCGGGCTCTCTGGTGTTTAGTTGGAGATAAAAGCCTCCTGGGCTTTCCTGCCACAGGCTGATTTTGAAGGGTGATCCTCACATCTCAGGCTCCTGAGTAGCTAGGATTGCAGGTGTGAACCATGGTATTTGTTTAAATTGCAGTCAGTATACATTCAGGCTGGAGGGGAGTGGAGGAGTCGGAGTCCTCCGGAGGCCGGCTTGGCTGAGGACTGTGATGTGGCCCTCCTGTTTGAGGGGAGGGAAACTCAACTGAACCCCTCTCCAGTTCAGCCACTTCTTCTCACCCAGGAGCCGTACCTACACAGCCAGTGCGACTGCTGTAGCTACCGCCTGGACCCAGACAGCCCAGTGAGGATCCTGAACCTGCGCTGTCCTGGCGGCCGCACAGAGCCAGTGGTGTTACCTGTCATCCACAGCTGCCAGTGCAGTGCCTGCCAAGGTGGGTCTGGGGGAGGGAGGAGCTCCTGGAGGGGGGGGTGGGGCCTGGTCAGAGGCGGGCTCTGCAGCGTGGGAAGTGGCTGGCAGGATAGGAGTAAAACTTCTCAGGAGCACACACAGAGTACCTCACCCCCTTCTTCCTCAGTTCCCTCCCATCTGAGCCCTGCCGTTTTCTCCACACCAGGATGATTTCTTCTCCGATCATACATAAACCTGGATGTTTGGAGTAAATCATATCTGGTTCAAGTGCCAGCCCATCTGTTCCCTTGTTGAGTCCTGGTGACCTCATCTTTTAGATGGGGGCCTTGGGAGGGGATGCATGCGTGTGAAGTACCTGGCAGGTGCGCCATGCTGCTCATCGGTGACTGTGTTTGAGAACTGAAACCGTGCTGTGCGGCTGCTGAGGGAAGGGCACGGCTCCACTCAAGTGGAGCACAGTGGAAGAGCTGGATTGGCTCTGTGCTTCCCCCTGGCAGCTTTACCTTCACACTGGCCTTCAGCTTTTCCCCACTGCATCTCACGGCCTCCTTACTAACCCATCTCTCTGTCTCTTGTCCCCTAGGAGGTGACTTCTCAAAGCACTGACAGGCTCTGCCAGTTGCATCCACTGCTGTCCCTCGTGGGGCCAGAGGGCTCGTTAACACTGATCCCTTCTTCCACTGCCCAGTTGCCCACTTCCCAGCAGATCCATGCTCGGGCAGTAGCATGCCCAAATAAAGTAACACTGGCAGCAAGTGTGTGTGTAGTCTTCATTCTGGGGTCTAGTCTTGCTTGGGTCTGTGCAAGGACTTTGCCTTCTGTGTCCCCTCTGAATCCACTCTAGATTCACTGGGATGCCCATCATGACTAGTGAGCCCGGGAAGGTCACGTCCCATAACTGCCTGTTTCCGGTCTGGAAAAGGACAAGGTTGAATATGAAGTGTGAGATCTGTTGTATTAGACATCTCTAGTGCCCCACGTCCTATCTGTCCATCCAGCTGCCACATGGCAGATAATATCATGGTAACTCAGGCTGAGATTTCCTCCCTCTGCTCCTCCTCCTCCTCTTTTTCACAACAGTTTTATTAAAGTGTAACTTACATAGTAAGAAACACACTCATTTTAAGTTTACGCTTCAATGACTTTTATAGAAAGTGAATTTTACACAATCACCACAATTCAATTTTAGAATATTTCCATCATTTCATGCCCATTTGCAACCAATCTCTTCCACTTCCTGCACATGAAAAACCACTAAACTGAATTCCAGTTCCACAAATTTGCCTATTCTGGACATTTTGTGTCCAGAGTCTTTCACTTACCCTGATGGTTTTGAGATTCATTCACATGACAACATACGACACTTTGCTTCTTTATAGTGCTGAAACAGTAATGTTTAACTATTTTACTGTTTTAACTATTTAATACATTTTCTATCCAGTTACCAGTTGATGGACATTCAGGTTCTTTGGGGGAGAGGGTCTATTATGAATAAAGCTATAACTAACATTTTTACATGAACCTATATGGGCTTAGGTTTTTATTTCTCTCCCATATATTATAAGTAAAATTTCTAGATTATATGATAACTTTTTCTGGGTCATATGTTAACTTTACAAGTTAATTTTTGCTCCTTTGTGCCAGTACTGGGGCTTGAACTCAAAGTCTGGCCACTGTCCCTTAGGTAGCTTTCTCTGCTCAAGATTGGCACTGTACCACTTTCTGGCTTTTTGGTGATTAGAGATAAGAGTCTCATGAGCTCTCCTGCTGGGGCTGGCTTGGAATCACATTCCTCAAATCTCACCCTCCTGAATGGCTAAGCTTACAGGCACAAGCCACTGGTGCCTGGCATTTTTTTAAGAAACTTTTCTAAAACAACTGTATCATTTTGCATTCCCACCAGCATTGCACAAGAGTTCCAGTTTCTCCATATGTTTGGCAATAGTTATAATTATCTTTGTGGAGTGCTCAACACTGACTATATCTGATTTGACTTGGGGCTACATGGTCCCAGTTTTCCCCTCCCATTCCCACCTGCAAGTTGTATAGTTCATTTTCAACAGTGTCCAGTGAGTATCACTGCTGCATTTGTTCACCCTTTGCCCTCTGTTTCTGTGCCCCCTTACCCTCCCAAAGACAGATAAATGAGTAAATAGGAAAAAATGGGAAGAAAACAACAACAGCAATAATAATAATAATAACCTCTTATTTGCATTTCGTGGAGTTAATTTCAATATATATTATTTTATATGATCAGAGGCACATAGACATTGTACCTTTGGGTTCCTCCCCTAAGAGTATCCTCCTTAGGTCTCACTGTGTGTACCTAGTGTCCTAAATAATTTATCATGTCTTGGTGTCTTTTTAGATCTAGCTTTCACATATGTCAGAAAACATGCGCTGTTTGTCTCTCTGAGCTTATCTTACCTCATTTAAAATGATTTGTTCTAGGTCCATCGATTTTCCTGAAAATGATATAATATTCTTTCTAGAGGCTGGGTAAAATTCCATTATGTATAGCTACCACATTTTTTTGGATCTGCTCATCTATCACGGGCATCTGAGCTGTTTCCATAACTTGGTTCTTGTGAATAGTGCAGCAACAAACATGGATGTGCCAGTGTGTTTACAGTATCTTGGCTTGTGATGTTTGGGGTAGATGCCCAGGAGTGGTATGGCTGGGTCTTAGGGAAGGTCTTTGTTTAGTATTTTTGAGGAACTTCCAGACGGCTATCCAGAGTGGTTGTATAGTTTACATTCCCACCAGCAGTGTAATAGGGTTCCTTTTCTCCCACATGCCCATCAACATATGTTGGTGTTTGAATTCACAATGTTGGCCAGTCTAACTGGGGTGAGATGGTGTCTTAGAATTGTTTTGATTTGCATTTCCTTTATGGAAAGGGATGTTGAGCATTTCCTCATGTGTTTCTTTGCCATTCTTACCTCTCCTTCTGAGAAGTCTCTCTTTAGTTCCTTTGCCTACTTAGTGATTGGTTTATTAGGTTTGGAGGGGTTAGTGTCTTGAGCTCCTTGTACATTTTGGATATTAGGTCTTTGCTGAATGTATTACTGGTAAAATCTTCTCCAGTCTGTTGTTTGTCTTTGTGTTATCATTTTAGATATCTCTATATATATTAAAAATGAAGCAAACTGTTTTGATGATTACATACTTTTAATGTCTTTTAAAGAAATAAGAAAACACACATACATGTCTTTGTCTTGGACCATTTGTGCTGCTATGACAAAGTACCTGAGACTGGGTAACTTATAAGCAATAAAAATTTACTTCTAACAGCCTGGCACTGGTGGCTCATACCTGTAATCCTAGCTACTCAGGAGGCTGAGATCTAAGGATCATGGTTCAAAGCTAGCCCAGGCAGGAAAGTCCGTGAGACTCTTATCGCCAATAAACAACCAGAAAACTGAAAGTGGTGCTGTGGCTCAAGTGGTTAAAGCGCTTGCCTTGAACTAAAGAGCTGAAGGACAGCTCCCAGGCCCAGAATTCAAGCCCCTCAACTGACCAAAAAGAAATAAAGAAAGAAATTTACTTCTCACAGTTCTGGAGACGAAAAAGTTCAAGATAAAAATCCATGATCAATCTGGGGAAACCTGCCTGGTGGGGCTGGGTACTCTTCATCCTCCTATGATGGAAGAGATGGAAGGACCAAAGGGCACGTGGAACTATTCTGTTCCCTGGGGTCCCTGCCAGAAAGGCACTAACCAATGGGTACGGATGGTATACAGGCCTAATAAACTCCTAAATGCCCCACTTCTGAATACTATTGCCCTCACCTCTTAATACTATTTTCCAACATGAAAACTTTGGAAGAACACATACATTCAAATCATAGCATTTCCCCTGTCTCTTTAGTTCTCATAAATTCAGTTATCAGTGTTTGAATTGTGACAGGTCTGTCTGCCCCTCCTGCAACGTGAGGGCATCTTTTCCCAAGGCCCTGGACTGTACCCCAGCACAGGAAAAAAAGTCTCCATCTTAGACACAGAGAACATTCCTTACTGGATACCAAATTTACTAGTGCCTTGCTCTTTGACTTCCCAGCTTCCAAATCTATGAGAAAATAAACTTGTTTTTCTTATAAATTTCCCAGTCTCGGGAATTTTGTTATAGCATCAAAAACAGACATCTTCCTTCTTCTAGTCTCTGCTGCCTACTTTTCTCTCTTTCTGTGCTGGGCTTGTTACATGCTAGAAACACTCTAGTGCTGAACCACACCATTCCCGGACCTAAGTCTTTCTCTTTTTTAATGTCATCTATTGTGCGATTGGACTGATCCACCTAAATTTTCCCATGCAATTCATCCCCTTAAAGCTCATATCAAATTCTGAAAGGTGGTGTGCATCGCCTCCCATATGGTCTTGTGCATTTCTCCAGTATCGCTTCCTGTCACTTTCTGTCTTACGCACTGCCACTGCTGTCTCTTCCCTTGCTTTACTCATCAAGTTTCTTATACCTAATTGCTCTTTCTTGTGACACTATTCTCCCCTTCCTATCTTGATCTGTTTTGTCAGAAGAAAGTGCCATAGCGTGGATGCCAGCATGGTTAGGCTCTGGCCAGGGTTCTTTGTCCAGCTTACAGAAGGCCACCTTGTCACTGTGACCTCACATGGTGGAGACAAAGCAAGTTCTCTTGTGTCTCTTCTCAAAAGGTCACTCATCCCATCATGAGAGTCTTGCCTTCCTGACTTCATCTAAATCTAATGACCTCCCAAAGACCCACCTCCAAATACCATCACAAGGGAAATTTCCACAGAAGCACCAGCAGAGGTGACAGGTCCATACCATCTCCTTTACCTGGTTAATTCCTACCTCTTATTTTAATTCAGTTCAGGTACTATTTCTTCACCACCTCACAAGAAGATGACCAAGACTGCCTTAATCCTGCGATGTCCTCATTTATTTCTTTAGATTTTTTTTTTTTAACAAGACGTGAGGCTTGACTTCAGGGCCTGGGCACTGTCCCTGAACTTCTTTCATTCAAGGTTAGCACTCTGCCACTTGAGCCACAGTGCCATTCTGGCCTTTACTGATTATTTGGTACTGAGGAATCGAACCCAGGGCTTCATGCATTGTTGGTTGGCGGCCAACTTTCTGGGGCCTGGTGGCTTGTTCTGCCTGGCCATCTGAGTTTCAAGGTCTTCCTGACCTGGCCTGACCAGGAGCATCAACCCCCTTACCATAAATGTCCTAATTATATCTCACTGACTATGAAGTTTCTGAGTTCCTCTTCTTGCAGGCTTCTTCCTCTATAACTACTCCCCTAGCTAAATGGCTTATTCTGATGGGCACAGCCTCACAGCCTTGCTGGTATTAAACTTTTCCTCCCCGCTTGGACATGTGTGGTCTACTTTATCCGGTTAAGACGTCTAACATGCATGCCAGGCAAGCACTCTACCACGAAGCCACATTCCCAGCCCTTTTTGGAATTTTTTTAAATGCTGTAATTCAATTTCTTGTCTGTTTCTCTGATAGATGAGTTCTTTAAAGGTAAGAGTGTCGTCTCATTCAACTGCATGCTCTGAAAAATCTAGTACAGTTCTTGGCACGTGGCAGGCAACCTTTAAGACCGGGCCCGGAGTGGTAGTGCAGGCATGTAATCTAAGCACTCCAAAGATGATGCTTGTCTGTAATGCAAGCATACAATCCTCCTGAGGCAGAGGGGATTTTGAGTTTGAAGACTGCCTGTGCTACAAGATTAATGAGACCTGGTCTAAAAAAAATTAGCAAAAAGTATCCTCCTTGATTAACTAAAACCTAGAATCTCCTTTACCTGGTTGACATTGGCACAGCCTCGTTAGCATCTGCAGCTCTTACTGTCAGGTCGGGAGAACACCCCCAGGATGTTGCCTAGTAACCACGCGGGAAAGATGCAGAGAGCCGAGAACGCGAACTGCTCAGCGTCCAATCACGAAGAGCGAGCTGCTCCGCAACCAATCAGAACCTCGCATTCAGGGAGCCAATAGGAGCTTCGAGAGCCCCTCACCCAGGCCGCACAACACTTCCCGTGGTGAGGCGGCAGCCGTAAAGCAGTTCCCTCGCACGACCCTGGTCCCCGCGCGCTGACGTGGGAGCGCCGAGTTCCCGGGCGCGCTTCCTCCCCGCCGGGGCGCCACACTCCCGGAGCCGGGGTCCCCAAGTGGGTCGCGGCGGCATCCTCAGGCCAGGCCCCGGGGGGAGGGGGCGGCCTGGCGGCAGTGGCGGGGTCCGCACGGGCCGCGAAAGCGGGGCCATGGAGCCGGGGGAGTCGGGGAAGGTAGGACTGGAAGGGCCGGGGGACCCCCACTCCCTTCCGGCGGAGCCCGGGCCGGGGCCCCGGCGCGGTGGGCGGGCCGGACGGGCGCGGGGCCCGCAGCGGCGACCGCCTGGCGGGGAAGCGCCTGAGCCCGCCTGCCCCGCGCCCCGGCGCCTGCGCGCTCCTGCGGCCCCGCCCACCGCGGGGGCTCTGGGGAGATCCGGCTCCATCTGAAGTCTGGCGGGTGGGGACTGGGAGGCCTGGTGGGAGCCCGGCCCGCCCAAATTCACCTAACCCAGGGAGGGCTGAAAAGAAGCAGCATCAGACATAGTTCCTGCCCACTTTTCTCTCTTTTGTTGTGCCAGTACTGGGGTTTCAACTCATGGTCTTATTCTCTCGCTTAAGGCTGGTGCTTTAGCACTTGAGCCACACCTCCACTTTGGGCTTTTGGGGTGGTTGATTGGGGAGAAGTCTCTCGGACTCTTCTGTTGACTTTGAACAGTGATTGTCAGATCTCCCTCCGCCTCCTGAGGAGCTAGGGTTCCAGGTGTGAGACATCTAGCTTTTGCCCTCTTCAAGGCTATCTGTTCCATGGAGGCATCTGGGCATTGCTTGGAAGTATTCCACAAGTTTCCTTGAGGCTTTGGGCAAGAAGAAGATGTGAGTTGGAAGATGAGGTGGAGGGAAAGTGCTTGGGAGTAGTTAAGATGGTTTGACAGGATGGCTAGAGTTCCAAGGCATTGTCAGCAAAGACCAGCGTGATTGTGTGTGGATACTGACTAGGACACAGCCCTTTGGAGATCTATCTGGAGAACTTTCTGGATGTACTTGTAGGTAGTCCCTTGGTGTGGATGGGGCCTGTGTCTGCTAGGCAAGTGCTCTATCTAGTGAAATAAATCCCCAGCTCTTATAGCCAATTATTTATTGATTTTTGTCTTTTAAAACTCAGAACCTGGGCACTGTCCCTTATCTTTTTTTGCTTGAGGCTGGCACTCTACCAATTGCTTTAGGTGGTTAATTAGTGATATGAGTCTCAGACTTTCCTGCTAGGGCTGGTTTCAAACCGTGGTCCTCAGAGCCTCAGCCTCCTGAGTTAGGAAGGATTACAGGCATGAGCCACTGGTACCCAGTTCTTGCAGCCAATTCTCCAGGCTTATTTCTCATTTTGGTACAGAGGAGATTCCCCAATATTTTCAAGAGCTTATTGAGTCTATTCATTAAAAGGGTGTTCACTGAATAAGCATTTGTGCTTGGCAGTTTGCATTGAGTGCTGTCCCCAAGCTCTTCAATAACTTGGACCAGACTGGAATAGGCCATCCATCCACCAGAGAAAAAAGGATAAGGGGGGATATTTTAGTGCTGTAGTTTTTCCTAGGAAGGCCTCCAGCTCACAAAAGTAGTTACTTCTTGTTTTAAGCCCTCTTTCCATCCTCCCCTCCTTCCCCAACCTACAGTGACATGCTTTCTAGACCAAGACAATAAAGCTCAACAGAACCTAAAGTGAACTAAAGCACGCCAAGCCCTATGTTAAACATCATTATTCTGTTTCTGTATTTATGTATCATAGTTGTCTGTTACTATGTTATAAGAATTTAATCTTGTTGATTTTAAATCTGTTTTTCTTTGTATCACCAAAACTTAAATAATAAATGTATGTCAAATGAAACAAGGAGTTGAATGCCTATGAAATTCTTTCTATATACCATGGCAGTTGAGAGAGGGGTGGTACTGGTGAAAAAAATAAGCTTTCGGGCTGGGAATGTGGCTTAGTGGCAGAGTGTGGTCTAGCATGCTTGAAGCCCAGCTTCAATTCCTCAGTATGACATAAACAGAAAAAGTTGGTAGTGGCACTGTGGCTCAAGTGGTAGAGTGCTAGTCTTGAGCAAAAGAAGCTCAGGGGCAGTGCCAACGCCCTGAGTTCAAACCCCAGGACTGACAAAAAAAAAAAAGCTACCAGCGTACAGTTCTCAAGTGCCAAGCACTAGGATGGAAATCCATACTTCCTAGCTCAGGAAAGCAATGCAGTTAAGAAATCCTTCAAGAAAGAAGTGGACTGGGAAGTAGATTCCTGATGGCTGCCTAACCTCTAAGGAACTAGAGGAAATAAACAGCCTGGGATCTAAAGTGTGACATTTGGACAATGCTTCAAAGATAATTACTGCTCTGCTGAGCAGCAGAGCGAAGATTTCACGTGGACAAGACAGAAAAGGCTGAGTTTCAGATACAGGGAATTTGGATGTTAGCACAGAGAACTTCCAGAAATACTCCTAGCACTCTACTATGGAAGGGATTCCTTTTATTCAAGCAGAGTGTGTTTTCTTTATGTTGTAATCACTTGAAGCTGAAGGCTCTTATAATGTTTAAGACAGGGCTGTCAGGTAGATCTGAGAAGATACTTCTGTGTCATCCCAATTCAGTCCTGGCCACACTCCTCGTGCATTGTGCACTAGGGTGAAAGACCCATTCCCTCGTTAGCTTGAGAAAAGGTGTCAACAGGAACCCTTCTCTGCCTTGGCTATGAGTGCTTTAACCTGTACCAATGAAACAGATGGCCTGCAAGTCCAGCATTCATCCTGGAACCTGCCTTCAACAGCATCTTGGTTCAAATCCCCTCCTCCCCACTTAGTTCTGCTGACTGTCTTTATGTGTCCCTGTTCCTGGCGGTATATGCCTCCTTTTAATGGAGCCCATTTTTCAGTAGCTTTTGGAAAACTAATCACGCTAGGCTTTAGAAGACTAATTACAGATAGTTACTAAAGCATACATTTTGTAATACAACTCCATTTTTGTTCTTAAAGCTTGCATTTTGTAGATTCATAACAAAATACTTGGAGGTGACATGCTAAGTATTAACAGTAATTGTCTCAAACTTAGTTGGCTGGCTTGGCCGGTGCTCTGCCATTTGAGTCAAGCCTCCAGCCTTGCTTTTTGTTGACTATTTTTGGAGCTAAGAGTCTAATGGACTTTTCTGCCTGAATTATAACCCCAGCCCTGACTTATTTTAATCTCTTTGAAAGCCAGATGGGATGTTGATTCCAGCTCTAAAGCCATCAGCACCCAGCTGTAAATAACTTTTAACTGTTTCTGGACATCTGCTACATCTCCCCAAGTGAAGATTCATCCTGTTTCAAGTGCCATACATTGCTGCTGAGCCACTGGTTGAGGAGTGGGGTTGGGGAGAAGCCAGGTGAAGAACATAGAGGAAAAGATATAAAATTTCCCCAGTTGTAACATTCCTTGTGACTTGTTTTGGTGGATGGCACATCCTAGAAGAATGGATCTCATTCTCACTGATTTTCAAGACATGGAGTAATTACATTATCTCATCACACAGATGATCTGTGTGATGAGATAATACCTTTTCCTCTCTGCCTCAACCTGGTAAATTCTCAGAGCAGAGGCTCCCTCAGATGATCCTGAACACTGATGGATGTGGAAGACACATCTCAGGAAGAAGTTGATGCTCACAGGTGTTATTTTCCTTCCAGACTCCTGTGACGTTTGATGACATCACAGTGTACTTGCTCCAGGAGGAATGGATGCTGCTGAGTCAGCAACCGAAGGGCCTCTGTGATTCTGATAAGCTGATGGCACCCCTAGGTATAGATCCTGTATGTCTCCTGCATGTCAGTCTAGATCATCTTCTCCAACCTTTTCTGGGCCAGGTCATGCTAGGGAATGTTCTGGAATCCTACCATTTTTCTAGGCAACACTGCCCATCTTTTCAATCCCATAGCTTGCATTATTGTATACAGTGGAACAGCCCTTCTCCCCTTAAATTGGTCAAGACAGGTAGAAAAATCTAGCATGCCAAGGAGTGACCTTAAAATCTGTCCCTTGCATGCCTTCTGCTTACCACACAATGTCAGAGCCTGGGGAATCTGTGGAGCCTCAGGACCATGGAGGAAATAAATAGAAGTAAATAGCGGTGGAAAGATCACCAGATTTGCAGCGTTGCAAGTCTGGTCTCATTGTCCCAGCTCCACCTGTGGATCCTGACTGCCTTTGGCTGTGAGTCGCAGTGGCTCTGACCATAGGATTTCAAAGCGAATTCCATTTGTCTCTCTTTTAAAGGGAAAAACCAGATGGGCTGCATGGAGGAAACGGATGTGCGGGGACCTTCCAGGGAGAGTGGCCAGTCCCCACCACCTCAGAAGGAAGCCTGCCTGGCCTCCATCAGGGCAGAGAGTGGCATCATCCAGCGAGTCTGGAGGGGAGAAAGCAAGAAATCCGTGAAGCCCCGCTCTATCCAGAAGTCCTGGTTTGCACAGTTTCCCTGGCTGATCATGAACGAGGAACAGACAGCTCTGTTTTGCTCTGCCTGTCGAGAATACCCATCAGTCAGGGACAAACGGTCAAGGCTAATAGAAGGCTATACAGGACCGTTCAAGGTGGAGACGCTGAAGTACCATGCCAAAAGCAATGCCCACATGTTCTGTGTCAATGCTTTGGCCACCAGGGACCCCATCTGGGCAGCCCGGTTTCAGAGCATCAGAGATAGATCTGCAGATATCCTGACCAACTCCAAGCACTTCTTCCCTGCGGATTATCCTGTGTTCTTCCCTTCAAGGTCTCTAGGAGACTTAGGTAGCATGAGTGAGCTCCTGCCAAGCTCAAGAGCTGAACCAGAGGAAACTGGACGGTGTGGAGCCCTCCCTTCATTGCATCAAGATTGCCTGTCAGATTTGAGGCAAAAAGAAGTCACCACTGGCATCCACAGCTCCTCAGATGCGAACCTTTTATGTAATGATGCTGTTGAACCCTGCAGCCAGGTAGTAGTGTGTTTACAACGATGGCTGCATCTTACTGAGGGAGTGTATATTGGGAATAGCACATGTTGCATGATGAAGATGCAAAAGGAATAACAGCAATAGCCAGGTGTTAACACTGTGGCGTCTTCGCGAGCTCACATGCTTCTGATGAACCGTGTGCAGGTAGCATCTTATTTAAGACCACTCTCCCAGCATATCTCCATTTTTTAAAGGTTACAGAGTATTATTAGTGGGACAGTACATTTGAATTTCTGATATATAAAGAATGATCATCTTTACCCAGAATCTAAAACAACCACAGAACTCAAGAAATAATTCCTGGTCATATAAGGACCATTAATTGAATTAGTAAACAGTATTGAAAATTTTTAAATTTTAAGTTTGACTCAAGTGTCTCATGCTTATAATTCTAGCCACTCAGGAGGCTGAGATCTGGAGGACTATGGTTCAGGGCCCGCCAAGGCAGAAAACTCCTTCCAGGCTCAGTCTCCAAAATATTGAGTGGAAGGCAGGACTGAAGGGATGGCTCAAATGGTAGAGTACCAGCCAAATAAGCACATGGCCTTGTGCACTTGCTCGGCAGGCATTCTACCACTTGAGCCATGCCTCCCCCTGGCTTTTTGCTGTTAGTTATTTTTCAAATAGGGTCTTACGCTTTGTCAGCCTAGACCACAGTCTTGCTACTTATGTTTCCTGTGGTATTGCTGGGATGAGGGAGATGAGCTACTGTTTGAAATACAGACTTGGGCTGGGAAGGTGGCTTGGAGGTAGAGTGCTTGTCTTGCATGCATGAGGCCCTGGGTTCGATTCCTCAGCACCACATAAGCAAAAAGAAAAAAGCCAGAAGTGGCGCTGTGGCTCAAATGGTAGAGCGCTAGCCTTGAGCTGAAGAGCTGAGGGACAGTGCCCAGGCCGAGTTCAGGCCCCATTACTGGACCCCCCAAAAAAATATATATAGTCTTAACTAGCTTTGCCTGGGCCAGCTTCAAATTGCTTTCCTCCTGATCTCTGCCTCCTGAATGATTCTTTAACTCTCAGTGAGGAATAAATTCCTCTGAGTGCATCTAAGTCTCTGTGGGCTTCCCTGGAATAAAGGATCCTCGAAGGCCATGGGAAGCGGTGTGGGGTGTCTGGCTTGCAGTGTGGGCTGAGTGACGCTGCTCTCTGTTGCAGGAACCTCCTGAGGAGAGGTCACCAGAGGCTACGGTGGTGGTGGCAGAACCCCCAGTGGTGTTTGAGGACGTGGCTGTGTATTTCACCCAGGAGGAGTGGGGCCTGATGGACAAGCGGCAGAAGTGCCTGTACAGAGATGTGATGCGGATGAACTATGAGCTCCTGGCTTCTCTGGGTAAAGCTTCCCCAGCCTTTCATATGCCGCCATCATTTGACTGAGGACTCCACAGGAGCAGCTGTGGCGCTCAACGCCTTCCCATTTCTGCCTTCTCCTTGTCCTGGCAGAGTGATCCTGCCGTCTGTCCCCAGAACACTCCCTGCTTTGAGATACTGTACTGCCTCCTCATCCTTCTTCTTGTCCACCTGTCTGTCCATCCTGCACCTGACATTTACCGAATACCTACAAATGCAGGAAGAGTGGAGGTGTGGCTTCAGAAGGCTGGTAGGTGTGTGGGAGAGGCAGGCATTGGCGTGAGGAACTTTCAGACTATAGGAGTTACATAGGAGAGCCCTGGAACTGAACTCCTGATTCTGTCAAATGGGGGAGGGAGGGGCCTGTGGTTGGCAGAGAGGAACTGTTTCTAAGGAGGAGGAAGGGCAGCTCCATGGAGAACTGGAGCAGCTTGAGCGTGGCATGGAGGTTAATGGGCCTCTCAGGGAGTTTTGCACACTTTGGTGCTGAGGTCCTCCATCTTGCCCAGGTACAAGCGCGGGGTGGCAACTTCGGACACTGGTGTCATTAGGCCTGGGCTTCAGAGACTCGGAGGGCGGTAGTGGCTTTTGTATCCTCTCTGCAATGGTTCTCATTCTTTACTCTGGCCCCTTCACTTTGTCCTTCACTTTCAGCAGCAGGAACTAAATAGTAATATCACTTTTCAGAAGATCCTAGTTATTTAGCTGTTGAATGTCTAAGCTGATCGTGCCTATTGAGAATTCACTAGACTCAAAAAAAACTTTGTGTATGTTTATTACTAATTAAATTCTCTGTCTTTTAGAATCAAGCTCAATACTAACATTGTTGAGATTAAATAATAAGTATAAGATTTATTTTTAGAACCGAGCACTGGTGGCTCATGCCTGTCATCCTAGCTACTCAGGAGGCTGAGATCTGAGGATCGTGGTTCAAAGCCAACCCGGGCAGGAAAGTCCGTGAGACTCTTATCTCCAGTAAACCACCAAAGAACTGGAAGTGGTGTTGTGGCTCAGTGGTAGAGCGCTCGCCTTGAGCTGAGACAGTGCCCAGGCCCAGAGTTCAAGCCCCATGACCGACCAAAAAAAATTTACTTTTAGAAATGATTCTTTCCTGTCTCTTTTAGTCTGCAGTCTGACTTGTAAGGTTTGTTCTGGCAGTCACAATTCCCATGTAGGTCATTGTTGGCTCTCGGGCCTCACTGAGAACTGGATGGGGAAACGAGACTGGCCGCCTGGGCTCATCAGGTTATGTGGCAAGGCTCAGCCCGCCGTGGGTCTTTGTGGACATCATACTTCTGTTCTTACCATTTGAGAAAAGCCAGCTTATTTTCCTATAATTGTTTACAACTGAAAAGACAGAATTAGAACTGAAAACATTTATTTTAGGTTTTACAATTATTGAACCTGGTTTTTGCTTGGTTTTTGTGTTTTGCAGTTCTGGGGATAAATCCTAGTACACCTTGTACACATTTTTTTCAGTCCTGGGGCTTGAACTCAGGAACTGGGTGCTGTCTGTGAGATCATTTTGCTCAAGGCTAGTGCTCTACTGCTTGAACCACGGTGCCATTTTGGCTTTTTCTGAGTAGTTTTATTGGACAGCTTTTTCTGCCCAGGTTGGCTTCAAACAGTGATCATCAGATCTCAACCTCCTGAGTAGCTAGGATTATAGGCGTGAGCCACCAGTGCCTGGCTTATTTTACCTGTTTCTTTAAGTAGATTTATTTCAACTTGATGCAGTTGAATTTAATATTAATTTCTATCCATTTAGCAATTAAATGGCATATACTGAAGCTTCTTAACAGATTTACATTTCTGTGTGTGTGTGTGTGTGTGTGTGTGTGTGTGTGTGTGTGTGTGTATGAACTCAGGGCCTCATATTTGTTTGACTTGTGTTTTACCACTTGATATATGTCTCCGGTCCAGCTTTTTGCTAATGATTTGAAGATGGAGTCTTGCAGCTTTTTCTACTCAGGATGGCTTTCAAGTATGGTCCTCTAGATCTCAGTAGCTAGGATTACAGAAAAGGGTCATCAGCAATTTAATTTTTGTTATATCTTTTTTTTTGTCAGTTGTGGGGCCTGACTCTGGGCCTGGGCACTGTCCCTCAGCTCTTCAGCTCAAGCTACCACTTGGGCCACAGCGCCACTTCCAGCTTTTTCTGCTTATGTGGTACTGAGGAATCAAACCCAGGGCCTCATGCTTGCAAGGCAAGCACTTTAACTCTGAGCCACCTTCCCAGCCCTTGTTATATCTTTAATGTTGATTTATTTAGGACTGTTATGCCTATCATTCTGTAGAGCTTTATTGTTTTATTTCCATTTTTAAACTCTGGTTTCAGACATCAACTATATTTGATGAGGTCTCTTGTTTTCCCTATAAACTAAGATTTCCCTAGAAATCTCATGTATATTCTACTGTTAACAAACTAGTATTGGTCAATAACAGAAACATCAGTGATGGTGTGGGTACCTCTGTTTTTTATTAGGAAAGGTGTTGTCATATGGTAAGTGGGCAGGGCCCCTTATGGGAAGCCACAAGGACATGAGCAGGAGAGCTAGGATCAGGCAGAAGACATCAAGAGGCCTGCTTCTGCATGGGTCATGTGACTGTGCCTGGGGGGGTGAGGGGGGGAGGTAGGAGCTAATTGTAAGCCAAGCCATTTCTGTGGATGTTTATGGAATGTGGTTAATAGCCTCTGTGTGTGTGTGTGCGCACGCGCGCATGTGTGCACTTGCTGTGGTTATGTCCCCTCAGTCCTTTTCCATTGCTAAGGCACAAAAAACACTGCTTGGAAATCCCCTTCTATGTCACCTGTTCTGAAGGAAACAAAAAAGAAGAGGTTTTGCCAGGTGCCAGTGGCTTAAACCTGTAATCCTAGCTACTCAGGAGGCTAAGATCTGAGGATCATAGTTCAAAGCCAGAGCAGGAAAGTCCATAAGAATCTTACCTCCACTTAAGCACCCCAAAAAAGGTAAAGAAGAGCTGTGGCAGAGTACTAGCCTTGAGGGGAAAAGTTCAGGGATAGTTCCCAGGCCCCAAGTTTAATTCCCCAGGACCAGCATCAAAAGAAAGAAAGGAAGGAAGGAAGGAAGGAAGGAAGGAAGAAAGGGAGGAAGGAAGGAAGGAAGGAAGGAAGGAAGGAAGGAAGGAAGGAAGGAAGGAAGGAAGGAAGGAAGAAAGGGAGGAAGGAAGGAAGGAAGGAAGGAAGGGAGGAAGGGAGGGAGAGAAAAAAAGAGAGAAAGAAAGAAGAAGAAGGAAGAGAAGAAGAGGAGAAGAAGGAGGAAGAGGAGAAGGAAGAGGAGGAGAAGGAGGTGGTGTGGTTGTGGTAACAAGCCACAGCTTCAAAGAGGTTTGATCAGGGTACCATCCTCCTGGGACCAGAAGGTGGCCAGTTCCCAAAGAGAATATAATCTCAGGCAAACTGATTTGAGGACATTCCATTTGTTTTTAATTATTCTTTGAAAAATAGTTGGTTGTTTCTGTTTTTGTTTTTTGCGGTCGTAGGGCTTTAACTCTGGGCCTGGGCGTTACCCCTCAGCTCTTCAGCTCAAGGCCAGTGCTCTACCACTTGAGTCACAGCGCCACTTATGGTGGTTTTCTAGTGGTTAATTGGAGATAAGAGTCTCACGGACTTTCCTGCCTGGGCTGGCTTCAAACCATGATCATCAGATCTCAGCCTCCTGAGTAGCTAGGATTACAGGCATGAGCCACCAATGCCAGGCTTAAAAAATAGTTCTTAATTATATTTTCTAATCAGAGTAGCTTCCATACTACAGTGCCAGTCCCCTGTTGCACCTTGATGCTGTCTTCCTCTCAGAAGTCTTTCCATAAGCTGACTTCCTTTTTTTTTTTTTGTCAGTTGTGGGGCTTGAACTCTGGGCTTGGGTGCTGTCCCTCAGCTCATCAGCTCAAGGCTAGCACTCTACCACTTGAGCCACAGCGCCACTTCCGGTTTTTGAGTGGTTTATTGGAGATAAGAGTTTCTTGGACTTTCTTGCCCGGGCTGGCTTTGAACCGTGATCCTCAGATCTCAGCCTCCTGAGTAGCTAGGATTACAGGCGTGAGCCACCGGCGCCCAGCTGACTTCTTATTTCTAAATAATATATTACATGTTTTACCAGAAGCAATGACTTTAGCAGAAGCACAGAGCAAATAGCTTCCGTCCCCTTAACTCTGATTCACTCCGGTGCTGGGGCTCTCCCTGCTCATCTCTGGGTCAGCCTAGGACAGGACTCTTTTTCTAGCCATCCACAGATAACAGAATGGCCGCCAGGCCATGAGCAAAATGCCCAGAACCAGATTCTTCAGAGTTAGATCTTCTGATTTACAAGAACACAGCTAACTATTGCATATTGAATTTAAAGGATAGCCTAGCTGCTGTTGGCTTAGAAATACAGAGATAGAGATAAAAAACATTTAGGAATAAATTGAAGAAATTTAGTTGTAGGTTGTGATTATAGTATTTATATCAATGGTAAATTTTTGAGTTTTGATCATTTACTTATGTGTATAGGACATACTTGTTTTCTGTTACTATATAACAAAGTCCCACGAACTAATTTGTTGTCTCATATCTGTCATCCTGGCTACTCAGGAGGCTGAGATCTAAGGATCATGGTTCAAAGCCAGCTAGGGCAGGAAGCCTGTAGGTCAGAAGTCCAGGTAGGCTTGGCTGCCTTTTCTGCTTCAGGTTTCTCAGGGCCAAAGTTGGGGTGCTGGGCTGGGACTGGGAGGAGATTGGACTCTTACCTGGAAGCCTTGGGAAGGGATGGCTGGAAGCCTGTGTAAGTTGGTGGTAGAATCTGGGTCCTTGTAGCCGTGGAACTAAGGGCCTGGTTTTCTTCTTGGTCATTGGCACAGCTCGCTAGTCCTTTCTCTGTGACACTCCAGCCTTAGGCAACAGTGTGTGGAGTAGGCCTGTGCTTTGACTATGGATTCCCTACCAAATGGAGAATGCATCCAGCTTTAGGGCTTCCCAAAGCCACCTGGGTGACTACCTTTTGTCACTTGCAAGTGATCACTGCAGTGATGTCCTGTGTGTCACTCCCAAGGGTGACACTCACCTTCATCAGGCTGGGCTTCTGTTCTACCTACACCTTTGAGAACAAACGTTCAGGCCTGTGTAACAGTAAAATACCTAGACTTCATTTAATGCCAGAACTTGACCTTCTCACCTCCACCTGCTTTAGCTCTGGAATCTGAAGCCAGGCAGTGGGAAGAGAGGGATTCTCTGCCCACCAACTGCTTCCAGGATTGACACATTGAGGAAAGATAGGGTGATGGATGGGTGAATAGCAAAGGTACAAGAGAAGTCTTAGCCTGTGTCAGACATCAGCGATTACTAGCGGTGTCTGTTTAAGGCAGATTCTTCATTCGCTCATGAGTGGGTGCTGTGGGGGTCCACCCCCTTCGTCACCACTGGGACCTCTCACATGCTGTCCCCTCAGTGTCTTGGATGAATGCCCTCCTTGCCTCTGCCCCTGTTGTAGGATCCTCCATGGGGGAGTCACACCAAGAGACAGCTGTGAGCAGAGTCCCTTCAGGACAGCTCCAGCCTCTTCCCTTCCTTGTATTGGCTCAGGCCTACATCATGAAAAACACGTGCATAGCCTTTGCTGGGACGTGTGCTGTCAGCCTCACAGCCCCAGAGAACATGGCTCAGGATACTGTTCTCATCAGGCTTATGGTTACAGGATAAGAAACTACCTTTCGGGCTGGGAAGGTGGCTCAGTGGTAGAGCGCATGCCTTGCATGCCAGAGGCCCTGGGTTCGATTCCTCAGCACCACATAAGCAAAAAAAAAAAAAGAAACTACCTTTCCTGTAGTAGGGGAAGGGCTCAAAATCCACTTGGCCACCTTCTCCAAAAACTCTAATACTTAACTTTCTTCCATTTCATCTCTTTGATGCCTTCTTCACAGGCAAGGAAAAGGGTTATTCTCTTTCTAAATGTATCTCTACAATGCAGTTTGGAAGATGTAGGTGATAGTCCCCCCCACACACACACCTTTTCTTCAGTTGTGGGGCTTAAACTCAGGGCCTGGGCACTGTCCCTGAACTTTTTGCTCAAGGCTAATGCTCTACCATGTTAAGCCACAGCACCACTTCCAGTTTTCTGTTTGTTAATTGGAGTTGAGTTTCTTGGACTTTCCTGCTCCGGCTGGCTTTGAATGGTGATCTCACATCACAGCCAGTGGCTCATGCTTGTAATCCTAGCTACTTAGGAGGCTGAGATTTGAGGATCACAGTTCAAAGCCAGCCTGGGCAGGAATGTCCATGAGACTCTTATCTCCAGTGAATGGCCAGAAAACCAGAAGTGGTTCTATGGCTCAAGTGGTAGAGTACTGGCCTTGAGCTGAAGAGCTGAGGGACAGCGCCAGGAGTTCAAGACCCACAACTGACAAAAGAAAGAAAGAAAAAGTCTATATACACCTTTACCTACACATTAAGGCATATAAAGAAGTAGTAATGAATTTTATGAATTTTATCTTAAAGGAAGTAGTTTATGTGTATATCCCTGAATAATAATAGCCATATTTTAAGTAAAGGGCATTGCTTACTCCAAAGGCCCCTTTAATCAGAGTTCAGGGCTCATGGTAGGTGGTAGGTATTTTCAAGGTCACTTTAAGCACTCCTTGGCAAGCCTGTGCAGATAGCCACTTGCACAAAGGCTGGCCAAGCCGGGGGCGCATGGGTGGGACAGTGGTTTCCACTCCTTTCCTTTTCATCTCTGACTTTGTGTTTCCTCTTGTTTCCTTCTTCCTCTTGTGGCTGCATCTCTCTGGTTCCTAGCCCCCTTGGCTGACTGATGGAACTACAGAAATGATCCACCCCTGTCAGGGCCTCCGCCATCTCTGACCTCCTCGCTGGCATCCTGCATGGGTATGGCTCATCTGGATAGGTGTGCGCTCAGCCTGCTCTGATGACCTGATTGCCAAGGCCAACCCCAGCCATCCCTGCAAATCGCAGGGCCGGATCTAGCTCGAGGCGGGCATGTGACTGCCAGTCCACAGCAGTGATAGCAGCATTACTTCATTTCTGTGCTAGGGCCTGCTGCTGCCAAGCCAGACTTGATCTCAAAACTGGAACGGAGAGCTACGCCCTGGATCAAGGACCCAAACCAGCTAAAGTCAGGGAAAGGCCACCCCTCAGGTGAGTCAGACACAAAGTTCTGAAGGTCACGTGACATTGATTTAGCCATGCTCATCTTGGACCAGTTATTCACTGGGCTTTGGGTAGACAAAGATAAATAAGAAATTTAATCTACCCAAGACTGGTCTGGGAAACACATGATGGGAAAGATGAGGTCCCTGAATGAGCTGGAGTGCGAAGGGAGCCATGGTGGAGCTGATGAGAGGAGGTAAGTGGGATCCACAGCGGGGAGGCTGCTGCGGGGCTGAGAGGCGATCCTCTCTCTTCCTCCTGGGCAGTCCCTGCACCGGCAGCTCTACAGTCTGCGTGAATCTCTGCTTTGCACATCTCAGCTCATAGCCTAGTACACAGAAGCTCTGTGTTTCCTTCTGTCTATGCCTTCTTTAGGAGGCTGTTAGGAAACAGATGTTTAACCTGATTTCTTAAAGGATTAAAGCCTCCTGTTTTATCTAATGACATCTGTGTTTGGGAGTGGTTAAGCTTATTAGTATCTGATTCCTGCATAGCTGGGGAGATGGGGCTGGGAAGGCAGCTAAAGAAGCCACTAGTGGGGCTGGGAAGGTGGCTCAGTGGTAGAGCGCTTGCCTTGCATGCCTGAGGCCATGGGTTCGATTCCTCAGCACCACATAAGCAAAAAGAAAAAAGCCGGAAGTGGTGCTGTGGCTCAAGTGGTAGAGCGCTAGCCTTGAGCTGAAGAGCTGAGGGACAGCGCCCAGGCCCAGAGTTCAGGCCCCACGACTGGACCCAAAAAAAAAAAAAAAAGAAGCCACTAGTATCTGCCAGCACTCTGGGGAAGCCAGAATGGGTTTCAAAAAGTGATGGAGAAAGGTTTAAGTAGATCACCAATAACCTCTTCTGCACTTCCCGGGTGGGCGGGGCGTCTTCACCTGCAGCACTCACTGAACGCAGTATTGAACTGGCAGAAGCCTGTGGAACTTGGGACAGCAAAACTCAGCGCCATTTCATTTTCTCCAAAGTGAAAAAGAAGGCGATGACCGTAAGCAAGGCAGACACCCAGGTCTCAGCTGCAGAATCTACACCGCTTCCAGCTCTGCCCATGGAGACATGGCCCTCCTACTGCCCTGCCAGTATGCATGAAGTAGACGAGGGCAGACCTCAGAAAGTCAGCAGGACTTATAGACCTCGTTCCATCCAGAGGGCATGGTTTGAGCAGTTCCCCTGGCTAGTCATTGACCCCCAAGAGACCAAGCTGTTCTGCTCAGTCTGCAAAGAACGACCTAGTGTCCACGACAAATCATCGCGGTTAGTCCAGGGTTACACTGGGCCTTTCAAAGTGGAGACTTTAAAATACCACGAAGTCAGCAAGGCCCACCAGCTCTGCGTCAACACCGTGGAAAGCCAAGACGGCGGCAGCCCTCATGCCGCTCTCGCTCCAGAGATCTCCAGCGACCTCATGGCCAACATGGAGCACTTCTTCAATGCCGCCTACTCCATCGCCTACCACTCCAGGCCCCTGAATGACTTTGAGAAGGTCCTGCAGCTTCTGCAGAGCACCGGCACTGTGATCTTAGGCAAGTACCAAAACCGTACCGCATGCACTCAGTTCATCAGATACATCTCCGAGACGCTGAGGAAGGAGATCCTCAGTGAACTCCGGAGCTCCCCATGCGTGAGCGTGCTGCTAGACAGCTGCACGGACTCCTCGGACCAGGCCTGTGTGGGGATTTACATTCGCTACTTCAAGCAGATGGAGGTGAAGGAGTCGTACATCACCCTCGCCCCCCTCTACAGCGAGACAGTGGACGGGTACTTTGAGACCATCATTGCTGCCTTGGACGAGCTGGACATCCCTTTCCGGAAGCCTGGCTGGGTGGTGGGCCTGGGCACTGATGGCTCCACCATGCTGAGCGGCAAGGGAGGCCTTGTGGAGAAGTTCCAGGAGCTCATCCCCCAGCTGCTGCCCGTCCACTGTGTGGCCCACCGGCTGCACCTGGCTGTGGTGGACGCTTGTAGGAACATCGACCTGGTAAGGAAATGTGACCGGCACCTGCGAACCATCTTCAAGTTCTATCAGTCCTCCAACAAGAGGCTGAGCGAGCTGCGGGACGGCGCGGCTCCCCTGGAGCAGGAAATCGTCCGTCTGAAGGACTTGAACGCTGTCAGATGGGTGGCCAGCAAGAGGCGCACACTGAACGCGCTCATCGTGAGCTGGCCCACGCTGGCTAGGCACCTCCAGAGTGTGGCTGATGCAGGGGGCCCAGTTGGGCAGAGGGCCAAGGGCATACTGAGGCTGGTAAAGGGCTTCCATTTCATCAAGTTCTGCCACTTCCTTCTGGACTTCCTGAGCATCTTTAGAGCTCTGTCTGAGGTGTGCCAGCAAGACATGGTGCTGATCACAGAGGTGAACTCCACGCTGGGGCATGCCTATGTAGCCCTGGAGACCCTCCGTCACGGGGCGGGGCCCACAGAGGAAGAGTTCAATGCCAGCTTCCAGGATGGGCAGCTTCATGGCATCTTGCTGGCCAGGATGGAAATGGCAGAGCAGCGGTTCCAGGAGGACAGGGAGAGGACAATCCTGACTGGCTTGGAGTACCTCCGGCACAGGTTTGACACAGCCCGCCCCCCGCCACTCAAGCACATGGAGGTGTTCGACACCATGGCCTGGCCAGGTGGCGCTGACCTGGCCCACTTCGGGAATGATAACATTCTCAGCCTTGCCAGGTATTTCGATCTCTCCCTGCCCACAGGGTACAGTGAGGAAGTGCTGCGGGAGGAGTGGCTGGACCTGAAGGTCTCTGCTCAGAATCTCCCGTTCTCCATGCTGTGTAAGAACACCCTGGCCCAGCAGCAGCGCTTCCCCTTGCTGAGCAAGCTCATGGCCGTGGTGATCTGCGTGCCCATCTCCAATTCCTGCTGTGAGCGGGGCTTCAGAGCCATGAACAGGATCAGGACCAATGAAAGAACCAAACTCTCCAACGAGGTACTCAACACGCTCATGATGACGGCAGTGAACGGAGTGGCGGTGACAGAGTACGACCCCCAGCCTGCCATCCAGCGCTGGTACCTGACCTCCTCGGGCCGGCGCTTCAGCCACGTCTACGCCTGCACCCAGCTGCCAGCCCGCTCCCGGGCAGGTGAGTCCATAGGCCCAGTTCTCTCGATGTGGGATATAAAGCACGAAGCCATAGCTGCCCAGTCCCATGCTGAGCCAGAGGTGAGTGGAGCTGCTGCAGGGTGCCCAGCACGTGTGCTGGAGACACGGTACTCCGCTGGAGGAGCATGTGGCTAGAGAGAGCAGGTGCAGATCAGGGCGGCAGGCCGAGTATGGAGACTGTGCAGTTCAGGAGCCTGCCCTAGTTCCACGTCTCGCTCTGCTGCCCAACTAGCTGTGGCACAAGGCAGCTTTCCTCTGCCAGCGAGTTAACACACTTGGAATGCTCAGAGCAGCCTGGCCAGCAGAGCCAGTCATTCTGACGTGATGGCCACTGCCAGAAATCAGGCAAGAGGGCAGGAGGGCCACACTGGGGCATCACACCAGGGCATCACACCGGGTGGGAAGCAGGGGGGGACCCAGTCTGGGCCACTCTGGGCCCTGCAGGGCTTTTCACAGCATGAGTCAGAGTCAGAGTGACCTGGAAGGGAGGTGACAGGCAGGAAATCCCATGGAGCATAGGAGCCAGGGCTGGCATTGCTGACAGGCCCAAGGGTAATCAGTGATGGACTTCAACAAGAAACCCCTCTTCAGCAGTCACTGGGGGTTCTGCAGCTGCTTGTTTACTCAGCAAGGACAGAGCCATTTATGTCTTCCTACCCCCCCCCCCACACACACACATACTTTGTCAGTTGTGGGGCTTGAACTCCGGGCCTAAGTGCTGTCCCTGCGCTCTTCAGCTCAAGGCGAGCACTCTACCACTTGAGCTGCAGCACCATTTCTGGTTTTCTGGTGGTTTATTGGAGATAAGAGTCTCATGGATTTTGCTGCCTGGGCTGGCTTTGAATTGTGATCTTCAGATCTCAGCTACCTGAGTAGCTAGGATTACAGGTGTGAGCCACCAGCGCCCGACTAGGCCAAACATTGCCAGATGTTTCCAGGGACTGCGTAAAGCCAAGGCTGCAGGGGACAGCTGTCTGCAGCACACAGCCCCAAGGACCGCACTGGTTGTGGGGAGGTACTCACCCTTTGCTTCATCTACTTGTCATTCTCTTTCCTTCTGTGCAGGCACAGAGCTCAAGAAGGAGGAGGTGGTGGGAGCACTCTGCTCAGAGAAATCTGTGACCCAGAAGATGCTTGTGACACCACCTGGGGAGCCGTGGGCATTCTGAAGGTCATATTCAGCGTCTAAGACTTGCCCCCTACCAGCCCAGGGGTCCACCAGGGTCCTGAGGAGAGGTGGCCTGAAGAAGCCTTTGGGGAACCCCACATGGCCTTGTCCCGGTGGTCATGGGGAGAGGCTAGCTGTCTTGTTTGGGGTATCTCATAAGCCCGGGATGCTGGCAGTGAGACAATGAGGGACAAGGCAGGAGACAGCACCTGTCACCCGGGGGCCTCTTTAAGCTCAGCAATACCCACTAGCACAAAAGTAACCTGGGAAGGTGGTTATCTCAAGTCTCCTTTTAAGGTGCTCCAAGAAAGAGTCCTGTCATGAGCAAGTCGTCGCCACACTTGCACTGATGACAGAACTTCCCCGAAGTGGGGAGACAGTTGGTGGAGGCTGGGGAGAGCTCAGGAACCCTCCTCACCTGTGGCAGCATGCTGGGGAGGTGGCCTACAGGGGAAGTCACCTTGGGGACCCTGGCTTGGAGGAACTCCAGGAGCGGCCATTGCAGACGGCTGACCCCAGCTCCCATGGCAGAAGCCAGGGAGCTTTTGACTGTGGGAAATGGGTCTGGTGAATTTCTCTGCCTCCATCAGCACTGCCTTCAGGAGGAAACAGACAGAAAGCCTTTGTGCAGAGCACCAGAAAACTCCGGGCCACGAGACAGTGCCTGCCCTGGAAGAGCCGGGGCCGCCCCTGCCAGAGCCCTTGCGCTTGGCCACCACCATGCCGAGCCATTTTCCCAAAGAGGCTGCAGGACCCAGGTTGGAGTTGGGGGGCTTGAGGACCAACCCAGCTCTGTGGAAGGCAGTGGTCTGCCCATGGTGAAGCCTTCCTTTTCCATGCCTGTTTCCCTTTGCATACAGCAGCAGAGAATCCAAGTGCCTGCTGGCTCCCGGTCCACCATAGCACTAGCAGAGCAGAGAGCCTACTCCTTGAGAGCAGGCCCAGGGCCTTCACCTCTGTCGGGACAGGCGTGACTGTTGCTGCCCCAGTCCTGCTGCCAGCAGAGGCCCCCTCTCAGGTGCCGCCCTCAGGACAGCTGTGCTCACTGTGCAGGCTGCCCTGGGGACTTCGCCCAGACTGCCACCTGTGTCCCATCCCAGACACGTGCAAGCACATCCCCCACGCTGGACTTGGGCTGCGCTTTCTCACTACCGCCCCCCCCCTTCTACCTGTCCCCTTCCACCTGAGTGAAGTTCTCCTTCAGGGCTCGCCCTGTTGGGTTGAGTGCTGCCAGCCTGCAGGCAGGCCCCTGGTTCTGTGCTGCAAGTGCCAGGCTCGGCGCCCGACCAGCGTCCTGTCCACTTACTCCAGCAGTGCCCGACGCCTCATTGTGCCCAGCCTCCCGCCTGCCACACGTAGGGAACCTAGCTACAGACCTGCCTTTCCCCGCTCATATCAGAATGGCCTTCCCTCCTCCGCCTCTGTCCTAAGGAGAGGCCTCCCCCCTGCCCCATGGGCCGAGGCTAAAGGGCGCATGGCTCAGGCACGGTCCCACATGAAGCAAGGGTCTCCGTCCCTCTGTAAGTTTCTATGGAGTTGAAGGACTTGTCAGGTCACACTCCAGACTGAGGTGCTTTCCCAGCAATGCATCTCCGTGGCTTCCTCCCCCGCCTCTCAGCAGCACCACGCATGCGGGCCAGGCAGGGGGCTGCTGTGACCGGCCTGGGAGCCGAGGCCCACACCTGCTGGGCATATCCGCTCTTTATCTCCACATTTTGTCCATGGAGACAAAGTTGGTCCTTAAAGCAGGGCAACTGCACGTGATTTTTACCCTGCGTTTGCCCTACCCCGGTTTCCCCAGAGGCACAGGTGTGCACCCATGCCCCTTGGCCAGCTCCAGGCAAAAAAACGAGGAAGATGAGGAGGGTCTTGCTTGGTAGGTGCCCTGGGGTGGACATGTGAGCACATTTACATGAGAGCCCGGTCACCCAGCCTTTGTTCTGTGAGCTGCTTGCGTTTCAGACCCCAGAGCAGCGTTCCAGACTTCAGGGCCTCCTGGGAGACATTCCTATTTTTGCCTCTCAAGCAAAGAAGCTGAGCCTGGTGCTGGTGGCTCACACTTGTAATCCTAGCTACGCAGGAGGCTGAGATCTGAGGATCACAGTTCAAAGCCAGCCTGGGCAGGAAAGCCGTGAAACTCTCATCTCTAGTTAACCACTCAGAAAACCAGAGGTGGCGCTGTGGCTCAAGTGGTAGAGTGCTAGCCTTGAGTTGAAGAGCTGAGGGACAGCGCCCAGGCTCAGAGTTCAAGCCCCATGACTGACAAAAAGAAAGAAAGAAAGAAAGAAAAGAGGCTGGAGGACCCTATGGGAGGGGGGGAGGAAGCACTTTTCTTTGAGCCTGGCTATTGTCTCCACCTCCTTCTCTACCTAAAGTACTTTGTTGGTTGTTGTTTGTTTGAGACAGAAACTCACTGTTTTCCAGGCTGGCCTGGAACTCAAGCTCCTCGCACCTCCACCTCCCACATGCTGGGATTACAGGTGTGCACTACAGATCCTAGCCCTACCAGTAATCTTGACAGCACCTCGATATATGCATCTGGCACTTATCCCCCTTCCCCAATGACTGACGCCCAGTGGGGCTGAAATTCCAAGTAACCAGCACTGTACCTGCACTTTACTTTCTAGAGCCTTAAAAGCTGAGGGCACGAGAGCACCTAGCCCCTGTCCTGCCCAACACTGCAGTGCGACCAACTCCACACTTGGCCTCTCTGTCCTACAAAGGGCAAATTTCTAGGGTGCTACGTGTGGACCAGGACAGGGCAGAGGCCACCAGTTCTGTCATGTGTCCTCATCCTTGGAGTGAAGAAACCCGTGTGGCTGGCCAGGAACATCTGGGCTGCTTCTGGTTTCAACAATGTGCAAACGAGGCTTTAAAAAAACATGTTTGGTTCCCGACCTTTTGCTATCTGAATAAAAGCTTATTTCCACATATGTGTCTGTCTGTCCCGTAAGTCCCTAAGCAAGAACCAGGAGCCAGCAGAAGCCAGATGGGATAGCCTGGCTAGAGGGGACAGTGTGTACCTTTTGTTGTCTGGATTGTTTCTCCCTGGCCTGGAGTGAGCTGAGTTGTTCCAGCAAGAGAGAAAGTAGGGGCTTGGTACTGGTGGCTCATGCCTGTAATTCTAGCTACTTAGGAGGCTGAGATCTAAGACTGCAGTTCGAAACCAGCACAGGCTGCAAAGTCTGTGAGACTCTTACCTCTAATGAACCACCAGAAAACCAGAATTGCTGCTGTGGTAGAGTGCTAGCCTTGAGCAAAAGAGCTCAGAGACAGAGCCTAGGCCCTGAGTTCAAGCCCCATGATGGACAAAGAAAAGAAAGAAAGAAAGAGAGAGAGAGGAAGGAAGGAAGGAAAGGAGGGGAAGGAAGGAAGAAAGGAAGGAAGGTAGGAAGGAAGAAAAGAAAGAAAAAGTAGGGGTATGTGGTGATTGTGAGGAGCCCGGCGCAGGAGTTCTACAAGATGCTGTTGCAGGACTTTGGCAACAGTGCGCGCTGTGGGAAAACAACCTTGCTTATCCTAATCACGCACATGTGAATGAGGCTCCGTGTGTCTGAAGCCTGATTTGCACACCGCAGTGAAATGCCTGGGCTCACTTTATTGGGCAGGACAGTGGAGTAACTTATACTCCACTTACACTTTTAAGAGCACTCTAGAAACACATGGGAGGATTGGAGTTGCTTCTAGATCACTTCAGAAGTGTAGGAACTGAATAAAACAAGCGTCATGTTTTCCCACTTCCAGAGGCTTGAGGAAAACACCAGTGACAGAGGCCGCCCTGCTCCAGGCTAGGTCTTCTTGACCTTGACAGCCAGAAAGAAGCCCCAGCTCCACAGCAAGCAAGAGGCCCACAGCCTTACTCCTGGGGCTCCCCGTTATTCCTTCTCATTCCAGTACATTCCTCTACTCCTCAGCTGGCACCACCTGCTCTCTGGTGAGAAGAGAAGTTCATGGTTATATCCCTAAATGTCATGAGGCCTTACCCACAGACACCCAGAGTTGTATCCCCACCCCCAACACATGCCCTGTGGACAGGGCATATTAGGACATGCCTGGAGCTCCCATTCTTCCACACAGAGAAGTTTCAGGGACATTTTACCTTTTTTTTTTTCAGTCGTGGGGCTCGAACTCTGGAGGAGTGCTCTACCACTCAAGCCACAGCACCACTTGTGGCTTTTTCTGTTTATGTGGTGCTGAGAATGGAACCCAGGACCTCATGTGCTTGAGGCAAGCGCTCTACCACAAAGCCACCTTCCCAGCCCCTTCAGGGACATTTTAAAGACCTCTCATTGTTCCCACTTCTGTCTTTTGTAGGAGTTTATGGGTTCCTGAATCTATGAAAAGCTTAAACCTCGTGTCACCAGCATCAGCATCCTTCTCTCTGGGAGTTTCCATGGAAACAGGTCAGTGCGCCCCCAAGGCCACAGCAGTGTACTGAGTGGAGCCATTGTCAAGCTGAGGTCCCCACGGGAGAGGGGGTTGATCAGGCCTTGGGTTCCTGTTCTCTTATTCATGAACTGGGTGGCCTCAGACAAGTTGCTTCAACACTCAGCCTGTTTGATCGCCTGCAAAACGAACGCATTACCTTAGCTTCTAAGACACTTCTCACCAAAAACAAAGCTCTATGAAACAAAAATGAACTGCTGAACTGTGTGGACAGTTTACCCTTGGAAATGAAGCACCCACCTCAAGTGCCCATCATTAAGTCATGTTCGAGGAGCAGTAGGAGCTGGGGGCACAGCTAAGGCTGCTCTGGTTGGAGTGCCAGTTCATACCTTTGACCTCCCAGACTACAGGCAGTCACAGAAATGCCAAACAGATGGTGGCCAGACAACCAGATGCACATCAGGATAGGCAAGAAATGACACAGACCAGAAAAGGAACAGAGAGTAGAAGTTACCAGCACCTAATCTGAGCTACTGTTTAAGCTGAACAATGGCTCTGGTTCCAGCCAAACAAACCTGAAACAAAATGCTAGGAAATAGGTCTTTTTCTCCTCTCTCTCTCTCTCCCCCCCCTCCTCTCCTTCCCTCCCCCATCTCTCCCTCCCTTCCTCCCTCCCTTTCTTCCTTCCTTTTTCTGGTTCTGGGGCTTGAACTCTGGGCCTCAGTGCTGTCCTGGACTCCTTTTGCTCAAAGTTAGCAATCTACAACTAGAGCCACAGCACCACTTCTCTCTTTTTCTATGAGTAATTGAAATCTCATGGACTTTCCTGCCTGGGCTGGCTTCGAACCATAATCCTTCGATCTCACCTTCCTGAGTAGTTATGCTTACAGGCATGAACCACTGGCGCCCAGCTAGGTCTTTTGTTTTGTTTTGTCAGTCGTGGGGCTTGAACTCTGGGCCTGGGCGCTGTCCCTGCGCTCTTCAGCTCAGGGCGAACGCTCTACCACTTGAGCCACAGCACCACTTCCTAGGTCTTTTTTTTTATTAGACTTTTTACTTTAAGATAATTAAAGGTAAGAAGTTGTAAGAAATAGTACAAAGAGATCCTACATATCACTTTACGCCATTTCCCCCAATGATAACATCTTATAAACCTATACTACAATGTCACTACCAGGCTATTATCATTAACAGTATTGTTCATTTAAGTTTCATCTTTAAGTTTGCCTAGTATATAGAATGTT